GCTTGCAGCTGGTGTGAAAGCATTCAGGCATTGTTGTATGAGGCACGGAGGCACTGCTGGAGTACTGTGCACCTCCATTTCCTTGAATGCCTCACTTGTCATTGATTTTTTACAGCAGGAGGTTTACACAGTTGGGAGCCCATCAAGCCGCTGGGGTCTTGCCATCTTGTTCTATCGTTCGCTGTTTGTTCGTGTAAATCCTTCCTTCTGTTTCTCTGCAGGTTAATGCATTCTTTCCCCTGATTACCCTCATCATTTTGCTTTTTCCTGCTCAACTGGGAAGCTGTGGTACCTCAGGACCTCTTTCGCTATTACATGCTTTCTATGCCATGTCAGGCAGGTGGTGAACACGAGTCAATGTAACTTCAAGTACGCGAAGGGTGTTTTAGGACGGAAGATGATGAAAAGGGCTAAGCTTCGCTTTTCGTAGTTTTATACCGCACTAATTATGTTACTTGAGACCATTAGTGTGTAGGTGATTATTTGGCATGCCTTTTGTTCATTATATATATTTGCAGAAAACTGTCAGTTCTCCACAATAGGACGCATTGCTAGGTTACAGGCGGTAGTCAGTCAGGCACATACATTCCATCCACTATACTGCACATATTCTTAGAGCGATTCTTTCACTTTTCCACATCAAAGATTACCATTCGTCATCTGGTGCCCATAGGGAACAAGCTATGTCAATCAAAAACCCTGCGAGTAAGCTTCCTCCAATTTCATTCAGGGATGACACCCCGCCATCCCACAAGGCAACAGGATGACGGGTTGAGGCGAAAATGCTGAACTGGGGTGCATCTAGCTGCACGCATGAAAACTTAAGTAGAGCCACCTTTAACACTCTATCTAAGCCCTCCTAAAGGAGATACTTGACTCCAAACGCTAGCTGTTTTTTAGTGGTTTCCAAAAGAGCTCCTCCCTCTGCGGGGACCCCTCAGATTTCCCGAGATTAGGGTACAGGGACATTACATGCGCGTACTCGCGCTTTCTCATCACTCCAAGCATTCGCAGCTAGTTGCAAAATTGCTTCTAGTGCACAAACCCACAGCAATGCGTCCTGCTGCATCCAGCTAGCAGTACGCAGCAATTAATAGGGCATACGGGCAAACACACCAACAATTCGAATCCTTTCTTATCCTTATTCAAATATAACTAGTGTAGTAGAAAATGCCAATAGCTCAGCCAGCTACTCGCCCATAAAAGCCCTTTAAACAAACATAGCGTGCCACAGATCTTGGCAAGAAAGCGCTAGGCATGAGCAGCAGTGGGCAGAAACCAGGAAGACACAATGCGCGCAATCAATACTAGAAAATTGTGCGCAACCGCAAGCTGATACAATGTTGACTCGGCCAGCCTCAACCAGGGCCTTGAACTGCCCAGACGAGCACAAAAACGAAGACGAACAGGAGAGCTTGCACTCTGCTATGATCTATCTGCAGCCAAGTATGGCATATGGGACTCAGAAGCACGTGATATTTGTGCCAACTGCTTGTGGGAAGGTTTTGCTGGCTTATCTACAGAACTAGAATGTTCGCGGTCGCAGGTAGAAAAGTACGCACACAACCTAAGACCAGTGCTCCTTGAACGCAAACAACAGCGCGATCACACTAACATGAAGTTTCTTGACATTTTAGTTAGAATGATTGCCGTATTACTGCAGCTGCTAAATCTATGACGCGTGCTGTCACATACCATAATGCTCGTTTGGAAGACTCCATGCTCCCTTCCTGAGATTCTCGGGAACCTCCAGTTCGATCTCTACGGCTGCACAAGTATATTCAATTTACCTGATTAAGACACTGATGTTAGCTGGAAGAATGAGATGGACATTCAGTGATACTTGTTGGGTTTCTGCATGCAGCTGCTACTGGCGAGAAAGGGCCTCAGCCCCGTGTAGAACCCTTGCCCTCTCACCATTTTAGTTTACATTCCAAATTTTCAGCACGCATTCAACCTGCCAGACGAAACCGGGACCCCATTTGCTGTGTGCATTTAGACTAATTTCAGAAATTATGGCCCACGGGGCGCTCTCCCGTGACGCCCCGGGTGAAGCGGTTTTGTAGTTGCTCTTCCACGTGTGGCATGTGGCCTTTGCAGCAGCAGCTGTTGCAGCAGCTGCTGGTGGTGGTTGTTGTGGCACTGACGGAAATAGGCAGCGCACACGCCAGGACCGGTGTTGCCCATCCATTCGGCGGAGTTCACGCCATTATAGCAACGGCAGGTGACTCACGTATTCATCATCACCAGCTCTACAGTAGCCCTCCACCTGGGGCCGCGGGGAGCCGCCTAAGCACCCTCTTGAGGGGCCCTTCAGCAAAAGGACTCCAGTGTCACTTATTTAACGCGCAGGCAATAGGATGCCTCGGGACCTTGGAAGGAAACAGTCTACAGGTGCAGGAGTTTGTACCCTTGGGGGGATTCTCAGATTCTAATGGATTTAGTTTCCCGACTCTGAAGAGTGTGGGGCCTGGCCAGGGTTGCCGATTGGGTTTTCGCGGTCGCAGATATTCATTTCATAGGTGCAGCAGCACTTGGAGCAGTGGAGAAGCGGCAGGAAGGCTGGCGTTTGTGGCTGTTGGGATTTCAAAGACTCTCCGGTGCGCATTGAAATGCAGAGAGGCACAGCGTTGGCACTCCTGCCTACACTCCCCTTACTGGACCGGCATAATTAGGGTAGCATACGACTGCAGAAGCAGGCTGATGCAGAGAGCGTTGCTGCATTGATAGACTTGCACAACTTGATGTATAGGTGTCCCCATCCTTGATACCTTTTTCAGAGGGTATTTTCTTTTTCGTTTGATGTGTGGATTTTTCTTCCTCCTGCAGACCTATAGCCGCATGTTCTGCCTCTTCGTACTCAGGCCATAAGGGGCCTCTCACTGCGCTCTATGCAACGTCCAAGGGGGGGGCCACCACAAAAAACAACCGCGATTCGCGTCCCAAGTATTTAGGTGCGCTATTTACGGGTCTATATACTCCACTTGCTTGTCTCGTTTCAGACACTTAAGGATGTACGACACAGCGTGAATCGTTCGATGCCTTGCTCTTGTGTTGCACCACGTCTGAGGGTTTCGGCATAAGGATTCGTGGGGCTGTGGAGTTTTCAGGCGTTAAAAAATACGGGGGGGAGTTTGTGGTGCCGGGACAAATAATTGTGCGACAGCGAGGCACGCGCTTCAAAGCTGGCGACGGTAAGACACCGAACACTGAAGTGTGTAAACACCTGCTAGGGAAGCTGTTGGACTGTTTCTTTCATTCCCATCCCAACATTGCGTTTCTGACCTGTGTAGTCGGTAATTCTGTCCAGCAGAAGGCTTAGTCCCCGACTGAACAGGCTGCCTTTGTCTTCCCATGCGGCTGTTAGTTTTTTGGCCACTGTAGGCACCGAGTTTGCAATTCCATAGCCCTTGGGGCTTTTTGCTTTGTTTGGCTCAATGAGGAACATTTAGCGGTGTGTCATTGCCTGCATTTCAGGAGTCATTAGGGGGGGAGACGACTCTTTGATGGCCAAGTGTGCGGGCTTTGTTTGCATGCGGAGGGTGCACCGGAACGGCGAGGGCACCTGGCGGGTGAAGAACGGCTGTGTAGTATCTGTAAAACCCTCAATTGCCCAGACACTCGACCCGAAAGCAATTAAAGTTGCCCTGCTGCGAACTCTTTCCAGGTCCTGGATGCAGCGATCGACTGCGAGCATCCAGGAGAGTCTTGCCGCTGCTGAACAAAGCAGCAACCAGGAATGTGGGGACGCATGAGTGAAATTTGAGTTATTTGCTGCCAGAGGTTGCATGCAGAGATAGCTACGGCGGCACTGTAAAGCATACGAAGGGCTTGTTTATGTGCTGAATTACCCAGCTCTTTGCACTTTTTGAAAACAGCTAACTGCTCGTGTAGAGTGAAACTAATTGAGGTTACCAATTATGTGCTCCGCACACACTGGTGGTTGGTCTTGTAGAACTTATAAGTTTTGCTGCTCGAGGATATATATGGCACGGGTATATTATTTGCACAGGAGGCGTGGGTCCCCAGTGGAGCACTGGTTACCTGCCTGGTCGTTCTTTCTAACCCATGAATCCCTTAATCTGAAACCTAAGGGAACAGGAGTAGTTCAACAGGTATACAGCGTGCGACGAGAAAGCGCCTGCCTTTAATCCTTTAAACAGAGGTACCGGATGTTGGGTAGTCTGTTGAGTAATGTTTAATCCTTTCCCGAACGTCCACAATTACTACGGGGCTCCAAGGTGACCTAGGGATACCAACGGGAACAGCCAACGTAGCGGGCTTGGAGCAGGTTCCTGCTGCTGGTGTCTCGTCATGGCCCTCCATAACAAAAACCTTGGCCATAAAGGTAGGGATAAGCTTAAACAGAGTATTTATGTTCTGTGGTAGGGGGCAGGCAGCATGTGCTGAAGTGCAACGGTCAGTGTCTCCGTAGCAGCAAGCCACGTGCTCTATCGCCGCCATCCTTGGACGACATAAGTTCTCATATGGTGAACACCTGAATGGCGCGATTTAGCCTGCCACTACTATGGCCCTTATACAGGAACGTTTGGGAGACTTTTTGTGTACCTGTGCCGAAGTTTAATATGCTTTTTACCACAAACCCGTGCAAGAGCAGACGAAATAAAGAAGCCAGATGCTCCTGCTGTGTGCAAGGCTCCAGGGAAGATATTGGGGCCTGGGAGAGCCTCAGCACAGAGCTTACGGCTTTTCGAGGATAGCTCTTGGGTTTTGATTCAACGGTTACTCCGCTGTGGCCTGGCACATCTTCATGTGCGGGCCATGGGAGAAGTGTCGGCCTCCATGGGAATGGGGAGAGATAAGCATACAGGAGTGCTCGAAGGGGACAGCAGCTGTAAAGTTTGCTATGGGTCGCAACACTAATAAAGGAATTCCAGCACCTGTTCAACGCTTGGACTGCGGTACAGCTAGTGCAAGATATGCAGACCTTTGCTGCACAGTGTTGCAGGCTGGTGAGCGGTGTTTTTGTTCATTTTGCTTTACCCTTGAGACCATTCCTCTGGGATGTAGACTATTCGCTCCAGCGTAAATCCTTGAGCGTGGACACACTTGAGAAATTCTGCCCTCTTGTTGAGGACCGCGGAAGGTATACACTTGCTTTGAACATGATTCACGCTGATGGGTAGCTCGTGCAACAAAAACTGAGGAGTCCTGGGCATGTGGCTCACAATGTATTCATCTGTTGTCTCCCGTAGCCTCCCCTCATGCCACAGGCAGGCGTACAAGTCCTTTAGGATGGAGATACAAGCTGGGTATGATGGAGAACGGCATTTTTTGCTGCGGACGTCGCAGAAGCCAAACCCTCCCACACCCCAACATTCCCTGTCTGTAACGCAGTTTTTCTTGTCGAGCACAGTGCATCTCCCGGTGAACTTCCTAAATGTCCTTACGATATCTCTGCCCAAATTGTTGCCATACGGATTAGGCGTTTCCAGTGGAGATGGTAGCGCTAGCTGAGGGGGCATTCCTCCTTGAAGATGAGATGAATGCGCAGAGTGGCCGTATTCAAACCGCTGCCAAGGGGCACAGACGCTATCTATGTCCACATTGTCTGTCAGCACTATCGGATCCCCTGCGGAGGCGTGCCGGGAAGAGAACCATGGACTACACTCCCCGTTGACGCAAGAAAGCCGGTCTTCACACTCTCGCGCACTGTCCCCGACACATGCCGCCCCTTCTCGTTTCCTAGGCTGGCAGCCTTGTGAGGCATGCAAGAAGGAGCAGTAGTGGTGCTGCAGCAGACAAGCGCAGAAGCAGGCAGCGAAACCGGCTCAGACACTTGTAATAAGAACCTAGACAGGCAAATTGCATGCTTTAAAGTCACATGAATCATTCTTATGATAAAAAGCCTTAACAACAGCCAGTCAACACAGCAGCAACCGGAATTTTGTTTTTCCAAGGAGCTAATCCTATGCAATCCAAAACGTGTTTCCTTTTCTTAAGGGCTGGAGCCACGCGTACAGCCTTCAGAAAGCCTTTCTCGGCCACATCGCCCTGTACTAGCCTGAACTCACCGTTGCGCAGCATCGATCCAACCAACAGCCGCCCTTATACTCTGGAGGACGGCGGTTTGGCAGGCCTGGTAGAGTTGCCACGGGAGGGCTGACTGCTGGATGGGGCGTTAGAGGAGTATGCAGACCCGTGTTGAGGGGAGGCGATGGGAGGGGCCCCCCAATCGATGGGGTCACCATGGGCATATTGCCAAGCGGCGGGAAAGTAGGTTGGGAGGCAGTCGGGAAGTGCGAAGGGAGCGGAGGCACCACGGGAGGCAGGCGAGTGGGAATAGGCGGCCGCTGCATATTAAAGGGAGGATTAAGAGGAGGGAGGGGCCCCATAGGGCGTCTTACCGGAACTCCTAAAGGCGAAACAGGATTGACAGCAGTGCTGATAATACCTGGGAAAAAGAGCCCCTCGAGTTCTCCGCCCTCTTCGTCAGAGGCAGTGTCTCCTTGCGACTGCTCCAAGGAAGCGGCAGAGACCCCAGAAGATCCTGAGGCCTCCATTGCCTCTAATGCGGAGTCATAGGAAGAGTACCCCCGCTGCTGCTGCTGCTGCAGTTGTTGCAGCTGTTGAAGCTGCTGCAGGTGCACAGGCACTTGATTCTGCTGCTGCAAGGACCCGAGGGACGGGAAGACACCTATGTCGTAGTTAGGGGATCCATAGATGTTCTGCTGGGGAAGGTTCGTTCCCATTGAGGCCATGCCAGCAGTACCAGGCAGCTGGGGGGGCAGCGATGGCGGGAAAGCCCCAAAGGTAGAAGGGAGGCTGCTCTCCTGATCCTCTGGAGTGAAGGCGTATGACACACCCGTAAACAGCCGAGCCAGTCGCTTGGCCAAGGAGCCGTTTAGAAGAGGGCGACTCTGTGATGACGTTGCTAATGAAGGTTGTGGCTGTTGAAGCGTGTGAAGATATTGCTGCGACATATCAGATCCCCAGGGAGCCTGCTGACCCGCAATAGTCTCCTCCCCCTCAGAGGACCCCCGTTCGCCCTCTATAGCCCCAAGAGCCTGCCCATACATGTCTCTCGGCGTAGTAAAAAATTCTGCCAACTCCTGTGGTGTAACGGTTTCTCCCAAAATGGCTGACACCTCTGCAGCCCGCTGCTCCCATGCACGCCGGATGGCTTGCTCGTCCAGCAATGATTCTTGTTCATTCTGACTAGAATTTTGGTGTCCTAAAGGCCTTTTCTGTATGCGTTTGTTCATTGTCTCTCCTGAAGAGTCCTTCCAACTCTCATATTCTTGTTTTAGCAGTCTCGATGTGCGCGTAGGCTCTGTGTTCGTGGGCTGGGGCTGTTGCTCCTGGTCTGCGCTGAACCCATTAACGGCCAGTGGCATTAAGAGCTCTTTCTGTTGCTCGAGAAGCAAGTGTTGGTGGTCAAGGGGAGACATAACTGGCTTACAGACACCCTGGACACACTGTAGGCAGCCTGATACACAGTGACGGAATCGGTCGCATGAGGCACCTGGGGGTAGATCCTTTACAATACAGTAGCGTGACAGGGAGTGCCTACCCCCTAAGGGCTCTCCGTCCACAGTCTGTGTGGCAGCATATCCGCAGATGCCAGACTCGCACAAAAAGGCATTCTGCTCCGTACAGCTGCCCCCCACGGTTATCAAACGGCGACAGATCTTCAGGTAGGGATCACAAGAGAGCCCCGTGGAACAGAGGTGCACAGAGGCTGCACAGCTCTTGCCTTCCCCTTCACTCCAAGGCAGCCGGCAATATCCTGAGGGCACAACTGACAGGCATAAGGTGCTAATGCTCAAAGAGGGGGCAACAGCAAGCTCAACCGGTCAAAGAAATCCAAAAGCACACATTAGGTCCTTTCCTTTCTATTCAGTGGGCCTTTGTAGCGGCTGCGGGGGACAGACCAGAAAAAGCGTATAGTAAGCTACCTAAAGAGGGATATGACATGATGTAATCATTTCGGGGACTAACAGCGGACGATTTCATGTGTTCGTCTTTCCAAGTGAATACCTGTCCTTTGGTCTTTGGCGGTTGAGCAGATGAGAGGCATTTTGCATCTTGTACGCCTCCAATCGCTGTTTCCGCTCCAGTCAGCGCTACAGCTGTCACCTAGGGATGAAAAGCTCTTTTCTAAGACAATCCATTCCTCCTTCCGCAACACGATAACAAGGGTGAGGATCAGCACCGCAATCAGTAGCACCGCAATGCCCACACCTATTAGTATCTTTGTCAGCTTCCTCATCCTCTCTTCTCAGTTCTTCTAGTCTACAGGTTACGTGCTGCTTCTCGAAGAAGGCTGAGGAGCGGCCTTGTAACACCGCTATTTCTATCTCTATCTCCCAACCATCGGGTAGAAGGATCATCACCTTGTAACAGGAATAAAGGAACAGATGAAAGGAATGAAAGAAAAGTGGAAACAAGGGACCATTCCGATTGTTTGGAAAATTACCGGCAAAGTACAGTGGCCTTTCCTCCACGGTAGGGCACGGTCCACCGGGATTACAAAACTAGTGTGTGGCGTCTGAAATAAACCTTGTTCGGGGCAAGTTAATACCTAAATCAAACTAAGTACATTTTTAACTCCCATACGGGAATATTTCATTAGGAGAGTGTGCAGAGTAAGTCATGCAAAGCCCTTACAATCTCAACCTGCCCGCCTGTCTGCCAGCGAACGCGATTCAGGACCCTATGCCGTTAGCCCCAAACACCGACACCTACCCTCCTCGGCTCACAGCTAATTTGTTACTATTTTTAATGCTATTAGCTATGTAATAACTATAGGATCGTCAGTAGAAGGTCACCACGAAGCGCAACTCGGAGAACCCGACAGGAAGATCTTAGGCCACTCTGGATGGGAGACTGCTAGGTCTAGAGAATAACGTGTTTTCCTTTTCCCTACATCGTCAATGTTTTTTCGTAGGACTTGATGGCTTCCGCCGAATATAGATATCGTGATCTAGAACGAGTAGATCTGTATACAACACTCACTTCCGAATTGTGTCTTCGGTTCTCACAGAGTGGAGTTATGTAGCTGTGGCTTCATCGTTTTAGCTTTTTGCAGCTTCTTCTGTCTCTTGATGCACGAAACATTGTAACTCTCTCTATAATGTGAGTTTTGTTGATCCTTGCAGCCTTGACATGCTCAGCTTATAGCCATACTTACGGCCAGCGTAATCCAGATACTCGGGAATTTAGATTCAATTTACGTTCCTTTCCTTGGATTCACCCTTTTCCTTCTTAGCTATACTCAATCAAACTGGCTGCAAAGGTCGTCGTGTCAGCACCTTCACATTTAAACTCGCCAATTCTTCAGGGTTTTCTAAACCTCCTATTACGGAGTTAAAACTCCAAATCTTTGCTTCTTCAGCTCTTGAGCTGGAGGCTACGCCAACTCGCTTTTTTGCCGAGGTTTGGTGCCTCGTTAAAATAGCCAGATACGGCGGAGTCGACTCTGTATTCATGGTAGTTTGCGCTAGCGCTTGTTAAGTTCCTCTGTTCGTTTAAGCGCAATTACAGCGGTGACAAGTTTATTTGGCGTTTTTATTGGAGAACTAAAAGTATAACAGTAAAGATGAGCAGTTGAGGCTCAGCCTGGAATCGAGTACAAAGAAGATCGAGGCACCCATGTACTGTGTTGATTCCTGAAGCGACACGAGCAAGCGCCTACTGATCAACTGATCCACTACGTAGGCGCAAGGACCACTAATTTTTGGGACTAGTATTACGTAAGCGATATATGCGCCAACTTATATGGAAAGCGGGATTTGCCTAATTGCTGCAGCTGATCGCCGAAAGCGGCAAACAAAAATTATCCTACACAGACGCACCATAAGAATTAGAAGCAGCACAAGAGTAACCCCTTGTAGCACACCCTCCTTTCTATGTGGCTGTTGTCCTCTGCCTTAGTGATATCTGTTCGTTATTGAAGGGTGGGTTTGGGGTTCACAGTGCAAGGCCACTGGCATGGAGAACTTAAGCTATCCCCTAAATTGAGTTTGTAGTCTTTTATATTCCCGACAACTGCTTTTTGGTGGTGAACGGTTTAGATCAACAAGATGGGGATCCTTGAGTGCCTTTCAAGCTGTCATCCTTGCAGTGTTGGGGCATAATTCATGCTTTACTCCCGAAACACGCGCCCAGCATTGTCAGAAACTGTCCCCCTTCTCAAATGCAAGCCTCTTCTCATGATACTTTTCACTTGACTAAGCTCTTTGGCATTCTGTATTCAAAAGAATCCACCACAAGGAGTACAGTTCAGTATTGGCACGTAACCGGAAGGCAAGTGTACGAAGCACCGAACTAAATTTAGCTTCAACATAGGGCAAGCGACTACGAACAGTCGGCACATTTGTCTGACCGATGCATCCTCAAGATTCATTCAAAGGCGTGACTACAAGATGGCCTGGCGGGGTTTTACAAGAAGACCCTACTGTAGCGGGGCGAGCTACATTCGGCACTATCGGCTACCATAGATTTATTTAGCAGGCCACTCGTAAAGAATTGACGATCTGGTGTGTCTCAGTGGATCCCATCTATTATGTTGTTTGTCTGATACCAATAATGAAGTCTTGTGTGCGCTTGTTCTACATACAGTGTTGAACTAGCTATTAATCCCTGGAGTGCTTAAAAGGTGCAGCTAAACACGTCGTGGTTTCCCCTCTCGCAAACTTCTGAACTATAGGGGAAGCAGGCAGGAAGGGGCAAAAACAATTTCGAGAAAGATTGAAGGACTTACAATCAAGTTTGTATTGAGTGGAAAATAAAGTGCGTTCCAACGGAGACCTTCGGTGCAGCGTTCGGATAAAAGGACTGCACAACTGGATCCAGCCATTCCGTCTTATCCACTAGATGCCAGGTTTTCCAAAAGCAGTTGGCTAGCTTGAATCAGCCAATTTCGTATTCCAGTGACCTGATATTCTCTGGCAACAGGCTGGGGAAAAGAACACTCGCGTTGGTACAGAGCCTGTTGGGGCACAAGATACCGGGCTGCAAGCTGCTGTGAAAGCAGTAGAAAGGGGTGTTTAGAGCTGCTTGATACTTCTTGTGAGATGGATCTGTTTTCCGAGCCCGCTCAGTTGTTAGCGCAGTACCTAAGATCCAGACTTGCTGACGAGTGGCAGGATGCAAGGATCGGCAAGAATACGTTAGCTTAATAGAGCTTCACATAAGAATTCGGTTCTATCTGTGTGGTCCTTGACCTCTATGGTGGGTGTAAACCCCAACTGAGCAGCCGTATTTAGTGCGGTAAACCGAGCCCTATTCAGTGGGTTGTTGGGACGTTGAGAAATGCCAGCACTATTTGTATGGGTCTCTTTGTGGTGTCTACAGCGACCATTAGTTTTTTGTCGTCTTACAAAGGAATTTCAGTTCATCGCTCCTCCTGAAGTTTTTTGGCGTGGGTGCCTCCAGCAGTACCACTCTACAAGGAAGCAAAGTGAGGGCATCACCAACTTGGACAGCCACGCGCTTTTGCAACGACCTTGAGTCTTGCAACCGTCCAGCACAACGTCGCCTGTCTGTAAATTTACGGTTTGTAGCGACACTCCGTGTGTGACATGCTTGAACAGCCATTCATACGTTACTATTGCCAGGATTCAGGAAGGCAAAAGGATGAGGCACCAATACTTTAAGCATGACCTGCTGTGGTTCAAAACAAGGCAGGCACTCTCTCTGTCTTACATCGCGACTTCAGTTTAAATTGAGGCACAAAGCACACAAACATGTTATTCCGGGCCGTTAAAGGATTCATACTACAGTAGAAAGCCCTCACGGCTTTGTCGCTGGCCTTGGATGCTCCTCGTAACGGAGCAGTGTCCCGTTTCGTGCCCATTTTGTCAGCAAAATAAAGCCGGGCAACTCTCCTAAACCTGGCCTATCGCAAAGATTTCTAGTTGCTGAAAGGATGTGGAGTGCTCTGAGTATAAAAGCTTTTATGGGCCTGCCGGAGATCGAATGCCCGGATAGCTACTACATCTTCGTCGGCGAACTCAGCAAGAAACGCCCAGTACACTGTTTACTCCAGCTCTGTCACGGCTCAGGAAGGCCCTCAATTATTCATATCTCATGTCTGTAAGTTATCGGGTCCCCTATGACCATTCTCACAGAAGAGGAAGCAAATTTCGTTAGCCATGCCTTCACAACAGTTCTACACAGTGACTATAATAAGACCAGCGAGAAACACGCTGACGCAGAGAGCTAGACAAAGTATCGATTTGCAACATTACTTAATCTTTGCTACTACCTATAAATGATTATAGCCACCAGCAAAGTGCCTTCCCATCCAATAAATATGCTGCAAGGAGGGCATGATTATCTCCGTCTGGAAGGTAAAAAGCGTGGTGCATCTGCACCAGGCTGATGAAAAGCTCGAATACTTCCCATCATCCGCGCCGCCATTCACGTCATCAGCCAGCAAATCATGCATTTCTGCCAGATCTGGAGCCACTAGCTCCACAAAAGCGGCTAAGAAGGCTCCTGCTGTCTTAACAGACGATTTGACGCTGTCAAATTTCATCAGCAGAGGTTTTTTCCTCTGGATTATTGCCAAAGCAAATCAAATTATTGAATCAGCAAATAACCTGATCAAGACCAGACACAAGTTCTAGGGAACTGGGATATACACCTGTATTCCCAACCAATGGATGAGCGGTGAACAGCTGCATGGAAGAATGCCGTGCTACCAACTGTAAGCCACTTTGGCTCACCTAAGGTCTCCGTTGAGGCACCTAGTTCTAGACTCAATACAAACGTACTAAAAATTATTCTGTAATCTTCCAATAGCGCTGCTGTCTTACCCTGCACGTGCCTCTCGGAATTCTGACGAGGGGAGGGGAGCATCTAGGGTATGTGGTGCTGCACAGTCTAAGCCCTCAAAGCAGTCACAGCTGGTTGTGCAGAGCGACGAGCGCGCATGCACAGTCCTTTTGCATCGAGCTAACACTACACTGCAATTAATAATAAGGTATGCAGCCAAGTAAACCAAGAAGTTGGTTTCTTATTGATTCTTGTTCGGAAATAACTAATACAGTCGGAACTGTCAAAGTGTAGCCTAACCTGCTACAAAATGGTGGGCAGCAAAGGGGATGTTTTTTGTGCGTCGCTTGGTTTCACTGTGGATACACACTTGAATTGCCTAGCCAAATATTGCCCTTCTCCTCGAAAAGAATCGGAAAAGTGACTTGTTGCCAGGATGGCACATCCCTGACTCTTTTTTAACGAACGCATAAATAGCCTGGCTACCGTTGACGATCCTACGACCGTGTGGTTCATACGACAAAGTACGACGGACGAAATAAAATGGACACTGTTGTGGAAGAAAATTAGGGGAGAATGCAAGGACGTGGTTCCGCGGCACTCCTGGCGCCCCTATGGGGGCCCACAGCCCCAGGAGCCCCTCTTTGTCATTGTGGCAACTGTCTTTTTCTGTCTCTATGCAACCTCTCTCCCGTATTCCTTTTTTCTTTATTGAGCGAAATCGCACTCCAATGCTACAGCACTAAACTACCCCTAGACACAGCAGCCCGCCCTCAAAGGCCCAAGTGGCCCTAAACCCAGACGCATGTAGCAAGTAGCGAACGACCAAATCCTAGAGGTCATTCTTCCGCTCCAGCCTTCTGTTTTCTGTATATTTGCTCTTTATACTGTCCCTCGTATGTTACGGATCCTTCTTTGCCGCCTCAGCTGTCCAGGCAGCGGTCTCTCCCCTCGCTCCTTTCGCACTTCGTCCCGTGGAAGAGGCACCATTTCCTCCGGCCTTACCTTATCTCCTCCCAGCCTTCGGCTTTTTCTAAAGCCAATCTCCCTGCAGGGCGGTGCTTGAACCGACCGTTGGCTTTCCCACGTTCCCTCCTCCTCCCCCCCTCGCGCCCGTGTGTGGCTCCTCCCTCCTTCCCCCCCCTCCGCCTTTCATTCGAACTCCTCATCCCTATCTGGGCTGCCTCTTTTCTTCACGTGTCCAGTCCCCGCGCCGACCTGCTGCCGCCGCCTGTCTTCTTCGGACGGCAGCCACCAGTGCTCGAGCTGCCTGGTGGAAGCTCGTTGGTGTGCCTGGTCTGTGCACCAGCGGCAGCTCCGGGAGGATCTGGAGCGCCTCAAGCACCACGGGGAGGCCGGCTTGCTCCCCGCATTGAGGGGAGGCTTCGGAAGTTTCGCCGGCGGCAGAGGCAGTTGAGTTCGAGGTTCAAGAGCATATTGGGTAAAAGATGCCCCGAGACGAACGGCGGGGCAGGGAGCGGGAGGGCCACAAGGAACGGGGAGAGAGGGAGAAGGAGCGAGAGCGACTGGTGGATAGAGACAGAGGACGGGGCGATCGAGATCGGGATAGGCACAGAGAGCGAGAGAAGGAGAGAGAGCGCCACCGAGAGAAGGAAAGAGAAAGGGAGAAGGAAAGGGGGGAGAGGGACAGGCTCCGGGAGAGAGAGAAGCAGCGGGAGAGGGACAGAGAACGCGAGCGGGAACGTGAGCGCGAGAGAGAGAGGGAACGAGAGCGAGAGCGAGAGAGAGAGAGAGAGCCAGAGAGGGCAAGGGACAGACTGGACCGAGACAGAGATAGAAGCGATCGGCAGAGAGATTTGGGGAGGCATCACGATCGAGGAAGGGGAGGAAGAGACGGGCCGTTTTCCCGACGTTCGCGCAGCAGAGAAGGCGGTTCTTTCTACAGGCGGAGCACTTGGCGTTCTGACAATCGCAAGCCCTATCGGTTTGACTCTCCGCCGCGTCTTGACGGGACGGAGGAGGACGGGGTATCCACAGCGGCTGCATTTGCAGCAGTGCCTGGTGCTGCTGCAGCTCTCAGCGGTGTATTGACGGCGGGCACTACAGCCCTTGCAGGAGCTGCGGGAGCTGCGACTGGAGCTGTTGCTGCGGCTGGCAGCGCGGCTATCCCCGGAGCGGCAGGCCTCGTGCAGCTCGATCCAGCAACGACCAAAGCAGCAAGGGAGCTGTACATTGGCAACCTTCCCCCGAACGTCGAGGTTCCGCAGCTCCTCGAGTTTTTAAATGCAGCCATGGCAGCCGTTGGAGGAGGCGTTCTGCCAGGGCCTCCCGCAGTCAAAGCCTGGCGCAGTAGTGATGGGCACTATGCGTTTGTGGAGTTTCGGACGATGGAGGAGGCATCGAACGCCATGCAGCTGAACGGGCTGAGCTGTCTAGGGTTCAATCTGCGGATTGGAAGGCCTAAGACGTATCCTATGGAGCTGCAGCACATCGTGCCTGCCCCGACGATTCCCTTGCTACACCCAGCGGCAGCCCTCGCGTCTGCAGTCGTCACTCAGCTCACACAGCCAACGCAAATGCCCCTTGGAGAAGTTGCGTCCGTTGCAGTCAACGCCAAGGCGGCGCTCGAGGCAGCACAGGCTGCAGCCAGAGCTGCTCAAGGTCAAAATGGGGTTGAGGGTAAGCGCTTGGCAGTCTTCCAGGCAAGCCGTAATCATGAGGGATTGCTACGGCGCAGCCGTAAAAGAGACTGCTTTCGAGGAGGAGGGAAGACAAGGGCGGGCTCACTCGCTCGCTGCGGTGGATGCACAGCATCAGCTGTTGAGTCGGCATCCGCCAGCAGCGCGGTTACTGTGCAGTGGGGGGGGGTGCCAGAAGCTTGCGGTTCCAATGCTGGGCTTATCATTGTGCTTTTGCGTTCCTTGTAGGGCCTTCTCAACCCGACAGGCTCTGCGTCTTGGGCCTCCCCGCGAGTATGCCAGAAGAGAAGGTTAGCCAAAACGCCTTCTCCTGTTGCGGCTCTGCAGGAGTGTGGCTGGCTTTGGGGGCGCTTCAGAGCTGCCTAGATTTTGTGTTGGTGTGCCATCTCTAGCCAGTGGCGTGCGTGGGGCCTCTAGTCTGTGTGCCTCTGTGCATGCATGCCCTGTGCTCGTGGTGTGCAGATCCGCCAGCTGGTGGAGACTTTTGGGCCTCTTAAGACGTTCCACGTGCTCAAGAAAGACACTGATGATTCCCAGGTACTTGCAGTGCCTCTCCCACTCCTGCCTTCGTAGCGTGTGCCTAGATGAATGCAACCTTAAGGCCCGTCTTCCGTATGATGATTGGCGTGGCAGAGTAGGGGTGGCGGAGGGGGGGAGCTCGTTGGTCATGCAACGAGGCGTCTTTCGTTTCGCCTTGGCTCTATATAACGCGTTTCGTGTGGGTCTCTTCGCTGCTATATGCGCCGGCCTCTCAATGAGTTTTCCTCCAAGTCTGCCTTTCTTCCCAGGTTCCTTCCTTCTGTCTTCTGTCCTCTGCGGTGTTACTCCTACGCAGGTGGTGTGTGTGATCGAGTACCAGGACACGGACTCGCAGCAGCAGGCTATGGAAATCCTTCACACGAATTCTCCCTACAGAGTTGTCACTGCCGAGCAAGCCATTAACGAGGGGGCTGTTTCCTCCTTCTTAAAAGAAAAGATCTCTCTCGCTGGATCCAGCGCTGCGCCACCACTGCTGAGGCCCCAAGTCTGCACTCGCGTTCTGGTCCTCCACAACATCGTCACCCCCCAAGATGTAAGGACTACAACAGCGCTTCATGAGTGTCTGCCACTCTAGCCACATGCATTCGAGCGTTTTCCCACACCTCTCTTTGCGTTCAATGGAAGGCACGCAGGACGAGACTGGACGAAAACGTGGTTTCACGGGAGGGATTTTCCGTCTTTACTTGCATATGCACCATCGCGCTCACTTTAGTTCCTTTTTAAGCCGCGCTTTGGGTATTCGTGTATGCTGGTGGCGTCGCAGCTGCTGTTGCTCTTTCTTTCTCTCTCTCTCTCTCGCTAAGTGGTGCTTCTTTCTCTGCGCTGGCCGATGGTGTATGCCTGTTTACGGCTGTGTTTTTTGGCTGCATTTTTGACTGCTGCAGCTGCAGGATGATGACGAGTATGCAGACATCGTGGAGGACATTCGCATTGAATGCGAAGAGTGCGGAGGCCGAGTAGTTGAGGTGCAGGTGCCTCGTATGTGCCAAGACCCTTGCCTGGATCCTCGGCATATCCACTATCTTGACGATGCCGCTCAGAAAACGGAGGACGGAGTGGACGCCGGCGATGCTGCGGGCTCTGCTGTAGCTATGGGAGTGAAGAGAGAGGAGCAGGGCAGGGGGCCAGCTGCTTCTGGGAGTGAGTCGGCCTCCGCAAAGGCAGAACAAACTGGGGTCAAAACGGAGGCAAAAGACAGTAAAGAGGGTGACGGAGACGAGATGGTTACCGAGGAAATGGTGCTGGACGCCGTGCAAGGCAAGACAAAGGTCATGCCTCCGATGGTTGGATATGCTTACGTCGCTTTCATAGACTGCGAGGCTTCGGCGAATGCGCGAAAGGTGAGGCTGTGTTGCTCCATTTGTTAGGGTAACTATTGAATTCTGAACTGCATGCGAGAATGACAGGATCCGGAAATGCGACCTTCGAAAAAATATGCGCGATTCTGCGGCTATACCTTGTGGATGCTCGTGATGCCTCAAGCACAGAACGTGGCACATCGCTCCCTGCCTTGCGCGAAAATTAGAAATGCTGTTACGATAGCCTTTCTCAAAGTTGAGGCCCCAGGAAGCGCACTCTGTAAATACTCTCTTTGTGCTGCCTCGCTTGCGAAATTAAGAAATGCTTATATATATTTATATCGTTCGCAGCTGGTTCTTCTGGTAGCGCATTAAACAGGAATACTGTCGCATCTTCCTGTATCCATCTGGTTCCTCTTTGTGAAGATCGTTTCTACCCTTTGCCTCTCGGTCTTCAGGCGCTAAACGGAAGGAAGTTCAGTGGTCGTGTGGTGGAGGCGCACTATTTCTCCGAGTTACTCTTCCTGCAAAGAGCATTTGCATCTCCTACGCCCAACTTTTACAAGGGGCACTCCTGTCTGCATTCGCCGGCCCTCGCTGCCCTTGTGAAGAACCTCAAGGAGGAAGCAGCTTCTAGCGGGGAGCAACAGCATTCGTAAAGGCACTGTAAGCAGTTACGGCAGCATTACCTTTCAGCGGCGGTAACAGCGGAAGCAACAGCATTTCTTAGGGATGGTTGCAGCTGGTTCGTCTTGACCAGGGGTGAAACAAGGCGACGAATGTTGAAGTACAGTTGCCTGGGTGCAGCGACATTTAATGGGGTACCGGATGCGATGTGGAATACAAACAGCGTTTGTGGGACAGGGATCCACGCGTGGTGTTCCTGTAAATAGCTAAACAGAAACTGACGAGCTAGGGTGGAACCCCCTGCTCCGTGAACTCATATTACATGTACTTGCGCCCAACGAACCATGATTACGAAATCCGTAGGAAAATAGTCTCAGACGTAACCTAGGCAGCACTTGTGGCTGTTTTGCCGAATAAATTTGTTAAATGCCTTTCATTAAGGCAATAGCGAAGCCCCAAGCAACCCAGAAGGGAGGGTGATCGCTACAGTAGAGACTAGAAGTCCCCTTGGAGCGTGTATCGACCTGAAACAGAAGGTTAAATAGCTTTGGGCTTGACGATTGCGTATAGTTTGCCTCGATAAGCACAAGTTCGAATGATTGCTGCCAGAATTTCGAGGCCTTTTGGCTTTAGCCCACACTTTTTGGACACAAGTACCAACGTGAGTACTCAACGAGTAGGTGGTTCGAAACACCTTGTCTTCCCCCAAAAGGAGAAGGGAAGCCATTGGCAGTGTTACACGGCAGGTTTTATTTTGCATCATATTGAGGGGAGTTCCTTTATTTAGCTGCCGGTGTGAAAGCTGTACACAACTGAAGTCACGGCAGTCCGGATCCGGGGTCCTTGTCGTCCGCGCCACTTTCGTGGTGACGTGCTTTCCCACCCCCGACCCACAAAAGGTTAATACAATAATTCAACGAAGACCAATAGTGATGTAAAAGCCTTTGATTTGGCAGATTTTCTGCTGTATTCTCCCCTAGCGCCTGCTCTTGTCCTGCTGGAGGGGCTGGCGGGTGCGCCCATTCGGTTTTCATGCCGAAAGACTTCACTGTTTGTTTTCTCTCTCTGCAGCCCGCACCTTATCCAATAAGACCCTTGGCCTAACACCTTTATCCTTATCTCTTTACTCTTGACTCAAGGTGCGGCAGGAGCTCTACGCAAGCTCTGTATTCCCAACACCGCCTTCACAAGGCGGGCACCTCCAAGCCCCCTTCTTGTTGTTAGAAACGAGGAAAGACCCTGCTTCGTCTTGACGTGCTCGAGGCGTGCGAAGTAGCGCCAGCGTCCTCATGAAGAGGAGATGGGGCGGTTATGCGTCTCAGTGTCTCTCATCTGGTTGCTTTTCATCGGCGAGTCAGCTTCGGCGAGCTGCGTGTTCTCGGGAAGCCTCGGCTCGCGTACTGCATGGGAAGGCTGGACGAATTCTCGGGGGCCAAGAGCGTCTCTTGCTTTCGCCGGCTTAGCGTCTCCTGTCTTCCCCGTTGAGGCTCTTGCCTCCCCTTCAAGCCTGCATGTAGTGGATACACCAGCAAGAAGGAAGCCGCGCGTGCCCTTCGTCGCAGTCAGCGGGCAGCACAAGCAGGAAGGTTTCACGGGGGCTCCTAGATGCTCTGAGGGCGCTGTTTCAAGACTGCATGCACGTGCAGTCCCGTATTTGGTTGAAGCGGAAAGCACGAAAGAGACAAAGCAGAAGGCGCCATCTGCTGCCCTTAGAGCGGTTGCAACAGGCTGCTACCTGTTTCCCATCATCGATACGCTGCAGGTATTCTTTCAGCCCCCCGATGCGTAGCAACTATCTACTGCTCATCGTTGTTGCAGTTTCTGCCTTTCTGTTAGTGCGTGGCACGGGCCGGCGTCAACGGCCCTCTTTTGAGCTAAGCCCACTACCGCCTCCCTCTGCATCCTGCACGACGATAGAGCCTCAGGCATTTCTTTTGCTGCTTAAATACAGTTCGTGCTCACCGGGCTGTTTATCGCGAAAGCCCCATTCCGTGGCCTTTTTCATGCTAACTAACATATTTACATCTCCCTCTTGCTCTTTTCTGTGCTGTAGGCTTTCGCACCCGTGCCGTCCCTTGGGCGCTTGGCGGGACGGTTGGCTTGGAGTTGCAACATCTTATCCATGGGAGTGTCTTTCCTGTTCCTCCGGAAAAAGCTCATACCTGCTCCCCCCTTTTTAAAGCACCACCTTATGACGGTGCGCTGCCGTCACTGCTGCTGATTGCAGTGGGCTGTTGCCCAATACCGTTCCTGTAGTGTAGCACTAGTCGATTCAATGTGCTGCTGTTCCTGCTTTCATGGGCTGCCACTCTTAACCCATCGGTGGCGCTACTCACGGTTGGTGGTTGTGGCAGCGTGGCGTGCTTTCCCTTCAGGCATCTCTGCTCTCCATGTGTTCCTTCACGCTGGCGAATATCCACTACAAAGTCCTCTCATTCTTCATTGCTGGCCGAACAACCTTACAGGAGTCTCTGGCTTTCGCCGCAGGGGCTTCTCTCCTCAGCCTCATTGCCCCCGCAGCCCTCAGTGCCACTAGGGGCAGGTAAACAAGAGCTTTGCACTACATAGGACTTCTCAGGGAGGTCAAAGGGGCTCTCTTAATGACTGCTTTACAGTGGGAGAAGCACACTCTATGAGCCTCATGAACCGCCTCCCTCCTCAAAGCTTCTCGCGACAGGGAAGCTTCAAAAGATGACTGTCCTTTTAAATAGAGAAGGAATCTCGGTATCGAGCTCTTGTGACTGATGGTTTGTCTCTTCGCTGGTGCAGAGCGGCTGCTTTGCCGGTTCTCTCTGAGGCGGTCTCCCTCCACTTGGGTCCGGACGACTTTGGCGCGAAGTAAAAGGAGGATGAAAGAAGCAGAGAATTTCGCCTCCCTGTATCCCATTCCAATGTGGGGGACTGTCTGTACTATTTCCTTCCCCTTTTCTGGTCCCTTTCGAATGGTGTATGCGTCCTTTAGCGAAGACCCCCTTTGCCTACCCCTCAGTTGTAACTGCTCCCTCGGGAGAGCCCTGCAGGAGCCACAGGCAGAACTTACTGCTGAGCCGTTCCCCTGCCACGGGCGTGACAGAAGTGTTTGCATAGAAACTTGCAAACTGGTGAACTCTTGAGAACGCAAAGCTTTTGGAAGCTAACTTCGGGGCATCGAAGGGGCACATTATAGTTATTAAGTTGGTACAAGGGCGACTGCTCTAGAACTAAATGCTTGAGAAGTAGTCGGGAGTTTTTCCTTTCACGATGTCCCATAGGTTGCTGCCTTGAGAACCTTGGATCTGTGTAGACCTGCTACACTGGCATGTTCGATGACAGAAAGCGACACTTGAGTTTTGAACGACTCATGAACCGCTAAGTTCCTGAAAACAGTCGCTTTTCTGTGTTATTTCGTGTAGTCCGCGGTCAGCTGTTCCAAGTCTTCAGTTGGGAGTGCTGCAGCGCCTCCCTTTATTAAACCGCATGAGCCTTCCTTCGATGGTTTCAGAATTGTTTTGCAAATTTAGGTACGGCGTGACAGCGCAACATTTCCTGTGTGCAAGGAGGGCAAAGGGTTTAACGGTCTGCCGAACGGCTGCAGCACCGTCTGGGGCTGTGTATTGTCTGACGCGTCCCAATCATCCCTCACTGTTTTGTACTTGCGACTAAAGAAGAGCTTTTTTCACCTCTTCTGTTCGTTGATTTATCTCCGTCGCTTCTGCTGGCCCTTGAATTCTCTCTCGGTCTAGGGGACCTGTGCAGCAACCCTTCACGCTACGTGCCCACCCTCTCCTTTTGCGGTTCATCTTCGCCTGTTGATTTCCTCTCTGGTATCTGATTTTTCATCCCTGTCCTCTTTTCTGCTGAGACGCGCCTGCCACCCCCTCTCCCTCCGCCTCCCTCCCTATTCCTTCCGCCCCCCCGCTATCTCTTCCTCGTATTTGTACCGACGACAATTGAAATGGCTTCTCCAGGGGGAGGTTGGTGTTTAATCGAAAGTGACCCCGGGGTCTTCTGCTCCTTAGTAGAGAGGATTGGTGTTAAGGGAGTCTCCTTTTCTGAGGTGTACGGACTCGATGAGGGATCCTTTGAGTCTCTGGAGGCTCCAGAAACAAACAGAAAGATCTTGGGGTTTGTTTTCCTCTTCAACTGGACCAAGGACAACAAAAGGCACGGGGAGGATTCCAGAGAGCCCATAGATTCCACGGATGAGGAAGCACCTTTCTTCGCAACGCAGGTATGCACAAAGCCACGCGTGCCCATCGTGTGTGTCTTGCTTCAACATGTGGTCGATCGTCTCATTCCTTGTCTTTGCCCAAGCAGCATGAACAGTCATGAACGTAATTTTGCTGCCTTCCTATGGGCTACACAGCAGGACGATACGTGGGCCCTTTACTTGAATTCGCATGCAGTTGCCGTCCTTCGCCTGCGGCGTCGCTGTGGCCCTCACTTTCTCGTTTTGCCAATGTCTGAGGTTCTCTGTGCCCTTTTAATGTCTTGACAGTGCTCGCATCTGTGTCTCAGCTGCCTCTTTTCCCTTGCGACGCTCTGCTACTGTATCCGTTTCGGGGATGCTCTCCGGATGGGTGTTACTTGCCGCCCGTCATCCTCTCATCCTCTTACTCTGGAATCACCCCCTTTTTCTGAATCCCGGCCTCTATGAGTCGCCGGAATCGAATGCGGCAATCTGTGGCTCTCTCCATGTGGTGCCTAGGGATGATTCTTCCTGTGCATTCAGGTAGTGGAGAACGCCTGCGCTAGCCAGGCCATAATTTCTGTTCTTTTGAATCGGCAGTCGGACATTGCTGACTTAGGAGAGCCTCTTCGAGGCCTTTATGACTTCACAAAGGACTTCAAGGATCCCGCAGTCAGGGGTGAAGCCATTGGCAGTTGGTATGTTGCACTATCTCTTCTGCTGTCTGGTACAGCCCGATTTTGCCAAAATGCCGCTTTCTCTCAGGGGCTGGCTGCCTGTCTGGCATACTTTCTGTCGGCTCTGCGGTCCTGTGTGTTGTCAGCGAAGCCATTCGGTGCGCTCACAATGCCTTTCGGCCGCTGTGCTCCTTCGAGGTCTCTGACACGGAGGATGCCAAGGCTAAAGACGCGTTCCACTTTGTCTCTTACATCCCCAAAGGCAACAAAGTTTATGAACTCGATGGCCTCAAACAGGTACCGATACGCATTGCGGTCTAAAGCTTAGGGCTGCACAAGGGGGAATGTTATGGGCTGCTGTCTTCGGATCGAGGTCCACACGGTATGAGTTTGTTGCATTTTGCACCTGGTAGGGCCCCTTGTGCGTGGGGGAGTGCGAGAGCTCCGACTGGAAGGAAGTTGTCCGCAAGGAAATACTCAGGAGAGTAGAAGAGTAAGGAGAAGCACGAATGGAAAATGAGGATGCCTGCCGCCAGTGTTCTGTGTGTCTTCTCAAGTCTGCGGCTTGTTGGCGCTTGCCACCTCTTGTTGTTGGGCGGTAAAGAATAGCCTAAAACGCGACACTTGATGCCTCTCAACGAGTATTTTTTGCGCATTTTCCCCCCAAGTGCGGCTCTATATATGGATTTCCTGCGGTGCTTATCATTATGGTGCCCTTTTTGTTACGGGGGCTTACCCCTTTGTCTGCGCTGGGAACCTCAGGATTCAGGCTCGGGGAGAGGAGTTGCGGTTCAACTTATTGGCTGTCACCACAAATCCGCTGGATAACATCAACAAGGCACTAAAAGAGGCGCAGTAAGGGGTCCTTGTTTCTGCTGCTTCCCCTCCCCGACCCGCAGTACCTTTTGTGTTCTTCCTTGTCTTGCTGCTTTTCGGGGAAAAACCAATAGGAGGATGCGGTTGAGTCATGAGAAAGGATGCACATAAGAGACGCGGGACGGCATTGTGGTGCGCAGCAGCAGGAAGTGAAGCCTCAGTGCCGTGAAGACAGGAAGTCAATTTTTGTAATGTAACTTTGCTTACCTGTGCTGCAGACGGACTGCGGAGCTAGCTGCTGCAAAACAGTCTGGAGAGCCCCTTGAGGAAGGCGAAAGTAACTGCCTTCCCTCCGATCCTAAGGAGCTCGAGCAGGTAATCTTAACCCACCGTGCAGTCTAGCTGGCGGGAGGAAGAAGCACTCTATTCATGAGGCACTCTTGAGGGTCCAGGTGTTAAGCTGCGATTGAATGTACAGATACACCGGGACGCATTGGGGAAAATTGCAATCCTCGAAGAACAGAAGAAAATCGAGGAGGCAAAGCGCGCGGTACGTCGTATCCCCATTTTTACATTCGCGGAGAACTCCTGTTGAGACCCATTGACTGATATGCCGGAATGAGCGCTTACGGTCAGCTACAAAGCGTTTTTCAATGTGCTTTTAGGAATGGGAACGGGAAAATGCCCGACGGTGTCATGACTTTACACCCTTCGTCTTGTGCGCTCTCCGGTAATTCTGCTCTCTTGTCCTCTTTCGCACCCTCTACTCCCTTCCCATGTTGCCATGACGCTTTCTGCGCACTCATGCATGCGCTAGCATCGATTGTTGTGAATCAGTCAATAGAAATAGACGTACAATGAATTCTTTCCCCCTTAGGTGCACAACGGTGCGCCTGCCCAGACTATCCTGATGATAAGGCTCTTTTCCCTTTCCTCCGTTGCTGGAGCTTCTCCTTGCTTCGCCTCTTCTCTATTCTCTTTTCTGCCTCCATAATTCTTTTTTCAATTTTGTTTCCGCCTTTGGATTTTGAGGTTTAAAGTGGGGAACGGGGGGGATGGGGCGAGCAGCGCCGGTCCACTGGAAGAGGGCGCCTAATCCGAAAGTCTGGTGCACCTGACGGTTTCTCTTGGTACTTTTGCTGCGGCTACGATGTTGCAGCCACCTCGCAAAGAAGGGCGAGTTGCTCAAGGCGGTGCACCGCGCAGCTGCAGTGACGACGAGTGGAAGTGGGGAGGTCAAATCGGAGAAAGCCCGCGCCTAAAACTTCCTCCCTCTTGCTCCTCTTCTTCTCATCTTCCTCTGTGTGTACTCCCCTCCCGCCAGTCTCCATCGTCATTCCTTCTCGGTCTCACATCTTCTAGATTTGTAGTGTAGAGGGAAGGGCCTCTGAACTGCCTTGGGATTCTCTTGTTTTGTGCGCAAGCCGCAACTAATTGCTGTCTTTTCTCCCTCATCTTCACCCCGGTTAGATCCGTTGGGGCATCCAGGCTTCTCGGAGTCTCTTGGTTTAAGAAGCGTTGTCGGGGTCTCTCTCTCCCTTCCCTGCTTTGCCGGTAGAGCGCCCGTTGTACTTAGCCGCACATCCCTTGAAATGCGCCTTGCGGAGATATGTAGATGCTAGCGGCCGTTTTTCGTGTGCGATTTGGGGGTTGCATATCTCGTCAGCGGCAGTGTACCAGAGGCTGCTACCTAGATAAGAAGATAGGCAGCGAGCTACATGCAGTGCGCCGGCCACCTATTGGCAAAAGGCGTACTAGCTACATTAATTATGTATAGCAAGCAACTAGTGAAGTATTGGCTCAGCACAATGGTGTGTGAGTCCGTTAGATGCTGAATGCAATTAGCTGGGAACGCTCAGAGTGCTTACAGGGTGCAGCTACGTACACCCTAGCTGCCCCACTTCTCTCATGTCGGGAACCCACAGAGGCAGAGGGTGGTGGAGGCGGGAGTTCTTTTAGGAAACACTCAATCGAATTTCTGTGAAGTTCGTGTTGAATTTGGAATTAAATGGCTCCTACGGAGGCCGTAGATGGAGTTTTAGCGAGGGCGACTTCTCTGATGCTTGTTTCAACTAGGTTGGGCAGGACTGATCAGCGTGAGGCCAAACACAGCAAGCGGCGTGGAGGCAATTTACAGTTCATCTAGGAGTCTCAAAACGAAAGTACCTTTCGCCATGAATCCAATACAGGATCTAACAGGTGAATGAGCTTCCTTCCCTCATGCCCCCTACCCTAAGCCCAAGAAAGCTCCTGCATGGTGGGATTTGGAGCACACCGAGCAAGCGTGCCCAGCTGCACGTAGCAGCCAAGACCCAGAGACGCAGCAGTAGCTCAAAATACTTGGGCCCTGTTCTACATCGAAACAAGCAGGATACACGGGCAGCCGAGTTAAACGGTCGATTCTTCTCTGACCTTTCCTCGAATATAACTAGTACGGTGGGAGGTCCCTAATCGTAGCTTTGGCCGGGTACAGGCAGTGTGGCCCCCTCCAGCTAAGCCGCGCTTCCTTCTCGCTACAACATGCATCGCCTCGAAAGACACCACAGTTCGAAACGCGATACAGGCGCCAAGGGGTGGAGGGACCAGCTCCTTTGGTTTGCGATTGTGCCTATAGATTGCTGTTTTTGCACCGTTTGTAGCCCGTAGCGCAAGGTGACTGGGGCTTTCACTGGGTTATTCCATCCCTTCGCCCTACCTCCAGAATGTCTAGATGCGTTCTTGAGGATGAAACGCGGTAGCATGATAATACAAAGGAATGGTAGCAGGTAGTTGGTGGAACGAGGGAGGCAGGCAGATGACGTAGCACAGGTACCCTCCACATAAAAAGCGAGAAAGATTTTCAAGATTACCCAACGAAACAATACAACCACACGCTATTCGAACAACAGAATATACGAGGCAAAAGAAGGGTTGTTGCATTTCGCTCACTGCGCTGCATTTTACTTTGGAAGCGCACGCACTCTCGCCTTTCTCCCTACGAGTTACAAGGCACAATTCCCGAGCAGCTGCTCTTATCTGGGGGCTCCAATAGCGCACGCTACCCTTGTTCATGTAATTAGAGTACCACAAACGGAATCGAATGGTTAATGAGGAGGGCGAGACACACTACGTACCAATAGCCGGGAGATCAAGCAACTGCTTCGGCGTGTCTTCAAGACAGAAAGGCTGCCAAACGCTCTTAACCGTGTGCGAACCATAGATCTTACTCAGAGGGCTGAGAGGATAATTCAGCCCCTCATTTAAGTTCTCCTTAGGGAGCCAGTGAATCTCCACGAAGCTTGACGGAAAGTAATTGCGTGCCCCTCCACAAGAGCTCCTCCTTCATATGCCGTCGCACCCAGGGTTTCGGCATGCGGAGACAGGGCCAGCTAGGTTGCGTGTTGTTGCACACCCTCTAGGCACTGCGAGCTTTCACAGCTAGTTGCATGCGCAGCATCTAAGGACTACGCGAACGCCCTTCCTTTTTATTGCAGTGAGCCGACGCTACTCTGCAATCGGTACGGCGTACGCACTGCCAAGCCAAATAAAGACTGCGGGCGAGTTTTTGGTGAAAAGCAAAGCAGCGTGGTAAACCGCGCCAGTGTGTAGCGTAGCCCTTACGGAGACGAGCTGTCTGCATCAAGCGCCACCCCTTTGAAGTTCACGCAGTTTCTGTTCATCATTTTCACTCTATAGAGAGGGAAGTCCGCCACCCCTGGACGAAGGGCGTGCCTTTCGGCTGAGGCGGCGTTGGTGCTCTGGGTTTTGCCCCCTAATTGCAGTGCGCTATCATGGCTCATCCAGTTCCGTGGTCATCAAGGGCATACGCATACTAAAATTAACTCTCAAAAATAAAACACAGCATCTGCACTTGTGCTTCTACGGTTGTTCAAAACCGAGAGCGGGTACCCCCCGAGGAGGGGCCCCTTGCTTGCGTGGGTATTTTGCGGGGCCCTACGGGCTGCTACCGCCCGGCGTTGCTACTGGCTTCCGGTCCGCTTCAGCCTTTTTGATTCCATAAGCCTCCCGAGACTAGCGCCTCTCAACGAAGTGGCAAACACACGATCCAAAACAAAGGAGAGGGCCCTCTGCAGCAGGGCCCCTACTGCATCTCCTCCCCAGTCATGATATGTAGTGCCCTAATGGTCCCCTCTTCCTTGCACACCGCTTCTGTCCAATTCGGCCTGTACCTCTGCCCCGAGGAGGACACTTGGGGCCCCTGCTCAGAGGCTTGCGCCTTCAGATCGAGTCTAGGGTACTAAGGCCCCCTCGGGCGGTGTGGGGGCCCCCCTGCCTCCCTGACCATGAGGTCTCCCGGTGTTGCGCTGCTGCGGCAGATCTATGAAGATAAGATCATTTCTAGACTCTTCGGATCTGACAAGACGGATGGGAGGCACGCTGCAGAGGTGCAGCAAGGGCGCCCTGAAGAAACCGTTACACCCAGCCTTTGTCCTTGTGAGCGGGCAGCGATCGCCACGCAGCTTCTCCAGCGGCTGGAGGGGGCCCCCGTCGAGGCGTCGGATCTTCCAGGGGCAGCAGAGGGCGGGGGGCCCCTTGGGCACCCGCAGCGGGGTATTGGCGGGCCTAATGGCCTCCCCGCGGGGCCCCTTGGGGGCCCACCTCTGCCCCGCAGCACCGAAGTTCTCATCGCTGTGCTGCAAGAGAAGCTGGCGCTCAGGGGCCCCTCTCAGGCAGAGGCCTCCGACGGCCAAGAGCAGCAGCAGCAAGTGGTGTGTGCTGTTTGCGGAAGAGACGGAACGGACCCCTTGAAGCAGTTTCTGGAATCGTGTCTTTCTTTTGTTGCCTTGTGGCGGCTTTGTTATTTTTCCTTGTCTCAAGCGGCGACAACCAAAGTCGGCAGACTGGTGTCTGCAGCCACCAAACGGCCAAAGCGGCACCTAAGTAGGGGCCCCCAGGAAGCGAATGATGCGAACGCAGAGGGGAGTCAGCAGTCAGAAGACGGCGGTAGCAGTCGCAGCTTTTTCTCCGCCGCAGACTGGGGCGTTCCCCCGGGGGGTGGCTCTAGCGATCGTCTGGAACTGAAGAACTGTACGTTGTGTTTTGTGAAGCTGGGCAAAGGAGAGAGAGAGAGAGAGAGGAAGGGAGGGAAGGCTGCGCTAGGAGTGCTTCCTTTGAATACATTCGTCCCCCTGATGTCACCCCCTCACTTCCCCCGCTCTTGAGGCCCCTTTCTTCCTCTCTTCTTTCGCCCCTGCTCCCCCTTGCTGAAGACGAGGCCTAGAAAGCCACGGCACATGGATTTTCCCGTCGAATGGCTGCAGCTTGGCTGTCGCTGTTGCACCGCCTTTCCCTGCTGTACAGCGCTGTGTAGAGACGGCGAGGTTTGGGGGGCTATGTGGAGAGGCCTTGGAGGCTGTTTTTTCGCTTTGAAATTCAGGTGCTCATGAAGAGACATGCGTTTGCTGGCGTGGGGGCATTCAGCTTTTCTGCGCTGCTGTTGCGTGCGTTCAGTTGTGAAGGTGCAGCAGATCGGTCAGGGCGCCTATGGAGATGTGTGGTTGGGGTGTGAGGTCTCGACATGCCGATGGGTGGCCTTGAAGCGCATGAAGCAGCAGCAGCAGCAACAGCAGCAGCAGCAGCAACAGCAGCAGCAGCTGGATCCGCAGCACCACACGGCAGCGGCGCAACAGCAGCTCTTGATGTGGCACTTGCAGAACAATGCTGAAGAAAGAGACGGGTTCCTCAAGACAGCCATTCGGGAGATTTTCCTGCTGAATGAGCTGAAGGGTACGTACAGCAGCAGCAGCAGCTGCTGCTGCTGCTCCGTATGTGTAGGGGCCGCGAGCTGAGTGCATGCGTTCAGAGAGGAACATGTGCAGCGAGAGTGCTCTCAGCACAGCAGGGGGCTTAGGGATGCGGCCATATCGGAACTGACGGGTAGACAGAGAGATGCCTTCGAGAAGGAGGGAGGGGATGCGGACAGGAGGGAGGGTCTTTAGGGAAGAAGAGAAAGAACGATAAGCCTTTGCCCGCGTCTCGAGCGGCTCTCTCTTGTTGGTCTTGTGTGCTGTGTGGTCGTGGCGGCTGCCTTCTTGCGAACTTGTAGCTGTGCACAGTGTATGGACGGCATTTTTGCCTCGAGTGCCTGCGTTTTGCTGTTTCAGAAAGTCCGCATATCGTCAAGCTTCTAGGCGTTACCCACTCAAAGTGTATGTTTTTAGCGTCTTTTCATCACCATCCCATCCCCCCGCTGTGCCTAGGGGCGGTTTTGTGAAGGGGGTCTTTCTTCTGACAGAGACACGTGTGCATTGTGGTAGGGGGGGGTAGGGAGCAAGTGTTGGAGAGAAGAGTAGAACAGAGAAGTCAGCTGAAGATGAGAAGAGCAATTCAAGGAGTTCATGGGCTTTGTCTGATGGGGGGCGTGTGTGCCGCATATATTAGGGGTTCTTCTGCTACTGCTTCTTTTATCCGGGGGTTCAGACCGAGGCGAAAGGGAGAAAAGGGGGATTAGGGGAGTGCTTGTGCAGACTAGCGGAGTGCGTCTTTCTTTGCCTGTGTTTTAAGGTATTCCGGTATGGCAGAAAGCAGCAGAAGGCGGCTTTTATCTCAGCCAATCCTCAAGCCTCAATAGTTTCAGCAGTAATCAGTGCCGTGGTCTCGAGTGTGTTTATGTTTTCTGCAGCGGCTGCAGGCGAAAGGTCTCACAAGGGTTCTGTCTGGATGCTCTTTGAGTTCTTGCCCTTTGATTTGTTGGGGTTCCTCGACGCCATCAGGAATACCAAGGAGAAAAAAGAAAAGTATCACAGGCCTGCAACGGTAGGATTCGCGTCTTTTTGTGTGATGGCAGCTGGGGAGGAAGGTCGCCTCCTCTGGTGCCTGTGCATTGACTGCTATGACGTGGCTTGTGCTGCTGCTGCTGCAGTGGCTCTCTGTTGGCGAGATCAAGGGCATCATGCTACAGTTGCTTCTCGCCTTGCACCACTGCCACCGCAACAATATCATGCACCGAGATCTCAAGAGTAGGCCCTCCTCGTATCTCGCCTTTCTTCCCCTGTAACTGTTCCTTGGGTTGCATGCCTTTCTTGCTCCTCTGTCTGTCTGCGATGCGCCTCCTTTTGGCCTTTTTCGCTTGCCTCTCGTCTTCGCCCCTGCCGCAAGTGCCTGAAAGTCAGGAGATAGATCGCATTACCCGCGGGAGGGGGCATAAGAACGTATGCCTCCTCCTTCCTCCGCTACAGCTGCCAACCTCCTGATGACTGCGAATGCATGCTTTGCAGCTGCCAACCTCCTGATGGATGCGGAGGGCACGATTAAACTTGCGGACTTCGGATTAGCCAGGCGATTTTCCAAGTTTGTATGCACCAACAAGCGCAAATACCAAACAGCGCCAACGCCACAGTCAGCCTCGCTGCTCGACAATCTTCCCATTTCATCACCTCCTGAAGAGGTTGGAGGGGGCCTCCTCCCCTCCGCCTCCGGGGCCCCCCCCCCCCAGCCCGAGGCGCCTCCCCTTAAGCGACGTCGGGAAGCGTCTCAAAATGCGGGAACTGCGGCAGCCGCCCTCGATAACCCCCCAGCAGCCCTCAACAACGACCCCACTCCCACCCCTCCCTTGACTCCCTCCGTCGCCACGGCCACATCCACCAGCAGCAATCCATCCGCCGCCTCGCGTTTCCCAATGCCTTACCGGGGCAGTCAACTGCGCTTTCTCACCAACCGAGTCATCACCTTGTGGTACAGGCCCCCAGAACTGCTGCTCGGCTGTGAAGCCTATGACGCATCTGTGGACCTCTGGAGTGCTGGCTGTATCTTAGCCGAGCTGCTGTGCGCCTTCCCACTCTTCGCTGCAGACAGGGAGGCAGGCGTTCTCAAACAAATTGCAGAAGTCCGTGCGCCCTTACGCGACACCCTGATACTGCTCCCCTCCCCAAACAGTGCTCAGGCGCGCTAACTGCATAGGCAGTGGCGGCATCATTTTACCGAGAGGAGCAGGCCGCACACTGCACGCAAAATGGGAGAGAAAGAGAGAAAAAGAGAAAGAAATGAAGATAGACACCAAGGAGCATTCGATTCCTCAGAGCTCTCTTGCCCTTCTCTGAGCATTCGCCGACAGGAGTCTCGCACATGCCTCTCTCTCCTGGAGTCAATCCTTGGGAGTCTCTTGCGGCGCTGCCCGCCTTCTTTTGGGGCATGCTAATTAGTTTCTCGAGCTCCGTGTGTCTGCCTCGATGGCTGTTTTTGCAGAAGCTAGGACCGCCTTCTCCTTCAGACTTAGCCCATCTGCGGGCATTGACGCCGCCTCACGCGTGGACGCACTATGGCGGCCTTGGGGGCCCCCCGGGGGCCCCTGGCAGCCTGGGGGCCCTTGGGGCGTCTGGGGATTTGCTGCAGCAGGGGGCACCCCACCGCGCACTGGAGTTTCAGCGAATCATCAAACATAAAAACCAGTAAGGCCGTCGCACAGGGCAGCTCAGCGTGCGCGCAAACTGCGGGCGTGGATGCTTCTTGTCGAATTTTTTGCGGGCGGGGGGTCGTTCGTGTCGCTCCGCTTCCCTTCGTCTCTGCCCTTTTGGTAGCGCCTGTGTCTTTGCACCTCGGTCTAATAACAGCAATCCTCGTATTGCTCAGGTCCTCTTTTCTCTCTGTGTGTGTGTGTCTCTGACTGGCGCGCGTTCGCCTAGCGGGCAGCCAAGGAATGCGGTCTTCTGCTCCTTCCGTCTTGCTGCCTGCACTTTGTGTGTTTCTTCGAGAGCTCCAGTGCTCCCTTTTCGTGCACCTTGGCCCTGCTGTGCTGCTGCGTCTTCCTCAGAGCTGGCGAAGAAGGATGGGACCTGCTCTCGCGTCTTCTCGCGTGGAATCCAGGTAGACACTTTTCCCCTGTCGGTCCTGTCAGCCTGTGCATGGTGCCACCCCCGAGAGAGTGCGAGTCGCCGCATAAGCCCTTAAGAAATCACGGGGCCTCTTGCGGGAGATGCCTGCGAAATCGCTGCAGCCAAAAGAATTTCTGCCTGCGCCGCTCTCGAGCACCCTTGGTTCACGACGAGTCCGCTTCCCGTCAGGTGGGTCAGGGGTGAAGCGGTCGGGGGGGGTTGTCTTAGCCTTTCGTGGAAACTGCAAAATCACTCTCCTCCTTGCCCTCCGTCTTCCTTTGGATCTCAACTGCTTTGCGAACAACGGGAAAAGGCCTCTCCTCAGAGTTTGTGTCTCTTGTATCGTCCCTCAGAGCGCAGCGACGCCGCCAGCTAGCGGGGGCACACAGCTTCTTGACGAAGGCCAAGAGGAACCCCGTTCCAAACCTCACGAAGCCGCGACCAAATCAGACTAGAAAGGCTCAGGAAGCCGCTGGGTAAGCAGGCGCAAAGTGCTGCGGCTGCTGCGGGTGTTGCTGTTGAACACACGCACCGGACTGGAGGGCAGCAGGGGAGGAGGCGGCTCGGAAGAAAAGCACACTTTTCCACACGCAGGACTGACTCTCGACACACGTAGAGAAAACAACGCAGTAGCGGCAGCAGCACAGGCCGGCCGGTGCGCCAGGTGACAAAAAATTTCTCAAAGGGCAGCGAGCAGTCGGGCAGATTCGCTATACCTGCTCGTGCTGGAGCAAGCGGGCAGCCCTCAGCACAGGCAGATCACGTCCAGCGAAAAAGTTTAATTCGCTGTTTTAGTTGCAATCGATAGCCACAGTGGCGGCCTCTCCCTTTCTTTCTGAGATCTACTTTGAGAAAGGAAGCGGCATCGAGGGTTGGTGGGGTCTAAAAAGCGGCTGGTCTCCCCCTACGCAGGATGCATGATAATGCATGCCGACACTTTCTGCCACGTGTGGGGGGGCCACTTGGAATGCTTCATTTATTGCACGCTGCTCACTGGCAGCCCTAGTGCCTTTGCTTTTCCTGTCTTTTCCCGCAGTGGCCGCCACCTCTCCGTGGATGCAGCACGAATCCAGGCCTGGCAAGCTGCTTACGATGAACGCATGCAAAGGCTCAAGAGTACGTTGCTACCACCTCTGGTGTTGCTGCTGGTTTGCGCACCGGGTGCTGGTGTTCAGTGTGTGTCCATACATATGTGTATGTGTGTCTATATATATGTGTACATGTATGTGTATGTGTGTCTATATATACATATATATATGTTTCTGTGTATGTGTGTATCTATATGGGTATATGTATGTGCATGTGTCTATATATATGTGTGTATATGTATGTGTATGTGTGTAAATATATATGTGTATATGTATGTGTATGTGTGTCTATATACATGTGTGTGTGTATGTGTATGTGTGCATCTATATGGGTATATGTATGTGCATGTGTCTATATGTATGTGTGTATATGTAAGTGTATGTGTGTATATGTATGTGTGTATATGCATGTTTATGTATATATATGTGTGTATACAGACATATGTATATATATACATATGTCTGTGTATATGTATGTGTATGTGTGTATATGTATGTGTGTATATATATGTGTATATGTGTCTATGTATATGTCTACGTGTATATACACATGTGTATATGTATATGTATGTATATATACATATGTATATGTGTATGTGTATTTGCATATGTGTATATGTAAGTGTGGGGGGCGGACTTTGGGGGAGGACCGCTGGTGTGTGCCGCGAGAAGTATGAGAGACGCCCTGAAGGGGGGTGTCTGTTTTGCAGCGAAAAGACGTCTTGGCTGTTTGTCCATTGGGGTGTGTTTTTTCTTTCAGCGCTCCGTGAGTGGCACAAAGAGACAGAAGCCGCAGCTGCAGAAGAAGCAGCAGCAGCAGCAGCAACAGCTGCAGAAGCAGAAGCAGCATCCGAAGCGGATCGGCAGTCGAGCGGCAGCACGGGCGTTGCGGGGGCCCCCGTCCTCGAGGGGCCCTCAAGAGGCACCGTTTCCAAGAGCAGCAGTGCCAGCGCTGGCGGTAGCAGCAGTATCTCGCGCGCGCCTTTGGTGCATAAGCAGGAGGAACGTCGCAATCGCTTTGGTCTAACAGCGCAGCAGATTTCCTTCTCGGCGGGCAGCGCGACGGAGGGTGCTGCATGCGGCCGAAGCAGCAGCTTGATTACCGAAGGCAAGAAGAAACGAGCACGCGAACACTTTGTAGAGGAGGTGCCTCCGAAGAGGGAGGGGCCTCCAGGGGCCTCCTTCTCTTTTTCTGAAGGAAGCATCCAAGGCAGCGGCAGCTGCCGGAACGGTGCGAATGCCAGAGTTTCCCAGGATGGCTTCAGTGCTGCTTTTTTGGCGAAGGAAACTTCAAGGGGGGGGGGCCCTGCTGCTCGAGATTTAGCCGCTGCTGCAAAGACGGAGGACCACGTGGCAAGCCCTCCCTGCTCCGTCGAGAAGCGGAGGCATGAGGAGGGAAGAAAGAAGGAGGAAGCGCCTTCCTCAGCGCAAACAGCGTCTGCTGCTCGTACGACGGACTTCCAAGGCACGCAGCAGCCGCCGCCATCGAAGCATCGGCAGCTGGAAAGCTCTTCAGCACTCAGACGAGATCACGCGGCCTCTCAGAGGCAGCAAGGGAGGCCCAGAGAGGAGGAGCGGCAACGGCAGGATGAGAAGAAGCAGATTGAAGAAGCGAAGCAACGAGAAGACGAAAGGCGCAAACAGCGAGACGTGGAAAAACATCCAAAGGAGGAAATGCGGCGAGACGAGGAGCGCAGGAGGCCGCGCGAGGAGGGGAGACTGCGAGAGGATGGGAGACTGCGAGAGGAGGGAAGATCACGTGAGGACGGAAGACTGCGAGATGCCAGGGAGAGGCAGAGAGAGGACGATAGAAGGAGGCAAAGAGAAGAAGATAATCGGGGCCTGGACGAAAAGAGGCACAAGGAGGAAGAGAAGCGACAGAGAGAGGAGGAGAGGCGGAAGCGAGCGGGAAGGCCACGAGAGGAGGAGAGGCGCGGCTCCGACTTAGACTGGGAGCACGACAGATATGTGAAAATGGATGAAAGGCTCAAGGCAGCAGCAGGGCAGCAGCAACGGCCGAGGCAGCAGCATAGCCGCAGTAGAAGCAGCAGTGAAATCAGAGGTAGCAGCAGCTACAGGACGAGCCATGGGAACCTAAAAGATCCTCAGAGGGATGTGAAAGGCCCCAGGAGGCGCTCCACCTCTCTTGGCAGTAGGACGCGCACCAGTACCACCAGCAGTAGTAGTAGCAGTAGTAGTAGTAGCAGTAGCAGTGGTAGTAGTAGTAGCAGTAGTAGTAGCGCTCGCTTGTATTCGGCTGGTAACCGCCGCCCCTGTAGAGAGGCAGACAGCCGCCCCAGTACGATGCCTGCAGCTCACTCCCAAACACAAGCAGCCCCTCCACCACTTCTACCGCGAGCAAGCGGATCTTCAGGGGATGCCGCGAGGCTGGACAGGGGCACTCCCACTGAGCGGCCTCGCCGAAGAAGAAGCAGCAGCAGCAATGTCAGCAGGTGCAGCAGCAGGAGCATCAGTCCATCCCGCGTTCACAGCAGCGTCAAGCGCGGTGGCAGGGGGCCTCCGAAGACATGGAGCAGCAGCAGCAGTGTCAGCAGCAGCAGATTATTGCCTACGCGGCCTTTAGTACTGAGCAGCACGGCACCACACGACCGCAGTGGGCGCTCTGAGAGGAGAGAGAGGGGCAGCCGCAGTACTAGCAGTAATAGTGGCAGACTCGCCAAGAAGAGGAGGAGCCTACGCAGCCGAAGCCGCAGCAGTAGTAGGCGCAACGGGAAGAGGAGCGTGAGTAGCAGCAACAACAGCGTCAGTAGCTGTAGCACCGCCAGACGGGAGGGTAAAGGGAGGCCTAGCAGCACAAATAGAGCTGCGCCCCCAGGGTTTCGGAACGATCCATGTAGAGATTGGCGCAAAGAACGAAACTGCAGTAGGGGAAGCAGCAGCGTTAGCGACATCAGCAATGAGGAGACACCTTGCCGGCCCCCCCCATCCCCTGATTTCCCAGTTTCGCACCGCAACTACGCAGGGAGTAGCAGGCCGGGGGGAGCGCCGCCTTCTGGCTGGGGGGGAGCTGCACCCCACACTTCACCGCATTACGTGCACAGCAGGGCGTCCTCACGCAGGTACCAGGAAGAGGGACTTCCTGCACACTACGGAGGGGAGGGGGGCCCTCCACCAAGGAACGTGTCCTTTGGTTTAGACGCCTGCTCTCCCTACGCAGAGAACAGGGCCCCCCGTCCTCCGCTACACGCCACTCCAGAGGCGCCACCACCCCCTCTCCCCCGTGGCGAGCCGCAGAGACACGCGAGGGGCCCCAGGGGACAGACTGGGAGGTGGATGTTCTAAGAGACGAGTTACAACGTGCAATTCGGGGTTTTTGCACCGGATAGTGAGTAGTATCAGCTCTCGAGAGGGAAGCAGTGGTTCAGCTTTGCCCTTGCGTGCCTTCGTTTAAGCAGCTTATGTAGACCTAGGGGCACGCGCAGAATCGCTCTCTACCTACTGAGTTTAACGTCCAGAAAGCCCAAACACAAGAGCTCAGGCGTTGGCAAGGGCGTGAGTAGTTGTGGTGCCGCAGCTCGGGAAGGAGCGCGATATACAGAAAATCCTGAGCAGCCCGCTTCTCTTCTACAGTCAGAGGATCGCCAACAACTTGACTGACAACTCGCGTTGTCTTGATGTAGTACACAAATATTGGTTGTACGTATAGATGGATACCGCACGGCGTGCAATCACGAGATGCACCAACAAGCCGCAACCGGGATATTCGAAAGGCTCTGTGTGGTTCCCGCCAAAATCTTTCACACTTTCGACATCTCTGCAGATCTTTTGAGTCTCCCTTGTCTGCATGGAAATTCAAGGCGTAGGGTAGGACGTAAGCCTTCAACCCCCCCAAATCATTGCCCTCCTCCGTCCCTCGCTCTTGTCGCTCATACACGGTGCACACACCCAAACTAGCAGAGGAGGATGGATGCGCATTAACAAACAACGAGGGATATACAAGGGGCAAGCCAGGAGTACAAAACAAAGGTGCATGCACGCACGCTATGCATCGAAAGGCAACGCCTTCACCACCTCCTGCACGAGCTCTTCTAGCTCATTCTTTCGTGCTTCTGCGTCTCCTTCTGTGCTGCAAATTTCTGCATACCATTTCAGCTTCGGCTCGGTCCCGCTGGGTCTGAGTGATACAACGGCTCCGTTGTGAAAACGGAGAGTTATCATATCTCCCGCTTCTTTGGAGAAAAGACAACGCCCGTCTGGAGTCGCCGAGTCCGTCCCCATCGCAATATTTCGCACACTTTCTACCCTGAAGCTCCCAAAGGTCGGGTGGTACTGGCCCCCATTGTAGAGCCACGCTAGCGCCTTCTGTTGCTGCGGGGGCTGCGCCAGCTTATATCCATTGTTCGTTATGAAGTACCCGTAGCGGGCGCGAAGAGACGCGAGATAGGAAGACAGAGTACTGCCTTTTGCGTACAATAGACACGCAAGTTCCACTAAAACAGCAGCAGCAGACACCCCGTCTTTGTCTCTTACCAGGGGGCAGGCGGCATACCCTAGGGCCTCCTCATACACCAGAACCGGCAGCAGCCCCCGAGATGCCTCGAGCTCTGCCGCTTTGTTGCCCATCCACTTCAGTCCTGTAGGCGTCTCCTCAAATGCGCAGCCGTTTGCCTAGCGAGACAAACACGCACGGCAGGCGGACCGACATCCAAAAAATCAGACACAAAAGGGATACCGGGCAGCGAGGCGAAAAGCAAGGGCGGGTAAGGGAGCGGCCACACCAAGAGCTGCTTCGCTACAGCCCCGATACCCCGTTTCAAGTGCTCTTCCGGCTTGTAGGTAGCTGGAGTCGACATGCACTTGCCTCAGCGAAGGCTTTGAGCATCTTCGATGACACCATAGAAGTGACGAAGAGCATTTTCTGCTTCGCCGTTTCCTGCGCCGCTCGCGTGTCAGCCAAGTACGCTGCGAGGATTATTCCCACTTCGTCACCCGTGAATTGGTGCCACGAACCGCTGAAAGGACGCCGCAGGCAACAATGGACAGTCAAGATCTTGCTGCTGTGTGGTACGCTGTGTGCCCCTCAAGCAAATGTGCATAAAGAACACGGCACACCAAAAGACAACGGGAGGCAACGTGCTGCATTGACACGCATCAGAAGACTCCAGAGTAAAGAGCGTGAGAATTACACACACATCCCGTTCTTTTAAAAAAATAGGCCACACCGCCGCCGCCACAACACAGCCCCGCAATTCCCCTACTGGCATTTTTCGGCGCATGCAAATCTGTCAGCGTCTGGGTCGTTTGCGATGATGATATTTGCGTCCGCCTCTGTTGCCTTCTGGAGGGCCAAATCGAGGGCGCCCTTCTCCTCCGGGTTGGGAAAAGGAACAGTTGAAAAGTTAGGGTCCATGTCGCACTGCGCTTCAACTGAGCAAACGCGAGACAGAACTTGCCAGACGTGTGCATTCAAGCGTATTTCAGAGGGAGGCAGATGTGGTAGGCTGCGACTCGGGGGCACAGAGGAACTGTGGCATGATGCCATGCTGTTCCTTTTCCGCACTTTCTATGCACAATTGCGGGTCTACATGGGCGTCACCCCAATAGCTAGCGTGCAGCTACTGGACTTTAAAAACCAAAACACGGCACACACGGAAGCACGCTCATGAGGTCTACAGTCTGCTGAAGCAATGCTGTAGTCGTCAACATCATATGGCGTGCGTAGTAGGCGTGGTGCTGGCTCTGTGTAGCCTGTAGGGGTGAACAGCTCAAAGGAAGCGAAGAGTTAGAGGAAGCACAGGATGGCCATGAGGCATACTCAGAACGGCAGTTGACGTACCAGGTAAAAGACCCTTTGAGAATCCGAATCTTGCCAAAAGCTCTGTTGCAAAGGGGAGGCCTACTCCATGCAGTGGAGTGTAGACGACTTTGAGGTTGCTCTGAGCCGTCTCCTTGCGTCGCATGCAGAGGTCTCTAGACACTGCAGACATGTACGCCTCGACAATACTTTCCCGCGGGTCTTGAAGTAAGTCTGCATCTCCGGGGAAGGAGCGGCAGAGGCGCGTCTCTCTATTGAAGAACTCCTCTACCTCAGGCCAAAGCATCTATGGGCAAAACAGCGATACCGCAACACCTGATACACTGTCTGCAAGACAGAATGGATCCTTGACTTCCGTACGTATGGTAGCCTACTGTTTCAGGCACAGAATACAAAGGGAAGCTGCAGCTGCTGCACTTTGAACTGCCTTCGCCGGCTGCGCGACGTAAGCGGGGTGTTGCCACTTCTTTATTTGGCACTGTCTTCGCAACCCGAGGCCGTCGTCTAATGGAATATGCAAAGACTTTAGATAAACACAGAAGATATGCCGAGACAACGCTCCATCGCATCGACACCCGGAATCATGCAAAATTTAGACACTCGGCCAGGGCCCTATGTTGTTTGCAAGTGCACGCCGCCGACACACAGTGCCGTAAACATAAATTCCTTGTGCTTTCCTTCACATGCCAGCTAGGAGCTGGCTCAACAAGCCCACAGACGCAGACACTAGCAGCAAGAAGTCGTACCTGGTTCTGGTCGATTGCTTGGGCAACATGTGCATCGACAGGAGGGATAATCTGCACCCCATTGCTGTCGTATACTTTGTAGCCATTGTATTCCTTTGGGTTGTGGGAGGCAGTCACCATGATGCCAGCCACGCACTTCAAGTGTAGCAGAGCGAACGAGACAAGAGGCGTATGCACCGGCTGCCCGAAAAGATACACGCGGAATCCTCGACTCAGAAACGTTGCTGCCGCCAAGTTAGCAAATCTTCGCAGCAAAAGCAAGACACAAAAAACAGTGGGCAGAGGGGGCGTCAGTAGCAGTGCACAACAGCAATGTGGAGGTCAGGAAGAGAGCTACTATGGCTAGAAAAGTTAGGTATGATATAGAAAGTGCAGAAAATACGCGCACGTGGGGTGGTGCCGTTAATGGGGTCACTGTGTGCATCAGTAGTAGAATCTGTTGCCCTTGGAATAGCGACGGCAACAGAGCTCGTAGCAAGCGCTCTAACTATACACATCAGCAGCAACAGCCCAAACAGCGGCAACCTCAAAGGGTCATACTGCTCGGAGTTGTGTCGGTTGTCTCGGGCAACGACGATTCCCCTATCTCGGCATTCCATTTGTCCGTGACGGTTAAGGAGGTAGACGCAAAACCCCTAAGGCATCGAAGAAGCAGAAACACACCGCGCTGGAGATCAGTGGCAGCAAGCTGTTGAGAATGGAGGGAGGCAAGAAACTCTATGAATGTAGGATATTGCACCTGTGTGGTGGAACGCCTGAGGGGTCGGGATGGATGCCCCTATGAACCGTGTACGCCCCTTTCCCGCTACCTTCGCCCTCCGGCTGCCAGCTTTTCCGGATACGTATCTCTTCCTTCCTCCATTCAATTCTTTTGGACCATCTTACTTGTGATGCCTGCTGAATTGTAAGATCGTTCAGGCGACTGTATCCGGCACCCATCGGCGCGCGAAGCCCAGCCTATGCAGAGCAAAAATAGGGTACACATCACTACCACACATCATGCAGATATAGGGGAGAAGTGTGCGGACGTTTGGAGGAGGGCGTAAATATAATCGTTTCACATGAATTGCAGCGCGCCAATGGAAGATCCTCAGGAGGGAGGCCCGCATCTCTCACTTTGCCTGGGAGTGGAGGGGCTTAAAAAGAAACAAGGGTTGTGGTTTAATATTTGATGCGAGATGTGTGCTTATTCGCAGGGGGGGTTAGTAAATCCCTATTTGAAGCTTTCCTGAGTCTTCTGTTCAAACGTGAGGCTTAGATGCACTGACCGTTCCGAACTTTAATTTTCTGCAAAAGAGCTCCTTCAGCTCGCATTCGCTTTTTTCAGCCAAGAGGTGCTTTGCCTCTTCCAGTGTTCTCGGATTCTTGTCGCAGGAAAGCCACAGCAACGCTTTTTCCCTTAACTCGCCGTCTGCCAGGCGGGCAAGGCAACAACTATCCTCGGAATCCATTTTCTTGTGCGCGAAAGATAAAGAGAGGTGGTTGGAAAAATAGTACCATGGATTAGCAAGCAGAAACTAGCATCGTAACAGAACAACGGAAGACACAAGAGGAAGATCTCCAAGACTAGGAGGCCCACCATCGCCGCAACCGTCTCTTTTGCGGAGCTGACTAGCAAGTTGTTAGGGGAAAAAAAGAAAGTCAGAGAATTAAATTAAGCAGTTGCAATTGGTCTAAAACTATAGAAGGTGCATTAATAAAAGTAATTTTCTGAGAGCTCTAGGGTACTTAGAGATGAAATGCATGAAACACAGAGCAGCAAACAGCGTACTGCGCAGTCCGTCGATCATTAATGCCTTCCTGCTACTGAAAAAGTGAATCTGCAGATTTAACAATGCAACAAGTGAGGCAAAGGCTGGGCTTCGCTACATTAAGAGTCAGTTTGTATACTCTAGCTCTCGCCACGTACGCACACACACACTTACATGGAACAGGTGTAGCAAAGGGCCCAAGTGTGACCCGGCCCGCTGCATCCACTCTGGTCGGGCAGAGTAGGCACGTTGGCAGACGGTTGAAGGATTTGTCCTCCTAGAGGGCAGCGACAGAGCGCAGTATTTGTCTTTGAGTTCCCTATGGGGCCCAGACTGAAGACGCAGTGAGCGACTGGCAGAAGATCTACACGCGCGCTCTGCGGTGTAGGGCTCGCGCTAAGCATGGGGCTTGGTGTATAGATCCGCCATCAAAATGCCTGCATGAAAGGAGCGCAGGGAATAACGCTTGCACTGGGATAGCTACACTCCGTACACACAGACCCATGCTGTGATGGACACTATCTCCGCGGTTCCTGCCGACTCCGGCAAGGCTTAGTGGCAGCGCAGCGGCTATGGATGTAACAGTTCGCCATCGCGAAAGCATCCTGAGTGCTCCTAAGAAGGACTGCAAGACGCGGAACTCTAGATAGAAGAACTTCAGATCTCGGCAGAGCGTGAGGCAGGCACACGTGGGAGTGCACAAGCGCGCTGATCAATAAACAGCTTGAGGGCCTTCAGAGTAGCGGCAGCAGCCGCAAACAGTACTAGAAGGGCGTCTGTGAAGCAGGCAAACAGCGAATGTCTTCTAGTTTGTTGTACTACCTTGCCAGGCTACCATTAAAGAGTTACTACCATAGTAGTTTTAATGTATGTGGACGTCAACTCAGCATTTACTGTACGATTTAAATGTGCTTATATTTTTTGCTAAATAACGGGTTACTCCCTGCGAAAATAAGAAACGTTGTGTGCTTGCTCGGCAGTGATCCATCCAAGGTCTCCGTAGAGATGCACTTCGTTTAAGACTCAGGACCAGCTTCATAGAAAGCTGTTCAATGTTCTTCCATAAAAGCTCCTTTCATCCCCTGCCCGTAACCCTCAGAATTACTGACGTAAGGGAAGGGAAGCAGCTAGGGTGCGCCTACCTGCATGCTCTTATCACTTCAAATATTCACGGCTAGCTGCACACAGCTCCTCGCATACTTCGGTCTTCTTGTATTGCTCTAATGCTAGTCTTCAATTAAACAACATCAACGCACATTTAGACCAATTAGTAAGCGCTTTGCTAATTGTTTATTACATAGGACCAATGCAGTAGAGCGGGTTCAAATGTAGCATTGCCCTGTTCATGTTCTCCACCTTACTGATAACAACGCACTTATTCGAATATCCAGAGGATCAGGCAAGTGCGACTTATTCCTTTAACTGTTCAAAGAGCTTATTTTCCACAAATTACCTTCAGCTTGGTACAAGGAGAATAACTGCTGTATGCGTGTGCGCTAGATGCCGTGTACACAAACTCAATGCTCGCAGCACCTTGAGATCACAACAACGCTCATCCAAGCTGCTGTCCATGCCCCCGGTGTAGACATAGTAAGAACGACGGAGGAAAAGAAATGAGCTACTCTTGTTTCCAAACGTCAATAGCGTTCCTATAAAGATTTTGTTGAATTCGTAGTTCGATGCTTCGCCACGGAGGCCTTATATGGAGTCTGGCAGCTGGTTCTACCGCAGAGTCCGATGCAGCTGTTTTCCGCTCATCCACTGCGTGTACGTAGAGAGACCAAGAAGCAGGAAAGCAATAGTGATCGACTTCGCGGTACGCTGTTTGTTGCTCAGTGCTTCGTGCACCTCCCCTTTGAATACCCTAGATCTCCACACGCATTACTCTAACAGGTGCCTGGCTTTGAACAAGTTATTTGGAAATGTAATAGTTTTTTTGTTGGGGACAAATGTCTATAAGAACAAAAGTCTTCTAACGACAAATGTGGAACGTGGCACAACACATGTTGGGTCGGCACAGCCCGGTCTGCAAGTTTATTTGAACCCAGTGTATATACGGCTGGCAGAACGGCATGAGTTTGCATCCGGTAAAAGGTTTGTAGATGCATCGGTAAAGTTATGCCGACCAGAAAAGTATGGTGGTGTAAGGATGGGCAAAGACTCCAAAATTTCATTAGAGTTCGGGGTATACCTTGCTTTATGCCCCGCAGATGAGGGAAAAGGAGTGCTAAATGTGATATGTTCATTGAGAAATGCAGCACTTTAATGGTGGTCTGCTAATGTAGGAGACGGCCTGTGCCTGCAGGGATTACTAAAGTTTAAGTCTTCGTACAAACCCCGACTCATCGGTTTATGCCGAAATCAGCTGAATAGCAAGCTTTGGGAGAATCGAGAGAGCTTAAGCAGGGTAGTCTGTCAATCAATTGTTATACCAAGAAATATGAAGCTTCGGCTTGCAAGACGAACACAGTTCCTTTATCAGTGTCTGTCTAAAGTCCATCCAACGTGCGTCTCATGTGGTCGCAGGGAGGGCAGCGACGTGGCGCCTAAGGCAACGGCTAGCACTTTCGCAAGTATTGGACTGCTTAAGGGTATACAGGCAACGAGGCGCAGCTTTTGCTTTTTTGGCTGGAAATCAATAACCAAATCAAGATCCATACCCCATGGATGTCGAGGCTGTGTCTACCGGCGCTAGCCTACAGCGTATGGTGGGCAACAGAAGGAAGCCAACTTTCACAGCGCTCTTGAGCAGCCCCAAACAATGACCCAGCAACGCATCCATTTTCATTGTGGGAAATCCTGTCAGGTAGTCCAAAAATTAGAGTGAATGCACAAGCCCAAGAACTTGACCAACGGGACACGGTTCACCGGAAGCAAACTGTTTGGCGACCAATGACGGTGCATCAGAAAAGCGGAAAGCTCCCCACGCAAGCTGCCGAGCGGGGAAAGGGGTCATAGAGGATACAGCTGCAGTTAGGGACCCACTATGGGCTAATTCTGCGGCAATTCAAGCCACATGAATTGTCTGGAAAATTTAGCATTACTTGATACTTATGAGGAGTGGATATGTTTTTCGAGGAGCCACGGCCAAACTGCAATCTGCATACTCACTTGTTGAGTGCAGTACCATAGACTTAGGTCCGCTAGATGAAAGCAGAATGCAAGGATTGACAGGGCGACCGTCGCTAAATACAATTTCAGGACGAAACTGGGATCCTCTTTTTCTCCGCTGGTTGGTCTACATGACTTCCTTCCCGTATATTTCACTTTCGCGGTTGATGCACATAATGGCTTTTTCTCCTATGCACTATTTTCACGTTTCTGCCAGCTCGGAAATTGACTATCCGGCGAGAACTTCTCCACTGTCCTGCATGGAGTTGGCATTGACGTGCAAGTATGGAACATATGGCGATGTGCTTTGCGATGGAAGATAGAACATGTAACGGGCTCAGCCATTCTAAATTTTGCCATATAGAAAAAAATGCATGGGTCTAGAAGCATACGGATCATGCATTAAGAGGGGAAAATGTATTTTTCCACAGGAGTGAGCAGCTGAAATATCCAGTAGTGAATCTTGGGGGCAGCGCGAGAGCGCGTCGGCGACCACGTTGTGCCCTGAATAAGCTTCACTGTACGCCCGTGTTGAAGTAGCATTCAAGCCAGCGAATAACTCTTAGAACATCAACGCACCAAAGCATCGAGAGCTGCTACAAGGTGATGATTATTTGACGAGTTAATACTGCTTCTTATTCTACATATCCGTAGCAGCTAAATGTGCCGTAGAACTATCAAAATTGGCTGCCCATAACAAGTTTTTGAAATTCCCGATTATTTGGGGGCTTTTGGGTGCAGGAAAGTGTACCGCTGTGTGGGAGCGCCCGAGCAACAGGGAGCCGTGAAAGTAATAAGGGTTTTAATTAACTTCCGGCAACACACCTGACGGGAGTTCCTAGTAAAAAGAGGTGAGAAACACCAGCCTCCTTGGTTGGCAGGAGAACATTTTCTTGCTTCGCTTCCTGCGGCGGAATTCGCGTCTCTGTTTGGTCAACAAATCCGGATATTACGGACGGTGCGCATGGCGTTCCTTGATATTTATCCTTTCCCAGCGCATGCTCTGCCTGAAGTACATACCTACGCCATTGTATCTTGCTTAGAAAATTACCGGTTATCGGGGCGTTCTTCACAAAAAAACTCCTGCGCAGCCACATTTTCAGGTACTTTGTCCTTACATTTGCTTTACGGATTTGAAGTCGACTATCCTGCAAGCCCCAGCTCTAACATGCACACAGTATTTCATGAAGAGTGGGATCACTGCTGAACTAGAATGCGCATAGCTCCCCTTACACATTTTACCTCTCTTCTGTCTTGTCGAAGCATGAGGCTCACGCATGTCAGCGCTCCAAAGAGAGTGAGTCATGGCGCCGACGCTATCGTGTGGGTTTGGTCCCTCTTTAGCAGTTGGCTAGTATGTGCTTCTTTTTGGTTTCGTACACACTTTGGGATTGTCATTACTACGGGTTTCGCGTATCTGCCTACCTGGGGAGCGGTACACACGGCAGGACCACCTTCACTGTCCTGCTGGCTTGCCTTGAAATGCAGGCACGGAACATGAGGGCTCCGTTTTGAGATGGGGGAAGATGTGGTCTCATCCATATTTCACTGTTGCTACTACACTACTTATATTGAACCGATGAGCAAGTTGGGAATTCACTCGTAGCCTGTGTGTTCGTATATCTTATCCTTTTCAGCATATTTATATCGAAACAAGGCGCGTTGTTGTGTGCATGGGTGCTAGATGCACGTGAAGCTGAATTTGGATGCTGAAGGTGCTCAGAGGTTGCAGCTACGAGCACCCTAGCTGTTTTTCTGTTCTCATGTCGGGTACTCGGAAATTCGCGGCTAGGCGAAAGCGGGGACAGGCACTTTCTGGAAGCAGCGCACAACTTTTTATTGAGCTTTTATTGAGTCTATATCTAGGTGGATTTTAAGGAAGGCCTTACATGGACGCTTAAATTCTACTTTCACCGCCAAACAGCCTTTTTCTCTCAAACTGCTGCCGAAGCAACTCGAATTATTGAGCCACCCTAGCTTGATTAAATCCAGACACCTGCGATAGAAAAATCTAGCATCCCACCACATCTATTGGATAAGCTAGAAACAGCGGCACCAAGCCATGTGGTGCTGCCACTCAGCGCTCCACCTAAGATCTCAGGCGAGAGACACTGGAATCCGGACTCAACTCACACATGCGAACTTATGAGAAAGCTTCCATAATGTCTCTCTTCCTTCCATGCCCGCGCATTTCAGGGCTCTTAACGTCATGGGAGAGGGCCAGCTTGGTTGCGCCAAGCTGCTCTTTTTAAGCGCTCCGACCATTCACAGCTAGTTGCACATAGGATAGGACAACCTTGCACAGAACATTGCATCTTCTTATATTCAGCTAACCGTGTTCAACAACGAACAAAGCAAACAAAAAGGCGAGCTAATTAGCTTACTAAGTGTCGGTTAAATATAGCTGTCGGGGCAGAAAGTGCTTACATCTTGCGTTGGGTGCAAAAGTTTCCAATATATTTTACCAGGTTTGATAGTGTATTTGTTCCCCAGCAGGGCTACCTTCGCATTGCAACAAGGCGTGATATGTGCCTGTCTCTGTGTGCAAATCTGCGGGAAGTCCTCGACTGCTTAGTGGACGTAGTTATGTGCATTAGGGCTGGTTTCTTCCCCTGGGCTTCGGACATTTTGCGTTGGGGGCAGCGAGGGAGGCCACCTCTGCTGATAGCACAACCACCTAATTACATTAAGCATAGAGTCTCTTCTAAGGATGGACCTGCTTTTGGAGCCCCAGGGATAATTACTATGGCCTGTGAGATTCTCCAATGCAAGTGGCCTCATTTCCTCTCTCTGGAACACCGTTTCTTGTATGAGTAGCCCGGGACACTAATGAGGGTCCAGTAGCACAAGCATATTCAAGAATTTTCCGTTTTGGGAAGAAGAAATCTCGGAGATGACTGAGGAGTCTGTCGCGGAGTCCAGATTGCAGCAAATTACTACCTGTGCATTAGTGGGCAAACAAAAAACATATACGCAATATACAGGAAGGAGAAACAGGAAGGATAAATAGGATTCATAAAAAGAAAATGAGACCACAAAACAGTATAAGAATAATATAACAGGACTGTCTAGATCCCCTCAGTGCACGAGACAGAGGCACAACACCACACAGGAACAACACGCAACTGGTTTCTGCCTGTCTCTCTCTGTGGGCAGCCTGTAAGTCGGCTGCGACTTGGCCACGATCCGGTACTTCTCCGCTATTTTTACTTTCAGTTACTTCGTGCAAAGACTCGAATTTCTCTGTGTATTCTGAGTTAGCAGTCATTCTTTCGCGTTCTGTTTACCTAGGGCACACATGCCACGTATCCTCAAAGACACGCGGGGCCCTCCGCGAGCACCTCCGCTATCTTTTGTTGTATCAGCGCAGGCAAAACACACGCCCTTTCCTGTTTATTGATTATATTCATGCTTTTGTCACGGGCATTAGTAATGCCAGCAACCCCTTATCGGCTGTGCGTACACCCCGGCCATGTTGGCGGCCTTCAGCCGAACAAGACCTCTGATGCTTCTCGTATCCTTTCTGCTTTTCCTCTCAATAGCTGCATGCCCTGGTACTTCCGAGCTTGTACCCATTCGTAGAAGCCCAAAACCGGGGCAGGGGACCCCCTTCGGTCCTCAAGCCAGTACTTCACAGCTGCAGACTGCCAGCGGGGGTCCCTTCCAAACTGCAGCCTTCATTGCTAGGGGCTCCCCGTCCAGTCAGCTGCGGCCCAAACAAAGGACGCCAAGCGCTCTATGGGCCTCAACTACCCCTCCCGTTGCTGCCTCTTGTGTTGGGAGTGGATGCCGCATTCTTGGAGTGGGCTCGGCCGTCCCAGACACCCGTATGACCAATGACGACTTGTCCAAAGTCGTCGACACAAATGACGAAGTAGGTACACTGCGTATCTAATAGCTTTACTAGGCGGTTCAAGGGGGAGATGGGGGACGCAGGGGTCATTAAGCGAACCAGCCCCCTCTCACGGTAGAAAAAGCAACTCATGCAAAACCATATGCACATCAGCGGTTTCAGAAGGATTTGAGGCGCAGTTTGTGGTGTACCCTCTATAGTAAGGCTAGTACAATGTGCGCCTCGGTGTTGCGGACGATTAGAATGGACGTGCGTGGGATGAAACTGTTCAGTGCTGGGGTACACGCAGAAGCAGCGCACACTAGGATAGCACAAAGCGTCTGGTCATTCCTCCTTCTCTCCTCCAGCCACAGGTGCACCAGGATAGCAAATTAGGAAATAGATGTGAAGGCCTAAAGGAGAGCTGGCTAGCACATAGGTGCTTGCAATCTATTTGCGTGTGTTTGTGTTGGTTCAGTGGATCCGCACGCGGACTGGTATATCTTCCCGCCATGTGTTGCGGCACGGGGAGAGTCTCAGAGCATTGTCTCTTCAGGCTTCACTCTCTGCTGTTTCATCTTCCGGTCTGAAGCCAAGGGACATTGACTTGGTTCTGCATGCATCCTCCTCCCCAGACGACCTCTTTGGGGATGGACCCTGGCTGGGATCCGAAATACAAAAGGGGGAAGATGGAGAAGTGAGGCAAATCCCAGCGTTTGACATCACCGCTGCTTGTTCAGGATTCGTCGTCGGACTCGTTACTGGTAAGAAGAACAAGCGCATAAAGGAGTGTATGTGGCTGTTTGATGCACTGTTGTTCTCCCCCGCCTCACATCAACTCTGTTTCCCCAGACTCCTCGCACCTCAGTTTTGGCCAATAAACGACTTTTCGCTGTTACTCCTCAAATATTCATGCCTTACATAGTGCCCAAACCCGTCAGTACTCAGAAGCGATCGAGGCAAAACGGGAATGAGAGGCTGCCGTTTCCGATTCGCGTCCCCCAAGTTTGGAATGCATCTGCGCAGCAAACATGTATCTCACCAGTCCAGGCTCCCCCTACAAGAAAGTGCTGCTTGTGGGATCGGATGCCCTGAGTCGCTGGCTCGACTGGTCTGACAGGAATACCTGCATTCTCTTCGGGGATGCAGCAGGGGCGGCAGTTTTAGCTGCACCTGACGTTGCACCCCCTGCCAAAGCAGCGAGCGCAAACAAGCCCTTGGGCCTGCTCAGTTACGTGTTGCACAGCGACGGGAGCGAGCAGAAACAGATAATGCTACATTACAAGGGGACTGAAAATCCGCTGCCGTACATGCATGCGCCGGTGCGTACGTGTGTAAAATGTGGGGGTCGATTTAGTCTACTTTTAGTCATGATGGATTTCTACCTTCGACTCATCAATTCGCATCGCCCCTTGGGCGAAGGCACAGCGCAGAGAATTGGCATTCTTTGCTCTTGCCTCACACCACACTGGATCCCGTAGCGGACTAGTGGTCCACAAGATCCTCACTCCGTTTCCTACATTGTTTTGCTTCCTATGCCCTTTTTAGCCTGATACTTTTCAAATGTTTGACTATTTCTGCAGAGCGGGCGTCTGTGTCTGAGCCGCGGCTGCTTCTCTCCCCTTTCCATGAACGGACGAGAGGTATTTAAATTCGTCTCCCGCAAAGTGCCCAGCTCCCTGGAATCCGTCCTCTCTGCTGCCAAGTTGAGAGGTGAAGACGTTGACTGGCTCTTGATGCACCAGGCGAACAAACGCATTATCGATGCCGTAGCGGAGAGGCTCAATATTCCGAAACATAAAGTACGATGGACAGCATGAAGAGACGAGGAACATGGAGTCTTTCGGTGATTTGGTGCTTGAACTCATTCTTGTGTGTGCTTTGACTTGTATTTGTTGCTCTGTTTTTTCCATTTTGTGTTGGTGGTTAAACGCTCACGTGGTCGATTCTGCTTCTTATCGGGCATGCAGTGGATTTAGCTTTCATCTAGTATGCCTGCATGCATGAATACATGCATATGTATTTTTTTCATTACGTCTACGTTCTGACTTCCTCCACAGGTGCTGTGCAACCTGGAAGAATACGGCAATACTTCCGCGGCTTCCGTTCCTCTGTGTCTAAATGAAGCTGTGAGTTGTACAGGCAGCACCACGGCCAGCCTGTTGTCGTGAACTCATAGTGCCCACGCATTGCACCTGAATAAGCCCTGAGCAAACGCAGCTGGTCGCGGTGTACACACCAGCCGATCTCGTGTTTTTATACGTGTTTTTATATCCAGTTGCACTTTTCTTTGTATTTTATACTTCAAGGTTCGGGCTGGGAAGGTTAAGGACGGTGACGTCATTGCCATGGCTGGATTTGGCGCGGGACTTACGTGGGCTGCTGCTGTCCTTCGCTACGGATAGAACTAAACATCCAAAAATCCGCTACCCGCGAGCCGTGGATCCTCGTCAAGAAAGCACGGGCAGCAAGAGGAGCTTCCCTACCTTTTCTCACACATAGCTTGCGAAGCAAGGGACTCTTTCTGTTTGTCTTCCCTTTCTCCACCACCTGCTGCGGTGTCGGGAGGCCGAGGGGGTTCCTTGGGGCTTCTCATGGACTGTTTGAATTGCAGATGCGCCTTGGATTGACGTTGATGCCAGATATATCATTTTACCACCAGTTAGCAGGGGCTCCCAGGCAGCCGGCTGCAACGGTGGGCGTCCCCGTGACACGCCAGCTTCGGTCATCTACCGGCTGGCCGGTCTGCATGTGCTCATAAACTGCAGCTAAGGGATCGCCCAAGGCTGTTAGAGATAAGCGCATCGCTCCCGCCTTGTTATTCGCTTTTTCCGCACGTGATCCAGCGAGGTGCTGTGCTTCGCGTTGCTGCACTGGTTTCTAAAATACTGCTCTCATATTATGCCGGTCGATGAAGAGAAACGCAACTAGCCGTCTTATCGATTATCAACATAGCTTTTACCCTTTGTGATTAATAAGCACAATAAAGGGGCTGCTAATACATCGTGGAAGGCAGCAAAACACCTCGTGCCTTTCGACTTGATCCATGTCACCACAAAACTTTATTACCACTTCCGTTTGCTGGGAACAGAACAGAGAGAAGCGCCAACACCAGAAACCCTGAAGGGTTGCGTGGCAAACTTGCGGGTCAGGGCAGGTAAGCCCCGGGCGCCTCCCTTCGGCGGGTGGCAAGGGCCGGTCTAACGGAAACAGCCAACTACTAATTATACTGCAGCAGCTAAACACGGGAGGCCCCCCTGACTGGCCAAAGGTGCGAATATCACCAAGCGAAAAGCCTTCTGCCTGTAATCAGCAAAGTGCTACGCTAGTTGCGAATGACTCAAAAAGACGACGGCGTATTATTCAGCCCTCTAGGCGTCGTATTCGCTCCTGGTACTGTGGCTCATCCTGCTAACACATTTCGCGGCAACCTGCATTGCAATGGCACCGCCTACCTTTGGGTCATTGCTGAACATACGAAACCCCAGGGGCCCCCAGGCAAGTTTGTGTGAGACTACCTCTGCCATAATTCTGCTGCAGGCATACATGGGGTTCAGTGGTCGGCAATTCGAGTCTAATGATGCCATTGCTGCCGCTCCATCTTTTTGTTATTTCCATTGTGTTCGCAGTGATACCAGGCACCAGTAGCAGCGCTAAAATTAAGGCCTGCAACTCACAATCATCAGATATAGTTATACAGGAAATGGAAAGAGCCATTGTGAGGGACGACTATTCATCTTTTATGATGACTGTATAAATTGAAGTCGATTTATGTTTCTCGCACCGGTTGCTCACCTTGAGTCCTAGCTCGACGATGCAAAGCACAGTGGTAAGGATGTGGACTCCCTCTTCAGCGCTTGTGAGGGCCAGCCAGTCGTGAGCGAACCACCGGGATGCTGCAGTGGCAAATAAAGTAAGAGGCGGAGGTTTTGACTTTGTCTGGAGGCCCTGAACGGAGGACTAAAGGCAAATGGGCTACGCAAGTCGAATGTGAGCAGTGAATGGGATTCTCTTCAAGGGGTTCTGCCGCAGCTGGGAGTACGAAGGAATTGGGCTTCAATACTTAGTACGCACGCCAGAAAAGGAGGAAGATTGCATCTTGGACACAGGACATCATCATGAAAAAGACCATCGCCCGCTGCTGTCGCTGAGACGGAAAGCAAGCAACAAGGGGAGCTCGTATGCGACTTTGTGGCGTACATGACCATCCTGAGCGATCTGCGCAATCTGTTTCGTAAGCTATGCCCAGTCCCATGTAACGCTATATATCACGCTTACACGACTCGAGCTACACTAACCTTTCGGTCTTCAGGGACGTGGAAGAATGACCACCACAAATAGAGATATAGCGGAAAGTTAACGTCCGGCCGGGAGATACACGAAAAACCACCCAGGATAGCAACACAGAGCATGAGACACTGCACGGCATCTCTTGCAGTCGCCATCTTCTATACAATCAAAGTGAACGAGACGAAGTCGAATTGGGGGAAGCGGTCCAAACCGGGAACAGTGTCTTGCGGTCAGGCACCACCAAACGATGAAGCGTCGGCGATGCTTCCAACGATCCAGGCGCTATGGTAATAAAAGTAATTCAGAGAGCTCGGAAACAACTTGAATGTTGTTTTCTTGTACCAGAATGCGGGGCGTTGCATTATTTTGCTGCCACACATTCAGATGGGCAGGCGCCACTGTTGTCGGCGCTGCAAGCCTTCTGGGCCAATCGGAAACCAAATAAACTTTTTTTTCCAAAATTCAGAATGAGGCACTCAAAACAAACGTGACTGCCGGTTTCAAGTGTTAGCACGCATCGCAGGTCCCATTCTTGGGTTCGCAGGCTCTGAAGGCCGTCTGGGTGAAATGGCAGTGGGAAAGCACACGGTTTTCGGGTTTGACTTGGAAATTTGCCTTCTTCTTCACCTTGGAAGCTTTAATGATTGCGCAAAGGTATGCACAATGTATTGGCGTAATATCACTCACGCCCTGCTGTGCACACGAGACCGTTGGCATTTGCAGGGGCTTCTACGGGCTGTGGGAATGCCCGCGACGGTCCACTGACGAACACTCAAAATAGTTGAGACCACTAACTCCAGACTAGGAAAAAATAAGGCGTAGGCAAACTCGAACCTTCTCACTTTTGGAAGAAGAAGCTAAACGCAGAGGGCTAACAAATGTGGAGCACGGTGACGCCCCATGCGTGTACTGGATCATTTTTAAAAAGTTAATGACTTGAAACACGGCTACAAATCTGGAGGTCACCCTATTATTTCATGTGGACATAACACATCTTTTCGAGCCTTATATGCTCACAATGCGGGTACTTTCCCTCTTTGCTGGTATAGTCGTCATGTTGATGAGCAGTCTGAACTTAGCAACAGCACAGCTTGCGGAACTCCTTTCGCTGTTTGTGCAAGCGAATTGTATTAGGACGGATCTGAAAATAACGCTGAACAGCTACATATACTCGCATTATGAGTCTCCGTTTGTGTGTAGGATCCACTGTTACATCGCCTTTTAATTGCTGACTGTAACTAAAAGACAAAGTACACGTGTAAGATACGTGACTCACCGTCAGCACCCTTCATAAAAATGCAGCCTACAAATACAAGCTGAGTCACGTAAAAAGTCGAGCGGCGTTTTCCGAAGGAGCTGTTCTGCCGTGCCCTGAAAAATCGATGCCGTGTGCTAAGAACAGAGAAGTGCAGCTAGGTAGAAAACCTGAACCCTCAGGCAAATTCAGGCCGCTACTCATGCTGACATAGGGTATACGTACACATAGTACGTTGTTTAAACAGAGCGTCGCCTCTGCCTTGCTAGGGGTCAAATGCAATAATAACCCCCAAGCCAGGGTGCGAAAGAGTTGGTCAAGCAGGCAAAGCCATTCTTCCCTAGTTACCCTTAAGTCCCATATAAGGTACTTACATGCAACCGTAACAGCTTTCTTACTGGGCTTTATCATCCCATTGTGGGTCCAAAAATTCTTGGTTTGGGCACACAATACATGATCGATGGCAGAAGAGGGCTCGTCTTGTGAGAATGCTCCAAACTCAGGGATTCAACTCTGAGGCATTCATTTTTGGTGTTCATAAGGTGCGCTGCTGCCTCAGTATAGGCCAGACACTCAGAGTTCTCAGTTGTTCCTAGAAAGAATTGTGTTATTGTATCCCCTTGATATAAAATTGGAGTGCCGTTGGCCAACACGGCCAGAGGCAGTGAAAAAGCAGCTAGGTTACCGTCAAAGTGACTCAACAATTTCACATTTTCACTATACGCGCTGGCATATATCTTCCATCCCAAAAAACAGCTATCTGCTCCAACCACGCTGGATGCGATTAGTAGAACTCAGAAAACAGAGTCGACTACACTGAGGCTTACCCCAGTGAAAATCAGTAAATATACTGACCCCCGAATACAGGCTTACCCCGTCACACCTGCATCCACAAGGGATGTAGCATTGGTAGTGGTGATACGGAGATACAGGCTGACGGCGGTAACTATAGAGGCAGGTGTGTCATGGTTTGCATATTAGTACTGGTATAGATTCAGCCTATTCTCTAGCATTCATGTGCTTTAGTGTTATGCGTTCTGCAGAGTATATATTGCGTCACAAGCTGGCGTTTGAAAAAAATAGGCAGAGTGCCAACGGCGACAAAGGGATTTGGCCCGGTCTACGGTACACCAGTCGACCTCCATGCACTGAATACACCTCTGGAATGATATCTTTTAAATGTAGAAAGTCTTGCGGTACTCATTTACAGTTAAGCCATTAAGCTGCGAGTCTGGAGAGGAGGCATCATCCTTTCCGGGAACTGGGGAATCGTTTGGGCAGTATATATGACCCCAGCACAATTCGCATTCAAGTAGACAGAAAAATACCAATATGCAAAAGAACGTTTTTCTTGGGGCCCAGCGGCTTTCTGGCTTCCTGTTATGGAGACAGTGTGACGGCTTGTCACTGCAGTGTGGGTAAGATATAAATGTATTCGTTCATCCTTCCTTTCCGTGTCATGCAGTGGAGCCAAGATTGACACAACAATTAGGTTGAAAGAAATACTGCTTCAGCTGCCAGTAAATCCTACTGGTTTCGGTATATCCAAAGCCCTCTACTGTTGCGTTTGCAACCTGGTCGCTTTCCATTCGACCTTGGTGTTTTTGCAGGCTTGCCTCCATACTGCTGCCAGCATGTAACGCCACGCTAAGTTGATGCTCATATAATCTAACTCATTACAGGTTTTTGTCTGACTTCCACTGATCAACTTATAGACACCTCAATCTTTGTCTTTCCGACGTATACGCATTGTCTAGTACACAAGTGTATGCGTGCATGAGTACTCAATCGGTATTATACACAACTATCACATTATACACTAGAGACTCCCCTACATACAGGCATTACATGTTCCATGGCTATTCAAATGCAAGATGCACGAATATCACCTCAAGAAGTGGCATCCCTTAGCTTTTTCATATGAAATACAGACCTATCTGCAACAGGAAAGACAAAACTTCTGTTCGCCCTTTCCCCCTAAAGAGATTGCAAATTTCTTCTTAGGTCAATTTAAGCAGCATACTGATAGAGTACTGGTTGAAACAGTTCTTAGCCGGTGGCTGCTGCTATTGCTATTTTTTGAAACTAAACACTGGCAGATGGTACAAAGCGGTGTGCCCAAATGCTAAAGCACGGATTTGTAGCTTTACCTCCACTAAACAGGAACAAATGTTACGGGGTAGCCTGCCCAGGTAAAGCTAACGAAACACTACCAGGGCAAACTACAGCTTCCTGTTCCATTTTGGCTTCTCAAAACAAATAAATAGTGCATATGTGTCCTTTTACCTATACCACCAGCACAGCGAGGTCATTCATCACTCTATTCGATCGCTTTCAAAAAAAACTCTCGCAATGCACCAAGGCAAAAGCCACTTTCTTCCCACAGGCCTCACTCTCAATATGGAGGGCAAGGAGCGTCCTGTAGGTGAAGCAAGAGGCCACAGACAAACCGAGTACGCATGGGCTTCAACAACTATGATGTAGAAGCCAGCGAAGAAGCCAGTAGGCCTCTGACATTCGAGGCAGCTTCTCCATGCCCAGCATAGAAGGGATGCTCTTTCTCGTCCCTGTGGCGTTGTAGAACGCACTGAATGATGGAAAAAGGGCCCCGATGATTGTCCTTCACCTGCAGGTGTTGTGGAAATGCTGCTCGCTTAAAGGATAACCTTTGGCGCAATCTGCCAGAGGATAATATGGTCACTAAGAGCACCACATGGGCTCAGCAAACGGCAAGGCACAGCAATTCATCCAACATAGACTATTGGATTTCTGAACACACAAATAGACTTGAGCGCAACCATCCAAAAGCAAATCTCCTCACTAGGAGATGCTTCAGCACATTAGTGTTCTCACTCATGCGGACAAAACAGGTTTGAGCCCCCCATCGGGTAATTCTCGCAATTCAAAAACAGGAAGATCAAAGGCCTCCCCAATTCCTTTATGAATCACCTTGCCTTCTAGGATATTAATGCCCTTCCTTAAAGCCTTGTTTTTTGCGCATGCTTCCCTCCATCCCAGATTAGCAAGTTGCACGATATAAGGAATCGTTGCATTTGTCAGAGCGGTGGTAGAGGTAACAGGAACAGCTCCAGGCATGTTCGCCACCCCGTAGTGCACGATGTTGTTTACCGTGTAGATTGGTGCTTCGTGATATGTCATTCTGCTGGTCTCGCAGCAGCCTCCGTGATCAACTGCGACGTCCACTATGACAGTGCCTGGCTTCATCAGGTTTAAGTGGTCCTTGCGGAGGATCTTGGGGGTCCGATACCCAGGCAGCAGTACTGCACCAATCACTAAGTCAGTAGTCAGTAGCTCCTCCTTCAGTACTTCCTCACACGAATAACGGGTTGTGCAGTTCCGCGGCAGGATATCGTCCTAACACAGCCGGTACCAACATCAGTATGCGCAATTTACGCGAAAAGGGACAAAATATATACTTTGAGCAACAAGAAAGTAGACTGTCCTGATGCAGTACATTTACCGCCTACAGTTTAGCGCTCGTTCCAGTGTGCAGTTGCTTACAAGGTATCTGAGTCTGGGAAGGCTCTTGTCCATGATAACAACATTAGCTCCAAAACCTGCTGCAGCTTTTGCTGCATTCAGTCCAACAACACCTCCTCCTATGATTAAAACCTTTCCATGCGGCACCCCGGGAACCCCGCCAAGCAACACACCTTTCCCACCGGTGCTGGATGAAAGGTAGTGCATACCCTCTTGTATAGCCATTCGCCCAGCCACCTCTGACATAGGCTCCAGCAGGGCCAGGACTGAGCCCGCTTCCTCTACTGTTTCGTAAGCAATGCAGACAGCTTGAGTCTGGATCATTGCCTCAGTTAGTTGCCTGCTAGCCGCGAAATGAAAGTATGTAAACACTATTTGCCCACTGCGAAAGTAGATGAACTCTTCAGGCATCGGTTCCTTCACCTGGGAAGGAAACAACAGACATACCATTACATGCTTGCCACTGATTTCCCATTGGCTATCCGACTGCTTTCCTAGTTATCTAGCCCCTCTTCCCAATTCAGCTGTATCCGCTTCAGAATCAAAGAGCCGCAGATGTGCACATTAAGCACACCATCATCCTGTTGACTTAACAAGTTATAGCAGAGACCATCATTTTGCTCACCTTGACTATCATATCAGCTCTACCAAAGATTTCCCTCGGCGAGTCCACGATTTCCGCCCCTGCTTGCACATATTGCGCATCCGCTGCTCCTGCGGCTAGGCCAGCTCCCTTTTGGATTAACACCGTGTGCCCATTACGCACGAGCTCAGCTACTCCCCATGGTAGTAGGCCTACCCTCCCTTCTTGGGGCTTTGCCTCTTTGGGGCACCCGACAATCATCTTGATGACAACGACTGGGAGTTGCTCACAGCCCTCGTGGTGTGCGATACCTGGGCTCTTATAAGTCAGGTGGAAGATCTCTGGTGTGTCTGCGCCTGAAATCTTAGCAGTTGTCCAAAGTCAGCGTTGCGCAATAAAAGCGACCGTTAGTGCTCTGAAAAGCCAAATAGCCATCGGCAGGCAGGTGACCACGGGTAGCCGTCCAGCTGACTGACGCTGTCATTAGGAGCGAATAATACACCTTCGAACATGATTCGGGTAAAAACGTACTAGATAGGGTTTAAATTATTTGTAATATAGTAAGAGCACAGTAAATGCCGGTTTGCTTCTTCCTCCTCCCATCCCCACCACCGGGCTGTTTGTCGATGCTTGCTCAACGCTCGAAGCATCTACACGTTTCCCGTTTTTCTCAGTCTCCTGTGTGTCTGCCTGTCTATCTCTTTGTATCCTCTAGAAATTATCTTGGGTTGAGTGTCACTGACCCTCTTCAACAAAGGTTTCACACTTGCTCAGAGCCATGTAGCTGTTTCGTATAAAATAATAACTGCGGGGCCTCTGGACCGCATTGGAATCAAGCAACCAGATTTGGCTGGTGGAAACCACCAAAATCTATTTGCTGCTCTCATAGCACCACAGATTTACTACGTAGAAGTACTAAATATCCCACCAAAATTTCATTCCGAGCCCACAGAAATTAAGTGGCATGTAATATCAAGATGCAGCTTGAAGATATAGATCCGGCATCTGATACAACTTTGTGCTATGCTCCTGGTTTCGCAAGAGGCATGATGTGATGCACCTTTTCTCTGCTGACTACCCTTACGTAAAGCAGTAGATGCGATACCACCAATGCCATACAGCTAGGGCTGGACCAGTGTGTGTCTGCAGTTCAAAGGAAGGTCTCAAACCTTAAACCCTTTTTCGTCTCCACAGGAACTAACGTAAGGAACGTAAGGATCCACAAACAAACAAAGATTGGGAGATGCACCTAATGTATCGCATTTTCACGAAGAAGAGTCAACAGAAAATTCCCCAAACTTTTAAAGATTGTCAGTATTATGTACATACCGGTACACATATATGTCATCAAACTCTGCGCAAGCCGAGCACTCTGGAGTGCACACTGCCGACAAATTATTGTGGATTTTCTTGAATGGCGGATACGCTTGCTCTCGCTATGGCTTAAGGGGTTAGACCACTGTAAGCGAGCAAGATGTATATGGGTATTGACAGAAACTAGGCTAACTTCTGCATTTCAAAACGCATAAATCAAGCAAAATCCGATGCCTTTAGCATATCCAGCCGCTGACGATAGTGTAGATAGGTAAAGCTTTAGAGCAAGAGGCACAAGTTGGACAACTACTACCTAATACTCTTTCCAGAGCAGTTGAAAAAAAGAAGCGTTGGTTCGCAAAGACCACAACGCGAACTAAGAACTGCCTAATCAGTGGTTTATCTCATCCCAGCCGAAGTGTCATGTCAAGTGGTTGTAGGTTCAGCAGTCACTTGGCGATTGAAAGACCGGCCGCTAAGGCACCCACAAATTATAAACTGCGTGAATTTCTCTGGAGCGAATGAGCGAAAGTCCTGAGCCTTTAACTTATGAAAAATAGTGCATTTGTACAGCTCCCCCTAAAACTTTCGTCAAAAAAACACCCAACTCCTGATTGAATACAACCCCAAAAAAGGCATTGAATGCTTTGCAGAAGGAGCTCCCGCCTTTTCCTGCCGCCACCCTCCAGGGTTTTGTACTGAGGGTAGGGGGTCTGCTCAGGTGCGCGTAGACTTACCCTCTATGCACTTTGACGATAAACAGCTAATTGCACATAGCATCTTGGGCAAACGCACACAGCACTACGTCTTTTTGTATCGAGTTGACGGTTTACCGCGGGAAATAAGGTATACAAACAGACAATGTACTTTGTCACCCCTCTCTAAGTCTTGGCTAAATATGATAATTGTAGTAGAAAGCATTGATTCGTACGTCAGCTCTTGACATCTACCTCATGTACACTTCAAAATACGCGCCCTCACGTCCCCTACCTGTCCGTCCCGAGCAACTGCATGCACGGCGTCGGAAGAGTACACGCCGTATTCCTACTCTCCAGGAAAAATGAAACGCGAAACCAGTGCAACCGCAGAAATAAAAGGCTAAAGTAAACAATAGCAAGCAGCGAACGAGGGGCCGGACCTGCACGTTCGCGGCGAAGCGATGGCTCGTTGTCGTCGGTGTGCTGAATGTGTTGGGCTTCTAGTACGAGAAAACAGACTACAAGTAAGCGATAAAAACGAAATTGAATTACCCACTAGCTTAACAGTGCTCTAGCGTCTCGTAGAGCAAATTTTGATTGCGAATTCATGCGGCCCATCCAACATAGTCGACTTCAAAACCTAATACTTTGGTCTCCACATTAGCCTAGGTGTAGAGAACACCTATTTAAGCAATGCACATAGATAAAGGTAATCGTTTCAGGCATTGAGCATGCACTGGGGAACCGAAAACATAAGAAACGCGAAAACGCCATCCACAGCAACTAGCTATGCTAAAGAGAACAAGCTGCAACGAAGCCCAAACCTGCTACTCTGTCAACCACTGAGGCTGGCACTCATCAACAAAGTTCACTGGAAGCTCCTGATGAGTGCGTCGAAGGCGCTTAACAAGCCTGGATTTCATTATTGGGTTTTCTATCGATCCGCCGCCTGCGTGCTAATCGCCTGCCTGCAAGGCAAAGCTCGGAACGAATTGGTTGCTTTGAAACTTTTGTAAGAGTACAACAGCGATAATTCTGTAACACCTCCAACTTTTAGGAAACTTGACAAAGTCAATCAATTAATGCGTGATAGAAATGTAGTTGATCCTAGCCCCCTAACCGGGAACCTCTCCTGAGTAGCTTCTAGTGCGTCTCATACGGCCTACAATCGTCCAAGACCAAATATCCAAGCTCAAAACACACACCCGACCTCCCTTTATTAGCATTAGGCGCTTCTTTCTTCTGAAAGTTCGGCATGCATTTTCATGCAGAAGTCACCTGATCTCTAGATCCCTCCGCTGCTAAAGGTGGCTACCGATTCTGGAATGGAATGCAGGCTACAAGCCCCTCATCGGAGAGGGGCACCTCGGCGTAGGCCAGAGTGCAGGAGGACAAAGGGTAGACGAGTGTAGTGTTGTTGTATGAATCCGCTCATTGCAAAAAAGAAAACAAAGCCAAGCAACAGGATTTTTGTGAGCACGGAGTTTCAAGTGCGGAGAACTGCCCTTGCTGCGCCCGATCTGTCCAGATGCCTCGGAATCCTTTCCAGCGGTCATGTGACAAGCAATGTGTAGGCGGGTCACATGGCATGTTCTAACGCACTGATACACCTCAGATCCCTATCCAAAACGATGCTCCTGGGAAATCAATGAAGCTATTAAACATAAGTAAAAAACAATTGAGCGACCGCTTCAGCGTTGAAAGGGCTGGAGCAAGGGATGAAATGGGTAAATTTACTTAGTCCGTCAACAACTACGTACACATTATTCTGACCCTTGATCTCCGCAGTCCAAATAGAAAATGCATGGAAGGTTCACTAATCTTCATAACGCAAGGATTTAGAAGGCTATCAAAGCTAGATATCAGCTCAGCTTGCATAGAAGGTCTCATCAGCACCGTCCGTCACCTCTATGGTGAAACCAGGCATCATTACGTAGCTGTAGGCATGCTGTTTGTGACCCAACGGCAGGCGCGCATGCGGCCACACCTGTCCATTGTGTAGGTCAATATGCCACAAAGTGCTTAGAAGAAGCACCTGCTGGTCTCCTCAAGACTGTCCATCTTGTCTACGGCGATCGCCATAGGGTCTATGCCTTGACTAAATGAGGCAAAGTGTTGATGCGGGCGTTGCAGCAGCGCAGTAAGACAGGAAGTCCTGGGCTGTATCCCCACTTCGTGGCCCTAAAACTGGTTCTTTATCAGTTTTTTGAACATTCAACCGACGAGCAGTAGTAGTGGGCAAATATCAGGGCGGCAGGTACTCAGACGCTAAGAATTTTTCGAGCTGCCATTAGTCTAGCAGCATTCTGATCGGCCGGCGCCTCTTCTGAAGCTAATCCAGGTCAGCATCAAGCTATGAAATGCAGTATCGGAAGCCGTCACAGCATACAGAGGATATTGAATGGCAGTCGGATGACTCGTGAAAAGAGCAAAGTGCGAAATTCTAGCAGCGGTTGTGGGCATCGCTGGTGCTAGTGCCGGCAGAGGATGGGAGAGGGAGCCAGTGCGTTAGGTTGTAGCCCTTGTACAAGTTTGCTGCAGCTCAGAATTTCCCAATACCTCCTTGTAGCCATTACTTTTGACAAATACACAAAGAAACAGTCTAATTGACACTTGGCTTCACAGACGCATTCTTACGAATCCCCATTCTCCTGGGTGAAGGGCCCATGATCACGACGTTCCACAAGCACACTCGCAAACGTGAGTATATGTTCCCTTGGGACCTGTTAGTGCCTTAGCCAAAATGCAGCACCAAGTCAAATGAGAAGTTACCGGCCTATCACGGAGGAGTGGATGATAATCTACATGGATGAGGCCCTAGTACTAAACAGAAGCCTGAAAGAGCATTTTCAGCACCTACGGCGTGCAGTTCAGTTCCTGCAGGACAAGCAATGGCACTTGAAAGCACGCAGATGTTCGTTTCCAATGAGAAATATTGCGTTTCTGGGAATTATTACTTTGGCTGCAGGTACTGAGCCAAGTCCGGGAAAAGTTAAAGCAATTGCAGCGAGGACTACATCTGAGTTACTCGCAAAGACGTCCCGAAGTTGTATGGACTTACATCTTATTACCACAATTTGTTCCTGGACATGCTCTGATCTATGCCTCTCTCACTGATCTAATTGAAAGAGCGCAGACTGCAAGCTGGACAGAAGAAGCCGATGCTGCGGTCTCTCGACGCCTCCGCGACTCATGATTGTGTAGCGCAACCGCTCGTGGCTGTGGCAATTCACCATTTGTATAGACTTGCTCGAGTCTTATACTTTGATAGTCGGGCGGTCGCTACTATTCTCGAAAGGCAGAAAAAAACAAAGGGTTTAGCACTAGCACGTCGAGGATCGCCTTTTATGGTTCAAAGCCAAGCAAGGACTCCGTTAGTTATACCCTCTGCTACGCAGTGTCGGATTTCGCAAGACATATGATGATGCCCTTTATTGGCATGATACGACATATACTACTGTGATAAAGCTTTTACGGCGTTTTTGGATGGCCTGGGATGCGTCCAGCTGCACAGCAGTATGTTCTGTCATCATTAGGTGAACATCAGCTACAGCCGCACGATTTCCTAAACCAGGTCTTTTAAAATGCCGCCTTTGTATCCAAAATTAGTTTGAGTTGACTGCTCATGAATTTGTATTTGGACTGCGGAGACCAAGGGTCAAAAAACATGTATGTAGCTGTTGACGGACATGACAAATCCGCCCACTTCATCCTTTGCTCCAAGTCGTTCAAAGCAGTGGAGGACGCTCAGTTACTTCTTACTTGCGCTTGGGCGTCCCAGTGATTGCCCAGGAGTTACATTCTGGATAGGGATCCGAGGTGTGTCAGTGCGTTATGGCGTGTCTGGGTGACCCGCCTACGCATCGGCTGTCACATAAACGCTGGAAACGACCCCGAGGCGCTTAGACAGACTGACAGAATCATCGGCGCTTCCAAGCAATACCTGAACTTTTTGCTAACACAATCCTAATTGCTTGGTTTTGTTACCCTGCCTGTTTTGAGCGGGTTTGTAGTGTGGAAGCACTTTTTCCTACGCCCATCTGCGGCCTACACTGAGGAGCGCTTCTCTGATCAGGGACTGCCACCTTATTACGCGTCTCATGAAGTTCACCAACTTAGCAGGACCAAATATCCAAGCTGAAAACGCGGCAGACCTTCACTTGCGATGATTCCGTGCTTCACTTTCTTGGGCTTGGTGCATATATCCATGTGTACTGGTCAGCTGGGATGAAGCGGTTTGCATTCATCAGGTTGATCATTTGGAGCTTTCTCACGCATCAGTGGTCGTCGATCCCCCTAAAAGTTGGAGGTGCCACAGAACTATCGCTTTGGCCACCTACACGATACTTAAAGCGAAAAAAGTATTTTCCTGCTTTGCCACGCAGGCAAGCGATTTACAAGAATGCCGAGGACCCATAGGAAGCCGTTAGATTGCTGGATTCTAGGGCTGATGAGCGCCGCCGACGCATCAGACTGAAGCTCAAAGTGTAGCGAATTCTGTTGAGCAGGGCCAGCATCAGTGGTTGATGGAGTAGTAGTTTTTGGCTTCGTTGCCTAAGGGAGAGTTAAAGTTCTGTCTAATTAACAGAGCTAGCTGTTGTGAATGGTGATCCTCGCGTTTCCTGGCAGGTTTCGTTCCCCCGCGCTAGCTCCGCTTGAAATAGCAACCTTTCTTTTTGTATTGTTTGTGAGCTATTCGGTTATTGCTTCTAATATGTCCTGTACACTTAGAGATGTGCTCAGGCACTCTCAGCCTTGTTGCCCCTATATTCATCCTTGTACATACTTTGTGGTTTTGAAGTTGATTATGCTGTATTCACCTGTGATAGTGGCATGCAGAAATTGCTTTTATGAGGAGCAGAGGTACTGCTCACTTCGGCCGCACTTTGATTTCTTTTACACTGCTTTCTTGTATTCTGTCTAATCATAGCAGGGAGCTTCCACATATCAGCTGTCGGACGACAGCTAGCCATCGCTCCGCTGCTGTCGTCTTTTTTCCGTCCCTCGCTCGTTGCTCGCTAGTTTCTGTGCCTCTCTTCTCGTCAGCTACACGTTGTGGATTGATTCGTTTTTTATTTGTATTTACACTTATTCTTGCGTGTTCATCTGCTTGAGAAGTAGTTATAGGGCGGGAACTCTTCTCCTGTCGCACATGCACTTGGTCCCGACGGAGAGGTACAGAGCACAAGGGTCTGTGGATTGAAAGATGTAGGAGGTAGATGTAAAAATGGATCATCTACATTTAAGCACTTTTGACTGTATTATACTTATCTAAGGATTAGAAAGAATAGACCATGTCTGTTCAAATTTCTTCTTTACTGCAGAATGCTTTGAGCTCAATAGAAACGGACGTAACCGCGTCGGTGCGTGAGCATGTGTACGTGTGTGTATGTGTGTGTGTGTAGGGTTGTGCTATACGCGTGTGCAACAAGCTGCGAATACTCCGAGTACTTGGCTAGTGCAGCTATGTGGGCCCTCGCTGCCCCATACCCCGCAAGTCAGGGCACGGATGGAGAAAGTTCCTTGGAAAAACACTCAACAACTTTCATTCAGGTTTGAGCTGAGCTTAAAGTCAAGAGTCACCCTGCGGAAAGCTTCGATCGATCATGACAGACACAGTTTAAGGTGCAGGTGGATGGGAGTGTTTGCAGAATGGAAGGCTGTAAAGATGCGGTTCACATTCCCGATACGTTAAAAATCGCTCGATCGACCTATTGTTTCGGACGATCCTGCACCAAGGTGGTGTGTACCTTCAATGTAATGGTGGATATAGCTACTATCCATCCTTCACACACTACCAAACAATGGAATAGTCCCCGAAACAGAACCGATAGTGTCACCTGAACATACGCTCCCTCTGCATTTATACAGGCAGAAGTGCCAACAACTGATCAGCGCGGAGAGGACAATAACATTTCCTCACTACCAAAAAACGTACGGAGAAAAATTTACCATCCGGGGGTGCACGCAGCGTGCCACTCCAGAGCAACTAGAAAATACAGGCAGTGGTGCACGAGAAAGCATCAGAACCCCTATTTCCGGGGTTTTGTTAAATTTTAATATTGGAAGATGCGAAAAAAGGTAAAATGTTATTTCAGAGGCAACTATCCGCCGTGGGGTAGTCCCATGGCATTCCACGCATCCCCCCCCGCCGACCCAGAGGGAGCCGACGCTGCCGAGGTGCTGTGCATGCAAAAGTAAATGAAGCGGATGTGCAAAATAGAAATTTTGTATGGTTTTGGACAGACAGGCTTCGGGACACTCCTAAGGGCAAGTCGTGAAGACCGCTTCTGACTCGCTGGTAGAGTCATCTGTCTGCTGCATAATTTTGCATATCCTTGGACCTCCGTGTTCTTGATTCGTTTTCGTTGAACTCAGAAACTATTCTTAAGATGATGGGTTCCAAAGGTTCGCGACGGTCGAAATTTATATTCAGTCTGTGGGGGAGTTGGAGGGTTTTGTTGGCAGCGACAGCAGTCAGTGTGCTGCTTTTTGGACTGTGTTCTGTTGGTGCCGCTCCATCTATTATTGACCCTATGAAACACGACATTGGCCTCGTGACACAAGCCACATGGAGCGGAAAGGTGCTAAAATTTAGAGACACAACGGTTTTTACCGTGCTCTTTTACAACCCCGAGGATAAGGGCAGCCGCGAGCTAATAAACGGAGAATACGACAAATTCGCCAAAAAAATGAAGGGCATTGTTAACGTTTTGGCCGTGGATTGTAAAGAAAACCCAACTCTGTGCAAAGACAATGCATCCACCCTGCCTCAGATTATCATCTTCCCCCTGTTCCCGTTGCCACCCTTCCCGCACCAGGCAAGTAAACTCGAAACATGACTACCTTATGCAAATGTGGGAGGTCCACTTGTCAGTATCTTGTTTGACATTATACTGCCATGCGGCGTTTGTGCCAGGGAAGAATAGCAGAAGGCCGTTCTCATCGCGCGCTTTTGCACTTCACTATCCCTCACATTTCTCTTTGCGAACACAAAGCAGCGCTTGCTTATGCTGCTGCTTGGCTGTATTCCCTCAAAGAACCCACCCACCCGTGTATTCTAGGGTCTGATTGTGCTTCAGGGTGAGAAGGACCTGGACAGTCTGTTGAAAGCAGTGCGGCCCCTTATTCCCTCAAATGTAAAGTCTGTGTCCAACCAAAAGGAACTTGACGCCTTCCTTGCCTCCACCGTGCAAATGCCGAAGGTTCTTTTCTTCTCGGATAAGCTCACAAAGCCGTCCCTCTTGGTGAAGGCGCTCAGCAACGCCTTCAAGGTAAACTTCTTTCCGATTTCCGGGGCACTATGGTCTGTGCGGTTTGGCTGGACTATTTGTACCACCTACTGCACCTTGTGGCACTTGGCTTAGCTGTGTGCTTAGCGAGCTACTTTTAGCGTAGCTGGAGCTCCCATTTCCTTAGTCGAACGCGCGTATTGGGACTATTTTTTATTGGGACTATTTTAATTAAATGCCTTCCTCTGTCTACGCTGCCTGTTTTCCAGGACAAATTAGCCTGCGTGCTCCTCAATAGTGCAGCGTTCCCTGAAGCCGTGAAGAAGTACAAGGTGTCGTCTTTCCCTCATTTGGTTGTAGTCAGGAAGGACAAGAAGGACGAGGTGTACAAGGGGGCCTTCGAGTTCCACCAGCTGTTTGACTGGCTCAATGTATTCTCTGAAACTTTCGTCATGGGAGGCGGCTTCTCAGATACCCCCGCTGCAGCCGAGTTCGACCTGGAGCTTCAGCCTTGGTATTGATGTCCCCTTTCCCGCTTCAGCACCTTTTTGTCCTTTGCAGCGTTACCCTTTTGTTGTGGAGGATGACAGACGTGGGTATGTAGAGTGCTGAAGAGATGCTCCTGCGTGCCTCTGATGCATCTCCTCAGGAAGGTCGAAGCGGTTCCGGAGCTCACCAAGCAGTCAAGCCAGGACGTTTGTTTCAAGAAGAGCAACAAATTCGTGTGTGTGGTGCTGGCGAAGAAGGGCCGCAAGTTGACGGAAGAGGAACAGGAAATGATGGAGTCGCTTAAGGCAGACTATGAGGCGCACCAAGGCAAGGGTCCAGACTTCCGCTTCATGTGGATTGACCTGGAAACTGAAAGCGAATGGGCGCAACTTTTCGAACTCAAAAAGGCGCCAAGTGTTGTCGCTATTAACCCTCATAAGAAGGTCCGATTCCTCAAATTGGATGCTGATCTGCCGGTAAGTTGGAGAAAGGGCGTCTTTTTGCGTCGGTAGCGCCTGTTCGTGTAAAGGACAGAGTTTTTTTATCTCTGTAGAAGGCCATTTTCATCCACAGTATGCAGAGGATTGCGTGTAGCCGTCCTTGGTACGACTTTGCCCGCTCAAGCGAGACCGCTGGCGTCTGAAGCAGGTCTCTTGTTAACATAGCTTATTGACGAAGTGCATTCACGAGGCTCGTTTGTATCTTGCTCTGCATGCCCGACTTTCAGTCGAGGCGCCTATTTTATTTGCGTTTGTCTCTTTGAGTACGATGGTTGACTGTCATGGGCTAAGGTGTCTGTTACTGTGCATGCAGCCGACAAAGCCCCACATTCGTAAGATGCTGGGGAATATTTCGAGCGGCGACGCACGTTTTAAGATCGTGCCCCAAGCAAAGGTCCCCAAGTTTGTTGACCGCAAGGACACGAAGGACGAAGCCAAGAAAGCCGAAACGAAGAAGGACGAGCTCTGATCTAGAAGGACTCGAGAACCTTTCATCCATCCCTGGCCTTAAACTGGCTTTTGGCGGATGCTTAATGCATCTTCCAGCTGCGTCGGCGCTCCCTCAGAGGCTCGTAAAGGTGCTCGAGGTCTTGGTAGGGAGAATCGGGCGGCTGCTAGTGGTTGCCCATGATTACCTGTTGCAAGAGTCGATGCCGTGTGAGCGTGATGCATTACAGGGCAGGGGAGTGTTTCAGCCAGGCGCCCTTCTTGCTCCATCAAATGATGAGGAGCTTGCTGCTATTTGCCCCGTCTCGATGCATGTTACTGTATTGAGATGTGAAACCCTTAGGATAACTGGCTGCTCAATGCCAAAAACGGCAGAGGCGCCCTCGCTGGCCTCTCTTTACAAAGTTGACTGGGCCTGTTTCAGAACTCATAAGGGACTCTCTTTAGCTCAGTAGTGCACTCCTAGAGTAGGCCCACACTATTGTGGGATACAGAGGACTGTTGGCCGCCTACGTCCACCGACTAAGGCGTGAGAACGCACGTGGGCGCCACCGGGTTTTACTGGACATATCAAGGGGAAGCTTGTACGCCACATATATAATGTGCGGATTATTCTTTCACTCACTTGGATGGTTCGGGTTCCCCGTAGCCGCTGTGCAGTTGGGTTGAGCGCTACTAGGCGTCCGACTGACTCATTCTGATCTATTTGATTCGGAATTACAGTCCTAAAAGCGAGCAGCATGGAGGCCGCGAGGCATGGACGAATGATAAGGTGCTTCAAGGGGGTGATGTCTTTTGTGAGAGCGCTTATTGAAGGCTTGATCTCGGGTAAGGCTTGGATTTAACCATTGTTGAAGGATCATTGTTAACGAAGAAATCGATGTGATTCTTCAATATCTCACTTCGGAAAAAACCGGGGGAAGGCTCCATGAACTGGTTCCTCTCGGTGACCCATTGCAATGTGGGCCTATGAAGCTTCCTAGCTAGCACATGATCATCACAGCAAGTGGCCTTCTGCCTTGCCCTCATATTTGGATGGGAACGAGGCGCATGCTACTCTTCTACACACTGTGGCGCTAGGGGCCGGTGTGGAAATGTAGTGCCAAATAGTAACAGCAAGAGCTTACAATAACGTGGTTGGCCTGAGATTAGACAGCGATATACGAACGCCTCGAAAGTTTGGCTATATGCCATTCTTGCCTTGTGGAGAACTGGAACAAGTTGAAGTACAAGGCTTTGAATTTTGCAGACGAGTCCTGTTTTTGTTGTTACATGCCACAAGATCTTACTTGACTACAACGAAATCATATCATAGCCGAATCTTAAGAACAGTCGGAAGTCGATCCGTTGCTTTAAGCACCTTAGCCGTGACTGTCGAAGAAACAGTGAACACGAATTAGCAAGTTGCATATCCTAGGTGTAACGCTCCATAAAGGGTACAGCAGGCTATGCTACGCCTTACCACTTCCTACCACACTAAGCAAATTCAGAATTTAAAAGTTGAATATTTGGTTTGGCTCTTTGTGTCTCTTCTTTGCTGCACAATAGGGCTAGTACAGTACACTGGAAATCAAATTGTGTGCCTGGTCGGTAGTTGCAATGCGGAAAATTTTGTGAATGCTCGGAGTGCTTGCCTGGAGGGTGCAGCGAAGCTCATGCAACCGCGCCATCCGTCTCCCCTCGCGCTGTAAGCCCGAGGGATAGGGGCACAGCGAGAAAACGGCCCTTTCGGAAGGTTGCAGACGAACTTTTTACAGAGGTTTTGTGGATTTCGGGGAGCATATGTCTTGCAGAGGAATTCTTAGTCGAAGCGTTTCACCTAGTAGCACCTGATGGTTTGAGTCAGCTGTTCCCTACACATCCACCTGTGAAAGATACACCGGGATGTCACGTTTTCTTGGATAGATTATTCAGCGTCGATCACGCTACATTACAATTTAATGAAATGAGTTTGTGTGTCAACACTCCAAAACCAAACTCTGGCGATGGAGGCTGACGGTGATGCAACACTCACTGGGGCTCCATAAGGCCGACCAGGAAGTCAATTAAACTTTGTCGCTCTAGAGCTAGTAGACGGGCGTGAATTGTCAGCCAATATACTGTTTGAGGGGGTGCCAATGGTGTTATGCCTACTACCAGAATAGAATGACCGCTGTTAATATGGGCAGGCGCTCGAATTTTCATCAGCCACTTGGAGATACACCTCACACCGTGCCCCAAATATTACAAGAAAGGAGAGCACTTTGTGGGGTGCGAACCAAATAAAGAAGCGGTTTAGTAGTGGCTCTATTCACGCATTTGACGTTTGTGTACAGAGATTACTACAGTACCAGCCTCTATAAAAGCCATGACATTGTTTTTGCTGAGATCGGCTAAACAGCAAACTATGCGAGAATTGAGAAACTTAAAGCAAATTAAGAGATCGGCATATTGAGTATTACGAAGCTTTGACTTCCAAACAACGAACAAACGATTCATCAGTGAATCAACGCGTATCTGCGTACAGTGTCAGGTCAGATGGCTTCAGGTTCGACAGCGACTCACCGAATAAACAACTGACCCGTGGGTTTGACTCAAATAAACTAGTTTAGGTTTAACTGCCGCTTAGGCCGACTCCTGCTTTCTAGAGGAAAAGGAAAAAGTCAAACCGGGATTGAGAACACCGTCTCATTTTGTTTAGGTACGAACTCGCGCCGTTCACCATAGCTGAAGTGCGCGTTGTTAAGGAAACGAGGAGATGCTTCTTCCTAGCGCTTCGTGTCACACATAGCTACACAGCGAGTAGCTTTGGCCTCATGGGCGCCTTCCGTTGGCTCACCCACTGCACACTTACAACTACATCGTGATGCACGAGTCCAGAAATAGAAGCGACTTCCCACTTCATATCCAGCGTCAAGTAGCGCTAGCAATTCGTACTATGAGCGTAAACTTATATTAGCATAAAGGTGACCTCTTCACTGTGCCGCTGCTTGTGGCTCCGTTTCGTGCTTTCCAAGCAGCCTGGAAGCTCCTCCGGGTCGTGAATGCGGCTGCAGCTCCGGATTGTACGACACAAGTTACCCTAATAGCAGCAGCTGCTTTGTTGGGTAACTTTCTTGGGCTACTCTGGAGCGAAGGTTCCCTATAAGCTATCTTTTGTTCGCCTACCCTGTGCTGCAGTTGAGACAGCCCCGACACCTCAAGGTTCTAAATATTGATATGGCTCTTACTTTTCCCCTAAATAAGCATGAGCTGCGCTCATCAGCTTTTACACCCAAAACAATTTGTTCGGGAAAGCCTCACTGATCAGTTGTTTAAAAGCTGTGGAGCCCAGATAAGCCATTGAGAATGCGATCGTTCCTTTATGGTGTGGTTTCGTGCGAGCCAGAGCTCCATATACCTTGATGGTACAATCTGTAGATAGAGTTTCATGCCTGTGCTCATGTTGTGCTGGTCGGCATTAACCGATGACTCAGGGCTTGTGTATACGCATGAACTATCGTTATCCTGGAAGCAGATTATTATTTTTCCAGTGGAACGGTTACTGAGGTGCTTCAAACTACAATAGCTACACCACAAAGAATGCTCGCCTCACTTGATCTCCGGGGTACAAAGCATGATACCTACAACTGGCTGAGAAAATCTTGGAGAACTTGCTTCTTACAGCCGCCACAGTTTTCTTGTTGGTATCCTCCCATAAGAACACAGCCATTAAGATTCTATCGGGTGACAAATTATGGCCTTTTCCAAGTTTTGGAAGTGCTGCGCCCACATCGGAGTGCAGGCCGGCCTTGGCCGCCCCAGAAGAAATTAAGCTGCCGTCAGCTCCCATTCCCAAAGAGTTATTTTTTCCTACGCTGATGCCACAGAAGTCGAACTTTCGGATTAGTCAGTAGCAGGATCGAAGCCATGCAAGTCTAATAGGGAATTTTGACACCTAGTATGTTCACAGTCGATGGGTCAGCGGGGAATAGTTGCATCAGAACATGCATTGTCACCGACAACGGTACACATAAGGTTCCCGTAGCGTTGCACTGAGCTCCAGAAACGAATGCACGCAATGAAGAAAGCACTCCAATGCTTTTATTAAACGAGTCCTCTCTTTCCCTTTCTCACGCTCCTCAGTTAGGGGATAACGGGAAACGGACAGCCAACGTGTGCCTAGCATCACATGCTACTACTCTGGCAACTCGCTGCTGGTTGCACATTGCATCTAGCGTACACCCTCACAACACTACTTCTTTTTTCTTGCGCTAGCTCTACTCCCCAATAAATAAGCTGCTTGACGAGACTAACTAAGAGCAAGTTTATCATCAATTCTTTCCTAAAGATAGTTATTGTGGTAGAAATGGTGTGAGTGTAGTAGCTTAGCCCGCTACAGTAGGGCTCAAGTGAAAGCCAAAAAAAAGTGGAACTAGGAGTCACCTATATTAGGCGAGGGCACATCCGTTATAATCTCAAAGGCTCTCAAGACACAACGAAATTTCCTCACATACATATTTTTTACTCTGACTGGATTGCTGCTAGCCCCACAAGGGTTCTATACAGGCCGCCCTTCTTCTGTATCAACTCGTCATGTGTGCCCACTTCGGCCACACGGCTTCCTGTCCTGTCTTCGTTGGTCAGCACTACAATCTTGTCTGAGCCAGCATGAGGAAGAGAGGCAAGTTGGCACGAACACACAAAGCTAGCGAATGCCTGTAAATTTATGCGGCATATTAGCGATAAGCTTCTAGTGAGTAGCTAATTAGCCTCAAGGTTCCCCTAACGCATACTTCAGATGAGCAATATGGAAAACGCACCGGCATTACGGACGGTAGACAGCCTGTGGGCGACAATGATGGTGCTGCGCTTCTCTTTGGCAAGCAAATCGTCAATAGTTTTTTGGACGATCCGTTCACTTTCTGCGTCGAGAGCCGACGTTGCCTCGTCTAAAATCAAAAGCCGAGGCTTCCGAATCAATGCTCTGCAGGACAGACATGCACACAAAACGAGGGCAAGAAGAAGAACGTTACTTAGCCCCTGCCAGAGCAAATAAACAGAGAGCAGAGAGCTCTAAGCCTCAAAGGCGGGTGGCAAGGAGCATGCAAGTCTTAAACCAATCCGCGAAACCAGCTTGTTGAACCGTAACGTTTCATGCAGAGGAGGGTCTCCTTACCTTGCGATTGCGATGCGCTGTTTCTGCCCACCAGAGAGTTGTGCACCCCCTCTCCCTACGTTCGTTTGATAGCCATTGGGGAACGAGGAAATAAAACCCGCGGCATTCGCTATCTCCGCGGCTTCTTGGACCTCGGCCTGAGACGACAGATGCCGCAGAGAATTGAAAGCGTAGCAAAAGCGCAGGAGCAGAATTTCGCACGCAAGTGAAACATCCATCCGCTAACGGGCTGTTCATGCATCGAAGCCATATCTAAAACAACCGGGTATACTTGAAACACAAAGCCCTTGGACGTGCGAACTACGACAGCCTCCTTGGAGCGAAGGCAAATTCCAACGCACATGGCGTGACACTTAAGATGTGAGGGTGTTGCCACAGCGATGCATGCTTGCAAATATGGGCTTTTAAGGGGCAGAAACGGAGGCATTCTAGGTGTTTGCGCAATGACAAGAAGAAATCGCACCATGGTAGCTCCTGGCTTGGAAATAGCGATGTTTTCTTCTACGGTCATGTCGAACAAGACAGGCTCCTGGCTAACAAGCCCCTCCTGTTGGCGAACAGACCTGAGGGAGCCAGAGGAATGCAAATCGGGAGGACGGCTGGTGAAGCGTCGTAAATGCGGAGAGACCTACTTCAGGAAGATGGCTAGGGTTCGGTCCTCGGCTGTCACCCAGAAAGGGTATGCCACGTCACAGCGGATTAGCTCACACAACGTTGAGATCACGAATATCGTCATTGTCTAGCAGAATCCTCCCTTCGTGTCCACCAGCGCTGCGCTGTCGTCCGCCTCCTGTAAGAGAGGCCTTCGTCATGGCGTGCGGCACTGCGTGCACGTGGTGGCTGCTTCTCAAGTCATAGAACCGCTCCTGCAAGCGAACCCGTGTAAAATAATCTGCAGTTGCACTTCAGCAAGAATACACAGGCCCAGACTGTTACGCCCGGACTGGTACATGCAAGGGCACCGTTGTCGAGAGAAGTAAAAACTATATTAGGGGTCTCGTCGGCACCAGCAGCATGTCTCTTGCTGCCATCCCGTTTGACCGGCGTGATGCGAAAAATCGCAAGCAACCGCTTTGCCTCGCCGGTGAGACAGTGCGCTTACCACGAGCTGAACAATCGTAGACTTTCCGCATCCTGAGGCTCCCACCAACGCAACTGATTCGCCTGCCTTGATAGAGAAGCTCAAGTTTCGGTACACCTGTAAACACAGGCAGAGGTCCTCGCCGATTACTCAAGCCATGCAAGGCCTAGTCGATCCCTGCGGGAAGATCCTCGATCCCCATCAAGGCGAATGGATGTCCAAGTCTCTAAGTGAGAGGCTATCTAGCGTATGTAAAAAGCTACGGCACAAGCCAGCACGAGCAAGAAGCTAGGTGCTCTCACACTTCACCGCCTCAGGGTGCACGCCACTGCGCTCTGAGGCGTCAGGGAAGAGAAAACAGTGCGCAGATCAAACTACCCACCCTATTCTCTGGCCTTGTTGGATAGGTGAAGTTGATGCGGTCAAGCTCCACTGCCCCAGTAAAGCTCTCGTGGGTTAGAAGCTTTCCTCCCGAGTCACGCACATCAATCTCCGACACCTGAATGACCTCACACGCTCCAGCGGCGAAGCATATGACAAGATGTGCAGTCTGGGGAACTTGCGCGGCTGCCATGTCGTGGTGTGCCCCCCGAAGGCTCACCCGGTCGATAAGGCCGAACACGCGATGACCTGCGGCTGCTGCTTTCGAAGAATCTGTGGTAAAGAGGACGGTTTGTCCAACAGAAGATACCGCGAATGTCAGGGAAAGGATGGCCTGGGTAATCACTGTGACATTGCAGCCACACGGAGACCCCACAAAGCTGCGAATGGGGCAAGCGCTATTACTAGTGAGGCTACCAAGAAACAGCTCGTTTGTACGTCGAGGCGTCTAAGACGGCACGCACATACACACACCTTCAGGCTCCACTCCATGCTCCACCACAAGTTTGCTTCCGTACCACAAAGCCAGACAGTTGACGAAAAACTGTGTTGCCTGAGCGCGCAACAGTCCCCCCACAGTGCTTGTTTGGCGTTTTTGCAGGGTTCTGTTCTGCCCTGCACCGTGTTCGGCCTGCTCCCTAACATGCGTGCCCCTAGCCGCACTTGACTGAAGCCGTAAGCAAGCCCCAGAACGATGCCTTCTTTGATCTTTGTTGCATGCTCCGACTGGATGCTCGCAGAGTAACTCTTGATGAACCTCTGGCGCCAAGCAGTCCACCGCACCACACAGCATCGCAGAAGCAACAACGTGAAGGCAGCCTCCTAACTTCTTTTCTGCCGAGGGGGAAGCACCGCCGTCCGCTACAAAACGCTGCGTTTCCTGTCGCAGAGAGAGAGGGACGCAGGCTGCCTGGCCATATTCTACCTCTTCTAGACCAAACGCGCATACAACACGAATTCCAGAAGTCGCCTGGTTCATAATGGCTGGGGATCCTTGATTCTCAACTCCTGGCCGCACTGTGTGCGTTGCTGCAGGGCCTGCATGCAAAAACAAGGCAAATAGCGCCGACAGGCCTCCTGGCGTCAGATGCTCCGTCCTGGAGTACAGAAAACCTTTTGCTAACCTCTGTAGAGATGCACAGTGCGCGCAACTGCAGTTCACTGTCCCCGTACGACGAGGCATTAAGGGGAAAACGCACTGCTCATCTTAGCTTCTATGATGTTGGCTGGAATCAGCAAGACACAAAAAGCAAGGATCACCAGCGCCAGCCTCCAGTCGCCACAGAACGCGATGACAAGACCTGAATACGGCACAATGTCACGGCGGCTCACAAGGTGAGCCTTGGAAAGTTTTTGTTGTTGCTTGCAGAACAGTGCGCTCGAATGGCCGCACTTTTTGGCGGCCATTCGAGCGCACTGGGAAGGCAGCAACGCACCCGTGGTGAGCGCAGCGAATACTTGAACCATGGAAACAACGTTGCCAGTACACCCAGTCTTGACATCCAGCACGTCCGCGCTCAGAATGCTGCAGAGCTTCCCTGGTGTCAGCCGCAAACGCCGCATCCTCACGCACACAGCCAAAGCGTTCTGACTGAAGGGTCTCAGGCGGGCACTCTTTGTAGCTCTAGGGAAAAAAACACGCTACTGCTTCGCGAAAAGCGCACAGAATGGACTGGGCTTGCATGCGCCACACACCCGCATTGTTTTCTGGTGCATCAAAGAAGGCGATGTTTTGGTGGACCGTCTGAACAAACGCCCTGTCCCTCAAGATAGTTGCCACCTTATATCCGCAATAATCGATTCCATACATCTTGACTGAGTCTGTTAAGCCTTGAGCCAAACCCAAACCGACAAGGACCAAGGCCCACTTAGCAACCTGAACAAGCAACACACATACACGTACACCGAATCGGCATCCTCTAAGCAGGCACTTTGAATGATTTCCCAGCAGTGCGGTTCTCACGCCTGGGGTTTAAAATCTACGACCACAAATGCAGTCTCCCGCAGCCACAAAAATACGCCAGCTGCAACGCGTATCGCCCTCCCTAACGTTGCAGCACACCCCATCACGAATCTCTTGAGGATCGGGATTGAAGTAAGTGGAAATGAAATGCGCGAACGCATAACCAAAGATAGGGAAGATAACGCTGCGCCACAAAAAGAAAGCACACACATTACACGGCGTGGAAAACGAAAAGCCCATTTATTATCTACAGCAATGGCAGCCTACGGCTTCGCACGATGAATGGATGCTGTCACCACAATACACAACCCTCCGAGACACTGATGCGTAACAACGCAGCAGCAGCAGGTACGCAGAGGTTGCTGGCAAACTAGGCATAAGGTAAAGAACCGCGCGTGTGTCAAACCAGCATAGATAGAGATAGATATACATATATATATACATATATCTGCTAGCACGGTGCGAAATATTGCACCATGCTGTAATATTTGTACAGATTTAGCTGTACCCGGCGCCAGCTGCTGCGATGAACGTCACAATGACCACCGGCCAGTACTGCAAAATAATATCGTAAGTCCGCGTAATCGGCTTGGTTTCCATGCTTCGCTTAATCCCAACAATCGACGCACCTGAAAGGTGGAAAAACAGACGCGGGTGGCTTTCTTGCAGCAGTCGAGAGGACGCATACAGGCGATTAGCTGCAACATCGCTAGGTTGGGCAGCTTTCGGGGTGCAGAGTATATCAGGACAAATTACTCACCGACACTTATAATGGATGACTTTCGTGTGTCCTGAGGGAAGGGAGAACCGCAACACGGAAACAGTGCGTTTGCCAAATAAAAAAGCTGCCTGATGCGCGTCTCAAACCTGAGCAAATCCCGGTTTGTTAGAACCGCAACTGCAAAGTAGCTTTGACAATAACTCCAGAGAACCCCCTATCCTGGTTATTTCGCGCGCGAGAGCCTACATGGCGCATGCTCTGGGCCCCCTCCAAAAGCGTATCGCCATGTACTGGTGGAGTTTCTTCTACTGTCTCCTCCTCCTCCTCCAATTCATCAACACGGGGGACCACTTGACTAGACACCAAGTGGTAGTACAGTCCTTCCTGAGCAGCAGACGGTCAGCAAGCGTCGCGCAGCTGGCACCATTGCTGCAGGCTTTTGCTGCTTAAGGGGAACTGGAAGGCGCTACACACACTTGCCGCGTCCTCGATACACCAAGCAGAAAGCAGCAACGGCATCGGGCTGCCCACGAGGAACCTCAAGAAAAGAACAATACATCCTCGCATGCATGCGTGCCAGTGCAAATAGTTTACTGGGTCCTTCATAAGCTGATGGTGAGTCCCTTGCTGCACAACAGTCGCTCCATTAGCAGAAGGCTCTAAGACGACAATAAGGTCCGCATTCTGGATGGTGCTAAGACGATGCGCCACGATCAAGGTTGTTGCTTTGCTCGTTGCAACGAGGTTGTCCAACGCTTCCTGATCAGGCAGTGCATGCGGCATGAACCATCAAATGCCACAAGCCCTCAAACCGCAGACGGCGAGCAGCTTGGGTGGAAGCAGGGTCACATCAGCCAGGGAGCTCGCAGAGAGACCTTCAGGAGGACTTGCTAACAAGACCAAAAATAACGCAAAAACTGAATGTTAAGAGCACCTGAACAATCTTTTCCGACTGTGTGTCCAGTGCAGATGTGGCTTCGTCGAAAATCAAAATACTGGGGCGACGGATCTGCGCGGCAGAGGACACCCCAGAGCTCATGAATTTCTTCAACGACAAAGGTGCTCCGATATTTATCCTTTGGCACGCTAACCTGGAGGGTGAACTTTATATCTATATCTATATACACAAAGTTATTTAGCCAGTAGGTCTAACGGCTTCCGTGCATGCAAAGGTCGGCGCGCGGATAGTCATGAGACTCAATCACAGAGGTGCTTGGTATACGGATCGCATGGGCTGTACGGACCAGCGCTCTCGCGATGGCAATGCGCTGCTTCTGGCCACCAGACAGCTGCCCGCCGTATGCGCCACAGTCTGTCTCATATCCTTCAGGGAAACGGGTAATGAATCCGTCAGCATTCGCTTGCTTTGCGGCATCCACAACCTCCTCCAAGGACACCGGCTGCGGAGATCCCATCTCGATGTTTTTTCTGACCTGAAGTACATTCCTGACGCACGGGGGGAGAGAACTATCTTAGTGGCATGCTGATGAGCAGCAGCCTCCCGTTCTAAAAGACTCGAGGCGGCCAACAAAGTCTTGGTCTGCCCATCCTGGGGGTGCGCAGTAGAATGCTGCGGCTCGTTCCACAGGTGCACTAAGTCCTCTCAACTTTGTGTAAGTGGTGTCAAGCCTTTTGCACGCGCTGCTGCTGCAATTAGGGGCTTAGGAGTTGGCATACCGTCGTTGAGAAAAGGCACGGCTCTTGACTGACAACGCCCATATGGCTTCTTAACGTCGCAACATTTATGTCCTTCACCGGGCTGTGAATAGAGAAAGCCAGATACGAAGCGAGAATTCCGACTTGAGACTGTGTGCAAAGAGCCTAGCTATCAGCTCAAGCGCAGATCCCCTGCAGGACTCTGCTTAAGCACTAGACAGCTAAGAGCAGGCAGCTTTCGCTCTTTAGCACCTGGTGAGTCAGAGCAAGAGTGCCATCTCAACAGCAATCCCAGACAGCGGAAATGTATCAAGCTCACACGCCACCAACGGTAATAGTTCCCTTGTCGCAGTCATACATTCGTTGAAGCAGCTGCAATACTGTTGACTTGCCACAGCCTACAAAGCAATGCCGAACGAAAGTTGCCGCACTATGGGTGCACATCACACAACCTTCCAGCCTCCCTTAACGCACAACCCTCAGCGAGCTAAGCATGTAGAAGCACAGATCAAAGCCTCACCAGATCCTCCGACAAGTGCAACAGATTTTCCAGCAGGGATACGAAGATTCAGATTCGTGAAAATAGGCCTTTCTGGTCTCGTGGGGTAAGAAAATGCAACGTTCTTGAACTCGATGTCGCCATCCAGTTGGACGTCCGTCTATGAAAACACACGTATCTTTCTCTCTCTCTCTCTCTCTCTATATATATATATGTATATATATATATATATAAATCTGAGGAACCAGCTGGTACGTGCACCCAGACCCCTGTGAAGATGTACATGCAAGTTCCTTGCTGAACGACGAGGCAGCCAAGGTGTTTTTGGATGCGCCTTTAGGATTTACACACAGGTACACTTGGCGTCTTGTGACAGCTTACGCGCCCGCCGCCAGCGAGGGGGTCAATATGTGAGGTTCTTCCAATTAGTTCTTCCAAATCGGCAGCTGCTGTGCACGCCTAGAGGTTCGAACCACAACAACGGAACAACCTCATAATGACCACATTGCGCTCGCGGATGAGAATAACCGCCCCCTCCCCCTCTCTCCTACCCTGCCCGCGCATCAAAACCACCATAGTCTTTTCTTCCTACAGAAAAGTCCTCTTTGAAGGGAGACAACTGTAAAAGCTTTTGAGCGTGAAGAGCCACGTACCTTGATCAAGGCCGTGCAGTTGGGGATCACCTGGCCCAACGAGAACGCACCGATTAAAATTACCAAAAACACCGTAATCGCAGAGCCTCCCGAAAAAGCTGGTTTTGGCCACGTGTTGGGGTCTGCCGGATCGACCGGAGTGTTCATACCTGTAAGCAGGAGAAAACGCGGGGAAAGTGGACGCTTCGGACTGTTACCTCCAGAATAACATGAATTCATGAAAATGCACGTCTAAAGGTAACGTGCCAGGCGATGCACTTTCCCTCATTTATGGTGCGAGACAAACCTTGAAGGGCCTCCTCAGTGCTGTCCGCCAACAGGTGACCGCCATACCACAAACCCAAAGCGCTCATGAAGAACATGGATGCCATCAAGCCAGCCAAGCCTGCACATATTGAATTTGAATCCAGCACAGCCAAGAGAAGCAGTCTTGCAAAGCCCTTAGGAAAACGCACTGTGCGCGTGCTATTATCTGACAGCCGCTATCGTGCAAACTGTGAACGCTCACACTCACCCAGTGACACCCAAACCGATGCACGGAGCGCAGCCTTCTCGGCATGCTTGAGATTCCGCCTGTATTTTTCGGTCATATGCTCTTCCAATCCCATAGATACGACAGTTCTCATTGCCATAAAGGCTTCCTCGCTAACAGCCCCGGCGCTGGCATAAGATTCTATGAGTGCACAGACAGAAGCGCAGGCACAGCACTTCGCCGCATCTGTTGCTGTACACCAGCAGTGCAGGAGTCACCCGTTCAGGCCAAATGCAGCAAACACACACCGGGGAAGCCACAAGCTGGTCAGCGATCAAACTTTGCAGCCGCTAAACGCCCAATGGTGTTTCGATATTTATTTGCAAACATTCAAAAAAACGCCCGTACGGTCAATTTCCTGCTTATGAATTGCCCACGCAACCAAGGCGCCGAAGCCCCCCACTACGGGAACCGCTGCCGCCGAAACCAGTGTAAGCTTCCAACTCTTGATGAAGCCAACAACAAGGGCCCCAATTATCACAACGAAAAGCTGAATGAGCTGCATGCGTACGAAGAAAGAGGGCACAGACCAGGCCAAAGCAGCCATTAGGATCCCTCTCTTGTGAAGAGCAGGTTCTCTTCAACTCAGTCGACTCAATTCGCAGTTCAGAGGCAGGAGTGTCAAGGGTGCGGAGTGAAAGCGTTTCGAACGCCTTATCGTATATATGTATATATATATCCGCAAACTACCACCAGCAACCCGCACCCATAATGTGCATGTGTATGAAGCATTAGGAGTGTCCATCTTAAGCAGCAGCAGTAATTGCCAAACACTACAGCGACAATCTTTGTCAGCCTCACCATGCACAGTTTTAGGCCGATGCCGCTACGGATGGAAGCAATGTTTGATAGCAGACGTGAAGCAAGGCTCCCTACATTGCTTTGATCATACCAAGCCATGTCCTGAATTCAATATTACCCGCGCATACTTTATTGAGGAAACTCAGCTCAATAAATGCCACATCTGGCATCTTTATTTCGCAGTCAACATACAGAGTTCGGGCTCGTGCCTCACCTGCCGAACGACGGATTGAAAGTATTGCTCCTTAAAAGCCTTGACCTGCCTGTCAGCAGCGACTTCAAAACAGGCTGTTGAGACCGAACCAGAAACGAATGCAGCTAGCTGAGGAGCCGCAACTCATAAAATACCAGTTATGCGCGATTGCAATATCGCGAAGTATAAGCTGACTCCACCCCCACCACATGCACCTCCACCAGTAGCAGCGATGGCGTGCAAAAACCGCAAGTGGTGGCACAATTACATCGAAACCCGAAATCCTCTAGCTGAGCCTGAAAGCGTTCGCAGCTTACTCCTAGCCAAGCCATAAAGCGGACATAGTAATCCGTATCTAGAGTCGTATTCATTTGTTCAATAAGGTCACCAAAAACGAGAAAGAAGACGGGCTGAGCGCAAGACAGACACTCTACATGGGAATCCGCCTGTATTACAAGCCTTAGAGGAGAAAGGAGAAACCAAAAAATACCTATTCTAGTCGCTCCGCATGCGTTTGCTGTAATACTCGATAACTCACCAGCAGTGCCCCGACACCCGCGCTCAGGAGAGTGCCGCAGAGAAGCAGTACAACGTCAAATTTAGTCGCATGCCTACAAAACAGACCAACGTGTGCACTTTAGAAAGCTGGCAGTTCCTGACCGCCTATCGTTGAGACTGATGGCAGGCGCCATAAACAGCTCAATCTTCCTCCCCCTGAGACGAAACCCTGCCCATGCACATACGCTGATTATGTTGAGACCTCACCTGAAGGGTGGCAGCTCTAGGATGTCTCGTTTGCGCATTTTTTTCGGCTGAAAATAGCACACGCATGCCAGATCTATGCACAAGCGCACGCTTCCATGGCCTTTGTTCCCCACTTGAGTCCACAGTCTCTTTTTGCAACTCGAATTTGGGTGCATATGGACAGTCATAGGTCCCGATCGCGCTCGCTAGTTGCGAACTTTCGATGTGGTGCCCATACCTCATCCGCTGCGATGCTGTAGCCACCTTTATTTTCTTTTGCCTTCGCATTTACGGCTGCATTGTGGTCCGTCTGAGGGTCTTGGTGACCACTCGGCTGGGGTCCGCCACTTGGCATACCATCATTCTTTGAGCCGTCCTGTTCTCCAGGAGTTGTTCCGCTATGATTTTCTACAAGTAATGTTTTTTCTCCCCCATGATGGGGTTCAGGGACTTCCATTGTGAGGTTGTTAAGGTTCAGGCAGGACACACAGTTACCGGTTGGAAGTCTCCCGCGTCGCAGTGTGTAGTCTCCAGCACAGAACACACTTGAAAACCACAAAGTGACGTATAAAATAGCAAATCCCAAGGTTCAGGACGCAATCGATATAAAGTGCAGCACAATTATGCAGTGAATCGGATTCAACAGAATTAGCTCTCGAGTTTACATGCAGCCCGCGCTGATCTTTCGTTGTCTGGAATCCACACTGCTTCGAGCCACCGTGAGGATTTTACTTCGACGCAAATATTGTAGAAATAATAGGAAAAAGACCACTTTAGACGCCCAGCGGCCATGTCGCTAAGCATACGGAATGGGGGGACACTGCAGGATCAAACCATTACTCTCGAGGGCCGAAGTACGTTAGTCAGTTGCACTGCACTCGCTGCATTAGTCAAAGAGTTAATTTATACAGTACCATTTTTTCCTTATCTGTATTTTGTGGGATGTGTTGCCGAGTAGGGTTACCCATGCATTGGGCGTAACGGTATTTCGTGTGCGCGTGCGCTAGTTGCTGTATCGGACGGGGTGCAAGCACTCGGATTGCTTAAAAGGTTCCGCAACGTATCCCTACCTCAACGTCTTCCCTAGTGCCAAAACCCATAGGGTGAGGGTAAGGATATGAGAGAGGGATTTCTTAGAGGAAACACCAAACAAGTTTCCAGTACGTGTTGTATGGCTTGCGGGGCGTCTCTGACAGGAATCCAGGAGAACCGCTACAAGCTTGAACTTCTTATGGCAGCAATTCGGTGAAATATATCCTGGACATATGGAATTTGAAGGGGGCAATGATGCTTCATAGTGTGTCTCCACATGGAGGCACCCTCTAATTTTAACGTGGTTGGTTCCACCCAGGCACTGTCCACCACACTAGTTATACTAAGCTAAGAATCGGCGCAGCTTTAGAAGACATTAAAGTCAGTTTGTATTGAAACTCTTTCCATAAAAGGCTCCTCTCCTTCCCCTGCGGGCGACTCACAAAACTCCCGAAAGTGAAGGGAGAGGGACAGCTAAGGTGTGCATACGTTTACGCTCTATGCATCCCGAGCATTCACCGCCAGCTCCACATACCATCTGCAGCACAGGCACACACTGTTGATTTTCGTTTCAAGCTAGCTCGGTAAAACAACGCACAAGTGGCACATACGAACAGCCAAATTGATTGCGAATTCTCTACTGCCCCAAAATTTAATATAACTTGCATAATACATAGTTCGGAATCTTCTCGATGAGCTATCTACATCTTCTTCCCATCCATTATGAGATATACTTTCTCTTGTTCCATACCTGTCTGTCGAGACCAGCTACCCACAGGGCAGCCGGGAGAGTTCTCACCCTATCGGATTCCCGAGGCAGGCAAAAGAGCAACAAACCGTGCAAATAAGGAAACCAAACGCAGCTGCTCGTTAAAAAAATAGCTGGAAAAGGAAAAACACAAGCACGAGGCAGCACCGAATGAGGGGCCAACCCAACACTTTGGCGGCAGCGCGGTGGCTCGCTGCCGCCAAAGCGCGGAAATCTAAGCCTTTTGCTACGAGAAAATGGAAGCCAGGTAATATGTGCAGGGGATATCAGAACACAACCTAGCTACGCAGTCTCTCCGCTACCCATAGGGTGATTTCTGCACGCAAAGACAGCTGCTGCATTCAGCCTAGTCGAAGTTAAAGCCACAAAAGCAGCACATGAAAGAATTTAAAGAAATCATATCTGAGTTCCTCATAAACCTTAGTGCAGAGAGCACCTTAATAGTAACAACCTGGAGCTGCTACAGCAATATTTATGGATGAAGGTAGCTGATTCAGGCAGAGTATGTGCTGGGGAAGAACAATTACGAAGGAACCCAAGGACGACCGTCCATGGCCACTGGCGCGGTGAGCCAAACAGAGCCGCTAAGTCTTTCGCAGGCAACGAAGCTCAAAATTGATTATGCATTACCTATTGGCGCGATTTCTTAATCAGAGTTCACTAGAAACTTTCGTCTAGTGTGCCACTGGCGCTCAATATTCTCCAAATCTAGCGCTCGTAAGCCGTCACATGGATCCTGCACTCCCACGTGGGCCACTTGCCTGCCATTCAAAGTGCGCGCAAATTTATGAATTTCATAACGTTTAGAGAAATTCAAGAGTGGTAGTGATACCGGGCTTCTACCCTCTAGGAAAATCGACAGAAAATGAAAGAGCGTTGATAAGTGAGGAGCCACGAATGGTCACCGTAGGCAACTGAGCAGCCACGCAGTTGGATTTTTGCGAGTGCAGAGTCTTAAACACTGCAGATGAGTGTAAATGCTGTCCTTCCGCTATTCATCGAATCTAGAGTGGCTTGCAGTGGTTACTGTATGGTCAATGTATAATGTCGCACATGCACGCAAAAACACACCGACCTCGGATCCCTATCCGTAACAATAATCCTGAGGAATCTGCGCAGCTTTTAGACATGAGTTAAGAATAATTAAATGACTTCCTGAGTTAAGACAAGCCTGGATTCGGGGATGAAATGGTTATATTTGCTGAGTGTATCGACAACGACGTGGATGCTGGCGGGACCCTTAACCTCCAGCAGTTTGACAAGGAAGTGTGTAGTCCAGTCAATTCAAGGATCATGATAAACTGGAAGGCCTTACCAAAGAATATGCCTAAAAAAATTGCGTAGCTCTAGCTGATGGCAATTTGTACACGGCTGTGGATAGTTTTCTACCTTGGGCGGCATCCCAAGCCACCCTAAGGACCGCGGAAGCTTTGCAGTTGAGGTGCGAATCCCCATGGTGGCCCGAAGGAGCGTGATCATGTGCTTACAATACGCCGGAGCTACGGGAATGTGCAAGAGTTCGAGTCTTCCGTTTGATTCAAACAGCATCAGTCACCCTCAACGTGAGCGTGCTCCACCCTTTTGCTATTCTGAAATGCGGCGATGCATGTGGGTGCAAGGATGACAAAACCTCAAACGTACCCAATTTCCATAAAAGCCATGCATCATCACACACAAGAACGGTTGCGCTGCACAATAGGAAATTAGCGAGTGGTTGCGAGAGTGCGTAAGCGGCCACCTTGGTGATACTCTTAGCTTATTCGATACAGTCGTACTGCAGGTGCCGCCGAAGCCAATGGGTAAGTTCAGCAATAACGAATGGCTAAAATCTTCTCTTAAAGCATATTAAAGACTCATTATCGGCCTGGATGAATAAATGATAAAAACGTAAATACATTTAGCATTTTAATACCTCACTACACCGCAGAGAGTTTTTTTTCGGCGCTGGGTAGCGCTGCTTGGCTTCGGCAAAGCGAACCGAATAACAAATAGGTGCTGTAGAGAGCCCGTATCTGGTTGAGAGACAATATAGCTCGGCTCTACGTCACGTACGGAGTCTGAGGAAAAACTGACGTCCGTATTCGGGCAGTGCAAGTAACGGAAGAGTTCCAAGGATGCTGAGAAGCGTCTGCTGGCAAGCTCATATATTACACTTTCTTAACTAGAGCAGGCGGAGGAGCAGCGATCCGAGTGAGCCCAGGACTGATATTTCGGCAATAAGATACGGGCGCGTAGAACTTTGCAATGTCTCTGCGGAGGCACAAAGGTCAAGGCCACGTGCTGAATATTTTTGCCGGATCTGGTTCACTTCCTGCAACAAAAACACGGGATCTTAGCAACGTTATGTGTCTCATGGGAAACAAACGCCTGCTTGCCGTAGTGCACCTCTGCTTGTTCCAAGATAGCTGCAGCGCACGCTGTACGCGCTGTATGTATTTTTGAATGCTTCGGCTGAATACTAGGGCGGTATCACGTAGATAGCCATCCACCTCTTCTGCATAAGCATGTAAGCATACTGAGCAATTATATGTCACTGTTCAGCTGGAGCACTGGAAAGTCCAAATGGATTACAGGTACATTTGAGTTTGCTCTTGCAAGTGCGAGTCGAAGTGCGACTCGAAGTGCGAGTTTGAGACACCCTTGGGTGCCTGTCCCCTGGGCGAACAGGGATTTGTAGGAATGCAAGTATAGATTCAAATGTAGGGGATACTTTAGATACGGGTACTTTACCAATTCATTCGTCAAAGTGAGCCATTGGGAAGCTTTTTTCATGGCTGGACCGGTCAGGAGATTAAAGTTAATGCCCATACGCTACGATCCGTTGCTTTCCGTTACTAACATCGGGTTATGCCTAAAAAACATTTCCCAGTCCTGCAACTAGCATTTTTCAACAAATCATCTGCCTGTCGCAAAGTTTCTTCCTATTTTGAGGGATCCGATTTTGCTTGACATATAGCTTGAGGCTGGCCCGAAGATTAGTTCATACAATGCAGTGTATGATCGGCTAATGACCGGCATGCTGACAGCTCGTCATTATTTACAACATCCGCAAAACCTTCCTTGATATTTACCTAAGACTACTGTGTCAGCTGAAAGGTCAATAGAATTTCGTAGCAAAATTTTGGCCAGTAAGAGAGGATGTCTTCTTAGAACTGCCTTGTCTTTGTGCGCTGTTGCGCCGCCCACATCAAGAGTATGCTTCAACTTGTTAAGCCAGCCTTTACTCGGGTCACCATAAATGGAAGAAACACTGTTGAGGGTATCCGGAGCTGCGTCTTCATAGCGCTTCCTGGCGCACTAACATACAGCGCGCAGCTCTTGCTGCGCGCGTGCATTCCATTGTGTCGCTCGTGTCCTACCTAAGATGACGTCGTTATGTACGGTTCTCAACATAGGAGTCGTTGATCAAGCGTATGGGACCCAGTTTCAAACTGAAGTGGTATCAGCATCAATAGCTTAGCCAGTCGCTGCATTCTGCTGCCCACAGGCAAATTCGAGTCTGAGGAAGTGCGCCAACGAGTGAAGAGGCAGACTGCAATTCTAAACCGTGTCCTCGAAAGCAAGTTCGCTTTAGATCCACTAGTGAATGACAGATTCACTATGCATTCACTGCAGAAAACCTTGAGCAGCTTTTGACTATTGATTTGCGCTTGCATCGGTGCAGCAATGAGCCCTAGTATGTTCCCAAATGTAGCTTTGTCCTCTGTCGCCCTCTTCACTGCGCCACAGCTTGTGTCGCCTCTATATTTTCCTAATGCGCCATCTTTGTTCCCCACCCCCTTGATTTCCCTGGGCTTAGATTGATTGCTTGATTTCTTACCGGTTTTTGCATTTTCCTGCAATTTTAGAAAATTTAACTCAACTTCTCTCGTGGGTGCAGCGCTCCAAGTAAGTGCCACGAATAGGGAAATATATTTCTAGAAATATACCAATTTCATAAATATTCGGTAGTGTGATTTGTTCTAAATAATTTCAGGTTTTTCTTGCGGCTGTCTCAGAGTTCCAGGCACTGGGGCACAGTGTCAACTGAGGTGGAAGTAGCATCACTCGCGAAGCCTCCCAAGCATTCACAGCTAGGTGCACATAGCCACTATAGAGGAGACGCGCACAGCATTGCGCCTTCTTACATCGAGGTAGCAGTACCCTAGAATAAATAAGATATCGAACAGACTAGCTATTGCTGAGACCATTGGCTTGATGTAAGAAGGAACAATGCTGTGTGCCCTTGTGCTAGATGCTACGGGGCTGCGAAGGTACGTGATGCTTCAAGGGTGCAACTACGAGCATCCTGGCTGTCTCTCTTCACTCCTCTCAGAACTGAGAGGATCACGGACAGAAGAAGCCAGGAGCTCTCTAGAAAAAAGGCTCAACAGCGTTTTGCACCACCTCTGGTCCCTGTAAGGGACCTACAAGACCTAAACAGGTATCCAAAACGAATTCACGAGATGCTTTACTAATTCGCAGAACCAGCTGTACTGCTGCCTGTACACACGCTTACACGCTAGTGGACTCATGGGGAAAACAGGCGATGCACTGCTTTCAGCGAGTCACACGTGAAGCCGCAACAGTGTACTGGCACAAAGTGCCACTCCGTAGATCAAAGAACGCTATACAAACTTCGAAATAGACAGTGTACTTGGGCATCCACATACGGCAGTCACCTATAGCAAATCCAAATAAGGAGTAGTGTATGGATACTACTCCAGTAGTAAACCAGTAACGAAAAAGCAGATACACACCAAAGATTCAGCTGCATTTTGGAAGTGACAATACAATCACGCAGTGCCTAAAATGTTTCACTCATTGTGTACCTCAAGAACAACAGAAAGGTCGGCGTCTGGGAGGCTTGAAAGAGGATCGTATGGCTGGTAGATCGTGCGGAGGGGACATTGCTGCTCGGATCGTCAGCTGTACATGGACTTCCGCCCATTGCATGCCTTAAATACAACAGAAAAGATGCCACGTGGAAAGCCTGAGAGAGGACGGTATGGCCAGGGTAACGGGCGGAGGCGACACTCATTACTCAGTAAGACTAGGTCTGTTTAATCGTGGGGTCTTCCCATTTGCCACCGCAGGCTTGCACACGTGAGTCTGCCTTCACGACTATAAAGAATTTCATTAGGCTGTACTGTACCCTGCACTTGGGCATTCGAACACAGCTCACAAGTAAGAATACAGCAAACTCAGTTGGCTGGACTGCCATGCCACAACGGAAGATAGTACCTGCATGCGTGCTCGTTATCGTATTCGGTGCAGAATGAGCTCTCAACAGAGGTGGAGATACGAATGGAGTAGCTGTATATGCAAAGTGAACCCACGAGCAGAGAGCCGCAGTCAAAGCCAGTTGGCGGTAAGGGATGATACACGGCACTCGAAAAGCATAACCATGCGAGAGCATATAAAGCAGAGGTTTGCAGGTGCTAAAAGGGTTGGACTTATGAGTATGCTATCAGTACTTCATTCCGCCTGGACCGCACGCAAGCCGTGGTAGCAGTGTTAAAACTACACTCTGGCAAATGGTCAGCAGCAATACATCCTTCGGAAACTCACAGATCAAAACCCACAATTGCCACTTCACTTGTTAATTAAATGAGCCGTGTGTAATTATAGAGTGGATAAAACATAAAGGAAGGGAAATGGCGCCGCCATTGCTTGCATTGGTAAAGTGACACCCGCGCAGCCCAAGCCGCCAGCGGGATAGGGGGCTCGTAGGCAAGCCCAGCTAATAGTGAGTCCAAACGATCCGCATTTGCATTGCCCGTCTCCCCTAAGTAACAAACGAAGTGACATGTCACTGCATTTTCCTGCTTGGACATCAAGTCGGCCCAGCAGCAGCGGTTGGATGCAGTATTCTCCACCTGGCCTTCAGGAAATCTCGAGAGTTCATCGGTAATGGACTTCTCAGAGGCCATCCCAACCCTTATGGAATTTGCCGGCAAGTTTACTGGTCCCTCTAGGCTTCTAAAGAGCCTTTGGCCATGGGGAGATGGCAGACATACAAACATGCATCCGCTGCACAGCCCTACAGATGCTCCTTCTTGCCAGCGAATAACCCAGGGTTGTGCAAGGATTAGGAAAATGTACAGTCGCAGAAACGATAGGCATTCTTGACAGCAATGCGCCATAAGAGGGAGACGTCAGCCCCCCCTGGGTAACGTCGACCTGCGGGTGTGACCAAATTCCTGCGTTGACGAAGGTTGAGCGACCTAAGCGGCTGCGCTTTTCTAGCTTTGCCTTCGTTCATAGGGAAAGGCACCGTGTTGCGTGTGTCTGTGTCTGTGGAATACTGAAGTGTGAATGGGGAGGAAGCCCACCCTAGCTACGCTAAGGCATGCCTGCACATTTTGTGTAACTGAATGGGAACTGCAGGCATAGCGGATGCTGAAACCGCACGACAATTCCTTGATGTAAGCGTCCAACTCCTAGGGTTTTTTCTTGAGCTGTGGGTTTCACACCTCTACAAGCCTGCCTGTACAACTCTCGGGCTCCTTTCCGTCGCGCGGAACAACGCCATTCCTAGCCGTAATGCCTTGCGTGCGCTGACCAGCAAGCAGGAGGCGATGTTAATGCAGCGGCAGCCCTCTACTTCGACACTTTCGGGCGGACGGATGGGGGCCTCCCAGCGGCGTGCTCCGAAGAGGATTTGAGGGCCCCTGATCCAGAGTACACCCAAACCCTTCTTGGTGCGTCTTCTTAGTCCCTTAGGATCTCGCCGTGGTATGCTTCAGATGCACTTCATGGAACAAGAGCCTGTTGGTTGTGGCGATTTTCCCTTTGTAAGGAGATCCTTGTATACCTTGCGTGTGGGTGCTCATTCCTATTTGCAGCTACGCCGTCCCACCCTCAGAGAGCCTCTGGGAGCTCGCTCAGCTGTAAGTTCATTTCCGGATCTCAACAAGGCAAGAATCATTTGATTTCGGGTGAAGAGTTGAGGCGGTGCAGCAGTAGATAGTTGCCCACCCGGGCACATTCCTGTGCCAACCCTCAACGAACGGAGCAAACAGTTTAGCAATAGCCTTCATGTCTGCCCATTCGTAGGTGGAATTTTTCATGAGTTGAACCTGTTGGATGCGTGAATCCGATGTCGCGAACGGCTGCATGTCTCTTTCAGACCAGCAGCAGCAGAATGTCACGGCACTGGCAGTGGAGTCTTCTGCTGGCACAGTCGCCTTTCGTGGGCTATTCGAACTACCTGGAGGGTTCTCGTGTCAGGAACCCTTTTCCCGGGTGCGTTCTGCATGAACAAATAGTGCATTTGGGGTGATTTGTGATGCCTTCTACAGCCAGGGGTCCATACAGTCTTCTCTTGTGAGCTTGCTCTTTTATGCAGTTCTTGGCAGCGCTGCGATAGAATCGTCTCAAAACTCACCGTCTTTTATTTACGGGCAATGTGATGCCCTTCAGGCACGAGAGCTGGCCCATTTGCAAAAGAAATGGCTACTTGTTAACATCCAGCAGGTCGACGCCTTCGAATCTCTGAGGCTAAACAGAGATGTCTGGAAGGCAGAGGTTGTTCAGGTAAGATCTTGGGGGAGGGCATCCATCAGAATCCCACTTCCAATGGGAAGCGTGGGGTGTTAAGTGAGTGATGCAGCGCAAGCATCATGCTGTCGCATTTATTTGACTTGATGTGTAGAAAGGAATGGGGAGACGCAGCCTTCCGCAGTGAGGCAAGAATCGATAGTATCGGCTGTTGACGAGCTTGTCGCTTTCCCTGCGGGGCCATATTCTAACTGGTTACATACGTAGCCTGCTTGTTTCCTTCGTACACGGTTTGACTTAAGGTGCTACTTTTTGTCTTCATGCTGCAGGACTTAATTAATGACTTTTTCATTTTTTGGCAGAGGACGAACCGATGCGAAGAAGGCCAAGTATTCTGCGACTTGTATCGGGTAGGGTGGTCCTTGAGCAGCTAGATTCGCTTTGCTTCTGTATCTTACCTTAGTACAGTGGTGACTTGACCCATCTTTCCTCCGCAAAAGTTGTTGATACCCAGTATTCGGTGTAGACCTCTGGCTTGCCTCTTTAGGTAACAGCGTTGCCTCATGTGTGCGTCGTCGACCCCCTTACTGGCCGTCGCTTGAAATCGTGGAATATTCGCCTTCTTAGTGATCCGATCGCCGTCCAGTCCGAGTGTAAGTGTATTTCTAGTCTAGTGCCTCGGCTTGTCCACCCGGTTTGCACTATTCAAGAATATAGCTAGCATTTCACCGGGCTTAGACCAAAAGGCAGCCAAGTGCAGTACAGATTTTCGCTCAGGGCCCTGTTTTCTTTCTGCATGCCAGTGGGCCTGGCAAGAGGTTGAGTTTTTAGGGTATATTCCCTTTGCACTTCTTTCTGTTTTCAGTTTTTGAATTCATTGAGCAGCAGCAGATGGCTGACCGAAGCAGGAACGGGGAACCAGAGCCAAAAGCGCCGCCAGCTGTCCCTTCAAACCCCACCGACAAGGCACCCGTTGCTGATGCGTCCCCTGCTGCAGCCTCATTTGAATCGACGGGGGCCGCTGCTGCTGCGGCAAAGGGTGCAGAGAGATGCGCGAGTGCGCGAGCAGGCGAGCAGGCTAAAAAGACGAGCCTGGTAGAAGTTCAGCCCTCGGATTACACGGCTGTCAACTCGCAGTTGCAAGACCTTATGAAACTGCGCGAACAAAGGAGGCAGCAGCAAATGCAAGCTGCACAGTCTGGTTGAAATTAGCAGTCGTCTTTTGCGGTTTGTGTGCTTGGAAGAACTAGTGGCTTCTCCCTACGGGGCCACGGAGTATGTCTCACCTGCTGACACTATAGACTGACTTGGCTTCTTTTTGGTTTAAACCCAGTTAAACGATTGCTGTATTCTTGGATAGGGCAAACTGCCATTTTAACTGGAGTGCCTTGATCGTCATGGAATCGTCTCTAGGTCGCAGCAGTTGCCGGCAAATATGTATCTTTGCCTATTGAAGGGGCTAAGGCTGCTCAAGAGCACTCAAATGCAAGGCCTACTGCGTGGAGGAGTCTGTGGTTTGGGGATTTGCGAGTCTTGAGGGATTTCTTTTTGCCAATTTAGACGACGGTGCTGCTGCACTTACGTAGCGACTGGGGAGGGAAGAGGGCGCAAGACTGCTGTCAAAGGGCGGGGGTTGACCTTTTTTCTATTCATGATGCACTACCACAGCAAAGTGTCATCATATAGGGCGAGGGTTATCGCATGACGGCGTCTGGCGCTACTGGAAGGGTTGGCTCGGACTGTCTGGGCAACAGTGTTTGATAGGAAAGGCATCCGGTGACCGCAGTGCAGTCTCATTGGAAAGCCTGTCGTTAAGGGTAGTGTTAAGCTATCAGAACACACCTAGTTGGCGTTTAAAAGAGGGAGAGGGTGCAGTGTCATGCTGTTATTAGCGTGTTTGGCACCCTGGGGGTTCCGCATTCATTATGCTCCCCGTGCTGGTACTGTGCTCGGCCAGTGGGCAGTGGTCTTGTCACAGTTGGACACCGCCCCGAAGCGGCGCGTTGTGACCTGACGAAATCCACTGATGCAGAGCCAGAGAGTAACGCGTTTCACTTAAGGTGCAAAATGCCAAAGTGTGAGGAAGCGCAGCCGTGGCGTGGTGGCTGCGCCGGTTGCAGGGCACTTGGGTTCTGTTTTTCGGTGTGTGTCCGACGCTGGCAAGAGCCAATCGCCAGTGGAATCGATTCAATCATCCAGAAATGAAATATTCCAGCAACTAAGCTGACTAAAATACACTCAACGGACACCAGACAACTGCGAGGCGCCGCCGACTTGCAAAGCCCCGGTCGTGCAGCGGCTGGCATTTGTGGCTGCTGATCTTCCGGCAGTGCCCTTCATACAGCACGCAAGAGGTTGTTTCAGACACGAGGGAGCTAGCATTCTTAGCCTGCGGGGTTTGCCACCCACCACTCATGAGGAGTACGCCAGTCGCTTCGCAGCATTCACCTTTTCCCGCCGGCCGTCAGTTGGTTGCGCCGTGCGCTTCCTCCTTCTGCCTTAACTGGGACTGAGGCGGCGCTTGAGGAAGCATGGGTATCATCAGAAACTCCAGGGAGCGGCCACAGCGGCAGCAGAACCTGCGCAGCCTCTTCCTACGACAGTATGTCAGCCCCTGTTGACGACCTCCTCGCGGCTTTTGCTGAGTCTGCACTCTCCTGGGAGGATGCGCACCAGCAAAAAAAAAAGTCTTCGCCGCAGCCAGCCGCTGCAGACGCGCCGTCGTTGCCGGGATGTGAATCCTTGTTCGGCCCCTTTCGTGCTTCTGCCGATTTTGGCGGTCTTGCAACAGACTCCGCAGCAGTCGCTTCAGGAGCAGCGGATAGCTTCCTGCCCGCAGATGATGACGCCTTCGGAGAGTGGGAGTCTGCTACCGACGCACCACAGCAATTGCCGGAGCAGCAGCAGCAGCAGAAGCAGCAGCAGCAGAAGCATGGCTGGACGCCTTGTGAAGGAGCGGGGGAGGGGCAGACCTGCATATTGGGTACGCGTTCCCTTCCAAGCAAATTTTCAGGCACTTTTTCTGAACTGGCACAGCCGCCTCCCCTCTCCAGCAACAGCACCAGCGGTCACAAGAGCAACAGCGACAGCGCTGCTGCTGCCGCTGTGCAGCAACGGCATGCGATCCAGAAACTTACAGACTTTGCTCATGTCTCGGATGTCTCCGCCATGGCTGCGGCTGACAATAATCCTGCGATCGCTCTACAGGCCGATCGCACTCATTCGCAGCCGCTGTGGGAAAGGCGTGTCGCTTTCGGAAAGGAGGCCCCTGCAGGAGTCACAGCAGGAACGACAGCACAGGCAGCAGCGCCGCTGCTGCCTGCAGCCTCCTCCACAACGCTCATAACACAACCACGACAACCACCACCAACAACGGCATCAGCAATGCCAGAAATGGCAACAACAACAACAGCACCAGCAATCCCAGAAATTGCAACAACAACAACACCAGCAATGCCAGAAATTGCAAGAACAAGAACGCCAGTAACAACAACACCAGCAATGCCAGAAATGGCAAGAACAACAACACCAGTAACAACAACACCAGCAATGCCAGATATTGCAAGAACAAGAACGCCAGTAACAACAACACCAGCAATGCCAGAAATGGCAACAACAACAACACCAGTAACAACAACACCAGCAATACCAGAAATGGCGACAACAACAACACCAGTAACAACAACACCAGCAATGCCAGAAATGGCGACAACAACAACACCAGTAACAACAACACCAGTAACAACAACACCAGCAATACCAGAAATTGCAACAACACCACCAAGAACAGTACCGACAACAACAGCAGCATCAACATCACCAGAAACAGCGTCCCAACAACAACAACCACCACCAACACCACCACCAGCACCACCAACACCACCACCAACAACACCAGCAACGACCACAGGCCAGGGGAACCTGACAGTTTCAGAGCTTTTATATTCCGACATCCTCACCTCAGAGACTCCTGCTAAAGATCACAGGAGAGCTTCTGCTGCTAAAGATCACGGGAAACATTCTGGTTTCGATGAAATCGTCACGCAGCTCTCAAACTTCCCCCCTCCCTCGCCTTCTTGCCATGCGTCTTTTGTCCCCTCAACGGCAGCCGTTTCCTCGGCCGCTCCTCCCGCTGCTCCTCCCGCTGCTGCTGCTTCTGCTGCTGCTTCTGCTGCTGCCTCTGCTGCTGCCTCCCGTCCACAGCAGACTCCTCCTACACAGAAGGCGAAGGCGGCGTTTTCTGGAGCCTCCGATTTTTCAGATGCCGCAGCAGTTACTCTGCCTGCTGCCCCTACACTTGGAGAAGCTTCGCGAGCAGCAGTGGCGAGTGCTCCCGACATGTCTGTCACTTCGGCGTCAGCCGCTTCTGCCGTTGTTTCTCCCGCTGCATGCGATCGCAGCAGTCAGCGCTTCCCCGTGGCAGCCTTGCATGCGGACGCTGTGGCTGGTGAGGCCTCGCGTCAGCGGCCAGCGCCTCAACATGTGGCATTTGCAGCGGCGACTACGGGATCTGTCGAAGCGGCTGCAACGGAGAAAGCGGAAACAACGCCACACGGGCAAGAGCATGTAACGGCTGCTTCTGCAGCACTGCGAGACAGACACAGCAATGCAGCCGAACTGCATGCTGAAGCGCAACAAGAGGTCTTGGAGGCTGCAGCTCCCGAGACAGACCGCAGCAGCCAGCCGTTCGCCTCTGCATCGCCGGCAGGCGGTTCTTCACCTCCGCTGACGAATGCAGTGTATGACTGGGAGGCTGTGGAACGTCTTAGCCAGAAGTACCGACAGGTGAAGAAGCAAAACGCCCTCCTGAAGGAGGCTCTGAGGCAGCAGCAGCAAGAAAAGCAAGAAAAGCAACTGCAGCAAGAAAAGGATCAGCAAGAAAAGCAACTGCAACTGCAATCGCAGCAAGAAAAGCAACTGCAGCAGCAGCAGCAGCTGGAAGGACAGGAAGAGGCTTCGGGCCTGGTGCGCCAGCTGCAGCAGCAAGTTGCTTTAGGAGAGTTCAGGCAGCGGCAACTTCTGGATGATCTGGATACTGCGCAGAGGGAGTTGAAGCGGCAGCAACAGCAGCTGCAGCAGCAGCACTTGCTGCTTCTCAAGGCAGGCGCTGCGCATCCTGCATCGGGAGGAACGACAGCCTCTGGAAACACAGGAGGCAGCAGCTGGGGACTGTCTCTGCTGGGTGGTAGCAGTGCAGCTGCGAAGGATGCCGAATTGAAGGCACTGCAGCAGCAAGTACAGGCAAGTCTGTCTCTGCTTTCCGTGGTGACGTGGTGACGTGGCAGGGGGAGGACTGCAGCAGTTCTGCGACTGTGGGGATCCCAGATCTTTTCCAGCGCGAATTCGCCTACTGTGGGGTTGCTCCGTGCTGCTGCTCTTGCTGCTCCTGCTGCTCGGTGGAGGCTTGGCAGCTTTTGGAAGCCCTCTTGTCGAGACACACCGAAGTTTCTTTTCTCTGGGCAGCTCTCTTCTTATCTCCTCTGTTGCGTTCGTATTCTCGCGCGTGATTTCAGCCGTCTCAGGAGGTGCTTTTATGCGGGTGCTGGCTGCAGGTGATGGGGGAGGAGCTGCAGCTGAAGATCGAAGAGAATGAGCGGCTGCATCTGGAGGCTTTTGAGGAGAGGCAGCAGCAGCAGCAGCAGCAGCAGCAGCTGGAGGAGGCCCTTCGGGTGCTGCAGGACCAGCAGGCAGCAGCGCAGCACGAGAAAATGCAGCAAGCTGCGGAGTTCGCGGATTTGCAGCGAAGACACGCGTTGGCGCAGCAGGAGCAAGAAGCCAAGATGAGGCAGCAGCAGCAGGAGCTTGCACTGGCACGCGAGCACCAGCATTTGCTTCTACAACAGTGAGCCTCTCGCCACCAGCAATGCCGTTCGGCGTGTGGCGTGAGTTCGCTGCATTTGCAATCACGTTGCACCCGCGTAGAAAAGCTGCGGATTAGATGCAGAGAGGTAGTTGTAGATGTGCGTGCACGTGTGGCTTGAGCGTGTGCTCAGAGCCATGGTTGATCGCGAGCAGCTGCTGCTTCGGGAACTGCGGCAGCAGCAACGCGTGCAAGAAGTCAACGCATATTTCAGCAGCCTTGTGGGGTGTGACTACTCCCGCCTTGCCCTCCTGCGGTGCTTCGACGTGCCTTCTGGAGGCTTCGCTACGGCCGCTGCTGCCGTTGCAGCGGCACAAGAGAGTCTGCTGCAGCTCGCAATCGCTGCGCTGGCAGACTTGCAACACATGCTGCAGTGTTGGGCAGCAGCCCTCGACCTTTCTGCGGCAGCAGCAGAGGGAGACGCCGCTGCAGAAAAAACAGGAGACTCGTGCGAAATAGAAGCAGAAACAAGCCGTTTGCCACGATCCTCTCTTGGTCTGGCCTGGCGTATAAGCATCGCAACTCGCCAGGTTTGAAAACAAAAAAGAGACGCTGCTTCTATCTCTGCCTGCTCCCGACAGCGCAGGAGGGCACGTGTGGATGTTTGGCTGCTAACTCCGCCCTAAAGGACGCCGCTTTTCACACACTAGAGCCTTTTTGCTGCTGCTACTCTACGCTGCTGCCGTCTGTCTCTCTCTTCGTTGAGGCTGCCTTCGCAGGCTCGCCGCGCTGCCTCGGATGCTGGCGCATGCATTGCCTCCGTCATTTCTCTCCTTGAAGGAGCTGCCGAGGCTGCTACGGCCTCTGCTGCGCAGCCAATGTCGAGAGAGAAGTCTGGTGGCGTGGAAGAATTCGCGGAAGGTTTGCGAGTAAGCGAGAAACACGATGATGCGCGAATCCCCCGTGTTGCTTTCTCTGTAGACAGATTTCCAGAAGGATGCTGCTACTTTTGTATTGGGCTGCTGAACGCCCCTTAAGCCCGCCAAGGAATAGCCAAGGGGGGACGAGGATTGCGATTGCTCGCTTCCTGTCAGCAACGTTTTCTCTTGGCGGCTGTTGCGACGACACCCCATTCACTGCAGTGCTACCGCTGAAGGGGTTCGGTGTAATACGTGTGAATGCAGTGCGTTTGATGCTTTTTGCAGCGAGAATCGCAGAAGTTAGGAGCTGCCTTTTCCCTCTTTGTCTCGCTGACGCTGCTGGCGGTGTCACTTCAGCAAGACGCCCTCAGCGGCACTCAGCAGCAGCAACGGCATCAGCAGCAGCAGCTGGATATGTTGCTGGGGGTGGATGTCGGGGAGATGATGAGCGGCGTTTCTTTTGGGCAAGCAGATCGGACTCCAAAAGCCTTGCCTCTCTGCCTTTTGCTCCCTCTCTCTCGTTCCCTCTTGCTCCTTTCTTCCCCCCCTCCTTCCCTTCCCTTCCTCCAGCCCGTACTGGAGAAACACCCCTGATTCGGCGCGTTTCTTGAGAGTGCAGCTCAGTCGTCTGCGTTGGCAGGGCACAGTGTTGCAGCTGCTGTTGCTGCGGCTGCAGATTTTCTGCTTTGCGAGGCTGCGTCTTTGCAGGATGTTGCTGGCGGAACTGCAGCGAGTTGCTGCAGCGCTCGCTGCTGTGGCGGCCGCTGCGCTTGTCGCTATCGAGGAAGGACGGAGGAGCAGGAGCAGAGACGATTTTTTCGACGCCTGCTGCAGCCGAGCACTCTCTGCCCAGCATTTTTCCTTGCTTGTGACTGCGCTGATGACTTCCACGCAGACAGCGCAACCGCAAGAGGCGGGGCCCGCTTCTCGACAGCTGCAGCAGCTGCAGCAACAGCAGCACGAGCTTTCGCATGTGCAGGAGCAACTGCCTGCAGATCTGCGCCTGCCGCCTCTCCCCACAACGCCTCCCCCAGCAGCAACAGCTCAGCCCTCGGAAAGGGCAGATCACCCTCACTCAGTCTTTCCCTGGCGTGGTAGAGTTCCTGAACTGCCTGCACAAACGCAGCAGAAACAACAAACGCAGCAGAAACAACAAACGCAGCAGAAACAACAAACGCAGCAGGAAGGGGAGACGGAGGACTGGGCAGAGGCGGAGTGCAGCAACTGGTTCTATCAGCTGAGAAGCAGCCGAAGTGCTGAAGCCGCAGGGGCATCTCTACCCCAGTGGCGAGGCTTATCAGAGGCTAAAACAGACCGCTTGCTGCAGCTTTTTGCAACCCACTTAGCGGCTCTCTTGGAAATCTTCCGTAAGGGTTGCTCGATCGAAAGCAGCCGCCTCGCACCGTCGGAGAGGCCATCCCACGCAGAACGCGCACGCGCGCCTCCACACCACGGGAGAACTAGAGAAAGACAGCGAGATCAATAAGAGAGATAGACAGATATATAGATGGATAGATTGATTGATTGATAGATTGATTGATAGAGCAAGAAAGAGAGATAGATAGAGAGATACATATAGAGAGATAGAGAGAGAGAGAGCAGGTGAAAGAAAGGAGGGAGACTAGCCTTGGCTTTTGTGGAAGAACGCTCCTGTGCATATGGGGTGCTGCGCTTTGTGTGTTTTGCAGGTCGTTTGGCTGTTTGCCTCTCTGGCCGCATGCGGCGTCCAGCGGATTTGCTGGATGGGCAGCTGCTGTTGCTCTCTGGGTAATGCTGACCAAGTGCTGCAGCTGAAGGGGATTTATAGTTGCAGGGAATAATTTTGTTGCGAAGAGACGCTGAGAGCGCCACGGCAGAGACGTGCGCGACTCTGCTGAACGCCTGCCTGCCTGTTCTGGAGAGTTGGGTGTCTGTGCGCTGCGCGAGCACTTCAAAAGCGAGATTTTTTTGGAAGTCGCTTCGTCCTGTGTCTGCGTTCAGCACCGGAACATGCATGCTCTCGCTGTTGCAGGCAGTTCGCACGATCGGGAGTGCAGACGGGGGTCTGTCGCTCTTGCTAAGCCATGCCAAGTTGTTGTTGTTGCTGCATCGCAGCCCATCTGTTGCAGTTCTCAGATCAAAGCCTTTCCAAGAAATTGCCGCAGCGTACGGCGGCTGTCCAGTGTAACGGCTGCCGCAGCGCCTCCCTGCCTTCGTTCTGCGTTCCTTCTTTTAGTCCATGGATGCCTCTTCGGTGTAGACTTGCTTCTTGCCGCCTCTCTCGCGCACGCCTTTCCGCTCACCTTCCTTCCCCCTTTCTCCACCTGAAGCACCTCCAGATCCCGCTTTCTGCATTCTTCCTTGCATGCTAAGCGGTGCCAGTTTTTCGATTCGCGTCGTCAGTTCCCTTCAGCTGCCGTAGGCGTGCGGGAGCGACCGAACTCCCCAATTCGCATCTCCGCATGCATGTGTGTATGTGTGCTGCTGCTGCCTCTACTCCAAAATATGACACGCACTGCTCTACAGCGGCATCAGCTGCGTGGCACAGGTTCAGACGATTCTCGCGAAAGCCGGTCACAAGATTTCAACACGCTACGTCAGAAGTGTCTTGAGTAAACGCCAGGTCTGAGTCACGATTTTAACCGCCGCTCAACCTTATACCTCTATGCGCGAAGCACCTTTGCCCCTCCTACTACTAGTACTACTACTAATACTACTCCTCCCTCTCTCTGTCTTCCTCTCTCTCTCTGCGCTGCGTTCTTCTGAGGCTTTCCTCCTAAGCCAAGCCACATATCCCCGCCTGCATGAGCTCTTCAAGGCCTTCCCATAGCCTCTTTTATTCCAGCGCCAAAGGGATGCATTTCTGGAAATTCCCGCTTCCCCTCCCGTCGTGCAGCACAGATCCATGGTGCCTTTACATCCGTCTTCACAGGCAGCAGACGCAGAAATCGCCGCAGCAGCCGCGAACATCCGCCTGCTAGAGGAGCGCGTCGTAGAAGCAAACAAAGTAAGATTTTGCCGGAAATTCCCACCGGAGAAGAATTATTGTTCCAGCAAATTCGCGGTTTTGCTGAAACGCTGGAAATCGTGTGCTGGCACCGCCCCTTTAAATTCTTGTAGGGAGCCCAGGGATCGCTCGCTCGCTCCGCCTCCCCGCCTTCTACCAGAGCAAAAAGTTCACGCTTTTTCCCCCCTTCGTGAGAAATTTATTTCGCAGGCAGCCGCTCAGCTGAAAGAGGCGCAATCAGCAATCGCGCTGCTCCAGGCTGAGCTTCTGAGGCTGAAGAGCAGCGACAGCGGAACGGACAGCACCGCCACTGCAGGCACATCCCCTAGGAGGAGTAACAGCAGCCGCTGCTCCGCCTTTCCAGAAGGAGCTGTGGCTGCAACTGCTCTCGCCGACTCGCCCATGATCAGCACCGAGGAATTTAGTGTTGCAGGTATGGTATACGCGTCGCCTGCTGCCTCTTGTTTAGCCCGTTTTTTGTTCAGCGAAAATCGCTGTCTCTCAAGACGCGAAGACGCCTCCCGCCGTTGTGCCACTGCTACGCCTTTTATGCTTCAGGCAGTGTTGTTGCTCCTGCGGAAGACTTACTGTTGCCTAGAGAAGCAACAACAGCGCAAGCAGCAGCCCACATAACCAGGGAAGCGGCTCTTTCCAACACGTGAGATTCGTCTGTCCCCTGCCCTTAGCCCAGACCCTCACCAGCATCGTCGAATTCAGCGCTTCATGGGATTGCAGTGCTTCTGCCGCTGCCGCTGCTCTTTGCGCTCAGGGCGCTCGACTTTTTCCCTGCCAATGAAAGGGAGGATGCTTACGCGCAGCAGCTCTTGTCGCTTCAGCAGAAGCTGCACGCCGAAGATGCAGCACTCAGTGTCTTGCGGATGCAGCTCAGCAGCACTTTCAAGGTACTTTGCAGTTTCAGAGGCCTTATCTGTGCAGAAGGCGCATAAACATAAGGCGTGCTGCTTTTTCCTCTGCCAAGCCACCACGAGCTCACTGAAGAAAAGAGAGCTCCAACGCGCTGAACGCAACACCCAGTGATGCTGCCTATCTCTCTGTTTCTGTCTGTCGCTCTCTCGCTAGACGGTACATGCACTGGAAGAACAACGTGCAGCTCTCCGCCGTGAACTGCGACGGTCTAAGGAGGAGGCAGCGGCATCGGCTGCTGCGGCCGCTGCTGCCGCCACAGAAACAGCAGCAAGTGCTCGTCTCGCGGAAGAAAACTATTCTCAGCAACTGCGGCTGTTATCGCTTCACGTGGCAGAAACACACGAGAAGCATGCCGAAAAGCAAAAGGAGCTCGAAGCCCTCCTCAAACACAAAATACTCTGCGGGCGATGCGGCGTGTGGAATCCTCTCAGTGAGACCGACCGTCCGCCAGCCAAGGCGCCCCCTTTCCTTTCTTTCTTTATTCCCCCATCCATCCTGCGGGCTGTCTTCTTTGTCTGTCTACGCGTCTCACTAATGCGTATCTGCATAATAGGCTCTTGTGAAAGGGTCGTTTCTCTCCGTCGGTGGCCTCGCTTGTCTGCGTAGCACATGCACCGGTTCGCTTGATGCTCCTGACCATTTCGCCGCTGCCTCGTGTTGCGCTATGTATGCACTTGGCTCTGTCGCACTGTCTCTCTCGGAGCCTGCCCCTTCGATCGAACAAACACCACCGCCCATCGAGTGTTGCGTGCCTTCGCTCTTTTGCTGCCAGGCGACCTGCTGATTGAAGGACAGTCGTGGGGTTCTTGTGTGATGTGTAGAGGCCGAGTGACTGAACGCCCCTTCTAAGGCGTTTTTGTCACTGGCTATGTGGCGCAGTCAAGAGAGAGTCCGCTGCCTTTCTTCTTGTATTCCCCGATATCTATTCACTACCCGCGCTTCTTCGAAAAGAAGTCCATCTCGACGTGCTACTCCCCGCGATGCTGTGGGGGGCCGCCAACCAGCGGCGCCGAGTCCCCTCGTGCGCCTTTTGTTCTGTTTCTTATTTGTCGCTGCTGTAGTCTGGCATTACCTTGTGTGTTTGCCCATAATAAATTTAAGAGAGTACACCCAATTTCTTCTTGATACGTGCCCCTGCAACACAGTGCCCTCGATTAGTTTTCTTTCATGTAGGGAACTGGTGTGTATGGGTGGCGGCAACTACGCAACGGAGCTACTTTCCCGCTTGCATGCACTGTGGAAAGAGCGTGAATACTCAATCAAACGGCTAGAAATCACATTGCAACCAGCTCTGACTCCGAATGTCCCCGTGCAAAATCCAGGCTGTTCGACTGGTCGCCTGTCGACAGCAGCGATACGGTTAACTGCAGTGGCCTCCCGATGTTACGCATGTATTTGTGGCGGAAGTACATGCTATGACTACCTCGCAGGCAGTGCCTGGGGCTCGCTGCTTCCCCTTCGCAGCCGTACCAGCTACACTAGCACCCTAACAAGAGATTTAGACGATGAGTCACAACGAGGGGTTCCGGCCTAGAGGCCGCACGCGACACCCGCTGTGAACATGCCACTGGGGTTGCCACAGCAGGGAGAGGCTTGCCGCTGCTGCCGCAGTGCATGAGCAGCACCCACTGGGCGATGTTCTTTTGAGTGAATTCTCTTTCCAGCCCCACAGATTATGTTTCGCTTGGGGGAGACAAACGTAAAGGGCAAGTACTTGAAGAGAGGCTGCCTGCTGCTTGGAGGCCGCTCATCAGGCTGCCCCCTAATAGATCCCCAGGGCTCAGGCCAAGGAGCAGTCAAAAGTTGGGATGGCTCCCCCTGATGCTGCTGCACTGGCTGGTCGCTCTGAATGCAAATTGCCGGTGTAGCGGGCATAACCACATAGTTTCCCGTCGGAACAGTGAGAAGCCTAGGAGTGCTCGGCGAGGGAGCCGCTGACGCCTGGGGTGGTTGCTGTTGTTTGTGTCGTCTGGAGGAAGCCTTTTCGGGCTGCGGAGGCTGCAGATATTTCCGTGGATGGGGAGCCTCTCCTCGCGTCGCACTTTGGGTGCCTTCAGTGGACCTCGGCGTGGCAGCCTTGCTGGAGGGAGCCGGGCGCGGAGAGCGCAAAGGCTGAGTTGTCTCCGTGCTGCGCTTTCCAGCGGCAGTCGCACCGGCTTCTAGCACTTCCCTAGGTCGAGGACTTACAGGTAAAGCTCTAGGGGTGCTGCTGGGGGAGCGGCCTGACGCTCCCTGGGCCTGCTGTGTTTGAGGCTTTGTCTGTTTGGAGTCTGCTGGCTGCTGCTCCGACGCAGGGTTCTCTTGCCTAGGCCGCGTCTCTGCTAAGTCGGTGCTGCCACACTTCGCGCCAAAGTTGACACTGCAGTTCCAGAGCCACGGCGTTTTAGGTTTGTCTTCGGGCTTCGGCTCGGCTGGTTTCTGCTCCGGGGCGGTAGTTGGTGGCCGTTGCACCGCAGCAGTTGTTGGACTCTTCTGCTGCTTCGCCACGACGGGCGATCTGTAGAGCTGTTGGGGAATAACCAGGGCAGGCTGCTGCTGCTGCACCAAAATGGGCGGCGGCTGCTGCAGCACCAGAGGAGCTCGATGCTGCAGTGGCTGCACCAACAGTGGGTACGTCTGAGGCTGCTGCAGTAAAGGAGATTGAACTACCGCCGCCTGTTGTGGAAGAACCAGAGGCCCTTGATGCGCCATGGCCAGGTTTAGGGGCTGTGCGTTGAGATCCTGCGGCTGTTGGAAGTCACAGCGAAGGATGCGAGGCAGAGCGGGCAGCTGCATTGCTGTCTGGAGAGAGCCTGCAGCTCCTGATGTCTCCGACGCAAGGCCTCCTTGAAGCACCAGAGGAGGCCCGTGGTAAACAGGAGGGGCCCCCTGAACGATTTGAGGAAGCCACTGAAGCATCTGCGAGGTGCCATGAGGCATTCCCTGAATCAGATGCGGAGGAGCCTGGGCCGATTGGGGGATACTGTGCAAGCTGCCTGGACAGACGGGCAGAGAATGGGAGCCTCCCAAGAGGTTTGGAGAGACTCCATGTCTGCAGATGTGCGGCACCGCATCATTGCGGCGGCCTTGTTGGAGGTACGTGTACCCCCCTGGGGTGGTGGGGGGACCGTCAGGGCTGGTAGTCGCTGGCGATGGGATTGATGGCTCTAGAAACTGCACGTGGCTTGCCTCTCGCTGATGCCTTGCAGCTGGAGGCGCACTGCTGTGTCTGTTTTGAGATTTGCTGGCCCTGCTGTGCGGCTTGTACAGGGAAGAAGGGGAGCTCGCTCGAGCTGCATGTGAGGAAGCCCGCTGCGAATGGCGCCGGGCGTCGTCAACTGTCGAGAGGATGCGGGCACCCTTAGCTTCCGCATTCTGGTCCCTCTGATGAAAGGCTTGTTGGTAGTGCTGTGGAAGGTGCTGCTGGAGCGCAGGGATGGCAGCCTGCGGTGGTTGAGCAACGAACGTCTGGGGTAAGATGCGCGTCCCCGGCAGCTGAGACTCGAAAAAGTGCGCCTGCTGTATTGGCTGCTGCACGGATGTGTGGGGTTGGGGCTGGCAAAGCCGGTTTTGTTGCAGCACGAGCTGCCCATGCCCCCCCTGCGGGGTGCTCAGCAAGACCTGTGGCTGCTGAAGACTCGGCGGTGCAAAGCATGGCGGGGTAGAAGCTAGAGAAGCATTCACTGTTTTCCAATTGGTGCCCCCTGGTGGCCTCTCGGGTGCGCAGCATAACCAAGAGGGCTTCGTATGCAGCTCCCCGCTAAGCCGTGAGGATCCCGGTCGCCGTCGGTGCAGCAAGCGTGGAGCTCCCACAAAGGCGGGGAGGCAAGGGACTGCCAGAGGAGCATACACGGGTGCCCCCCCACCTGCCCTGCCATAAGTTTGCATTAGCTGCGGCGGCGACAGGAGCGCTGTCGCAGAACCAGGTGGGAAGGAGAGGTAGTGGGGTTGCGAGAGGGGAATTTGTTGCTCGCGGGACGAGTTTTGTCCCTCTTCTACTGAGCCGCGGCTGGTGTTGCTGCCACTGCTGCTGCTTCTGAGAGAAGAGGAGCAGTCACTTCCAGATGAGGTGTCGCTGTCTGATGCAGCGTCGCTGACAGAGTTGCGGGCAGCGTGGAGGTGTTCAGTGAGAAATTCTGGGTCCCACCAAAGAGAGGGATTCTGGCAGTCTGTGCAGGCATTCTTTGGCCTATCACTTGTGAAAATTCGGCCTGCTCTGAGCCTCTTCAATCTCTCTTTCATGCGCCGCCTTTCCCTCTTCCAGCGGACATAGTCCTCTGGGTAACAACACTTGCCCTTTCCTTTCACGCGCACAACCCAGTCGCCTTTTTCAGAACCTCCGTTGGTTGGTTCACCGCTTTGGCGCCCTGAGGCGAAGTCCTCTGTCTTGTCTCTCGGGGAGGGTGCAGGAGAGCCCCTTGGAGAACCCCTCCCTCCGTTAGGCGATAGCGAAGCCGGAGAAAGACGCCCATTAGAAGGCGAAGGAAGTCTGTTGGACGTCTTCGCAGCACGGTGCTGAGTGACAGCTTCAAACGGGTCGCTAACGGCACTGAGCCTGGCAGGGGAGTGGGGCCTTCGCGCCGCTGGGGGAGCGCTGCTGCGCCTTTTTTGCGCCATTCTTCTTGCTCTCTCTAGTTCCGCTCGCGATCTGTTAGGGTCTCTTGCCTTCACAAAAATCGCGTGTTTCGCCTTCATCAGGGAGGAAAGGGTCGGTAGTTGAAACCGGCTTTCATAAGACATGCCTTTAGACCGGAGGTCGCCGACGGACCCTCGGGGATTCTCGTAGCCTTCAGCATCCGTCCCCCAAGATAATCCTTGCCACTTCATGGTGGGACTAAGAGGCCTCCCCAGAGTTTCTGGTCGGTCCTGCCACGTATGATGCAAGGGCTTTTTCCTTCTCCACCCCCATTCATCAAGTTCGCAACAGCGCTCAGGCAACAAATCTTTCCCCACCGGGGATTCGGCGAAATCCCGTGCATGCTCCTTGTCATCCACTGTAGTCTTGGCATGAGACCATAAGGCCTTAACAAACTGTGCATACTGAGGCTCCGCCGAATTAAACTCTTCAACGCTCACTGCGAGAGGCTGCCGGACGATGGGCACCCTCCAAAGGGGGGGACGCGGGACCTCCTTTATGGTCTGGATCCTGGCAGCCTTTTGTTGCATGTACTCCCTGTAATGTTTTCCCCTGTGGCGCTCCCCATAATGAGGACATAGTAAGTTGGATCCGTCGTCCTCGGAGTCACTGGCGTCGTTGGCACTAGAAGCCATTCCTTCCGAACGCCCTGGTAATCCGCGACATTTCTTATTATATGCCTCTCTTCTGAGGAGTGTGCTCCCTGATTTACCGGCCGTAGGGGATGGAGGCTTAATGCTGATGGATGGGGTAGCGGGGCCCCCAGAAAGAGGATAGGAAGCCGCCAACATTGCAGGATTCGGGCGACTCTGCAGGGCTCAAAAGATAGAAAATCAGGAAAGCCGGAGAAAAGGCTTACTGCATTCTGCAAAGCGTGCTTTCCCCGATGCAGAAGGCGAGGCCAAGCAGCCAATGCCTACGTCCAATCTCCACACGAACCGAGACGCTGTTCACTTCGGGAACGCAGCGCTTTCTTCCATTGAAGCGACACCTAGTAGACGGCTTAAAACCATGTGGCCCATCAACGAACCGGCGGCCAAGCGACACACTGCTAGGCAAGAAGATCCTGGTTACTTAGTAAAATGCGCAGCACAGTGCAATGGCCGTCTACCCCGCTGTGCTCAAGAGTATGAGGCACGAAGGCCTAAAAATACATTTAAAATGCATATAATCAAAGTAGCCTGAAAGGCACGAGGAGGCAAAATATGTCGCACGGCTCCAAAGAATGCGAAACGACCCGAGGCACTTGGACTGGGTGAGCGCACGGCGAGTACACATCTACAAGACCCCCAATGCCGACAAAAGCTTTTCTTCAGTATACAAACAACCTAAAACTAGCCAAGATTAAGGTTTCAAACAATGTCCTGACATTTCGGAGGGAAGGACGGACAGAATCTCTCGAGGCCGCAAAAAGCGCAGCCGACCGCAGGCAGCGACCCCTTGGTTCATCGCGATATCAGTTTATCATCGAGAGCGGTGTGTTCCACAGTAACGCATGTGTGTGGCCAAAATTTGCAACATTTTTAAAGAGGAAATCCATTTACGCCTTAGTTTGAATTGGAGTGCCCAAAAACCGGTAGGCTGGCGTCGACAATCCGCACACTCGTGTCGTGCAAAGCAGCCACTGGTTCACTTCAAACTTATGTGGAGTAAAGCAGTGCTTAAGGCAATTTTGCCTCAAAAATTCATCTTCAGGACCACAGCAGCAGTGAAGATCCCCTTAACTGGACGGGAATAACGCACTGTATATGCGACAGCTCGGACGTAAAAGAACAAAGGCTGATCACATCCCTTGAGTCAGGTCTCCCACAATCGGGAGGGAACACAAAGATGCCTTCTAAAAGCAGTCTATAGATGGAAAAGCCGCCTCACGATGCGATTCCGCGTTAGAACTGTACGAAAACCAATTAGGTCGTGGGTTGCTGGACAGGTTGATCTAAGAATTCTTAAACGTAGCTAAAGTGGATGCACGCGCATTACAGCTGCGAAAAGAAGATTCATAGCGCGGATTATGATGACGCTCCCCACATTCATGAGGATTCGTCCAGCCGAGCCGCTAGCGCTGCATGAAAAGCTTTGTGAAGCAATAGCATCGACTGGTCAAAAGTGCACTCAGTACTGCGTACCATTGACTCTAAATCATTACAGAATTCAATCGACCAATGGGTTTTCAACTTTTAAAAATGTGTAATGGCATGGGCAATATGTGTGTATCATGTATACCTAGGCATAAAATAATCATGATGCACAGATTCCCCATAAGTTGTACAGAAGCATTGCCCCAACCACGGGATAGAAACGGAACAGGTGGTAGCTAACACAGGTGATTCCGATGAATGCGGCTCAACACTGCGTGGAAATTCAGAGAGAGTCGGATGAAATGACCCGCAGCATATGTTTGAGTACTACGAACTCACAACACAGCAGATAAGAATCTCAACTGCTCATCCATTTTCGAACTATGGTAAAGAAATGTAGCTCTTGGTGGAGTCCGGCGACTGTTATGCGAGCTTCGTTCTTCTTAATGCTGCAGGCTGTTCTCTCGCAATGATGGAATAAAACTGCAAGGAAAGGCCCACGCAGACGAGTCTGAGAAGAAAGCAGCAGCACACACATCCTACTTCAACAAAATTGACTGCATGTTCAGCTCAGATCTACCCTCGTAACCTTCCCTCTGGAAAGTCTATGCACCGCGAATCGGTCCCAACAATGACACGCCGGTGCCATAGCCCTTTTCTGCTCAAGGGCTACCCACCGGAATATGCCACTCATGAAAAATTCGTAAAACAGACTCGCGAAGGATTCCGCTGAACAGACAACAGCACAGTACATGAATATACAATGCTGCGTGTGATATGCATGGATAGCTGGGACAACAACTCTGAAAGGCAGTGCTTCTGTTTAAACCACTGGGATAGAACAAGTCGCACCGTGCGACTGGTGAACTGTATGCGCCCTTAGTTAAGCACTGCTTTACCAGCCCCAATTGCTGATCCCTGTAATTTAAAGGCTTCCACTAAGGCCCTCATTTAGATACCCAAAATACAAGCGGCTAATTTCGTATAGGCGCACCTCTGGAAAACCCCGCGTTGAGGCGTGCTAACACCCATCCCTCAAAGTCAATCGTGATGACCCGGTGACCTGTTAGGGAAACGAAATAAACAGCACGCAAGAGACTCCAGAACGTGTCAGTAAACTGGCAGGATGTACTTGGCATCGCTCCACTGTTTTCAAGCCCACGTTCACCCATGAAGGCGCTTCCTCCTCGGGAAGCACTACCCTGTTTCAGCTCGTACCTGCCTCCAAGTGGCCAACAAGTCGTTCAGCAGCCTCTTCCGGCTGCTTCACTTTGGAGGTTTCCTCAAGAATTTCGGTGAGCTGAAACAAACGGTACCGAAACAGAAAAAGACGGTCTGTTCCGCAGCGGGTTTCAGCTGGTCGCCCCGTGCTTGTGAAAGAGGCGCCGTGGAAAATGATGAACCCGCAAATGTATTTTGTTGGCGTGCGTTCATCCTTTGCCCTCTCTCCTCTGATCCTGAGATTCAGTGAATGCACTTTCTAGCTGTATTCACCTTGTGGCGAACTTCTTTTTCACGCAGGTATCCTGGGGTGTTTACACTGGGCATGAAGGCGTTTGCGACTAGCACTCCCACTCCTGCTACTTCCTGGTTAATCGCCTCTGCAAATGCCTTCAGAGCGCTTTTTGTTGCACTATATGCTGCGAAACCGTAGATTGGGACAAAGGCGGCAAGGCTGTTGCTGAAGCAAATGGCCCCAAACCCCGCCTCGATCATGGAAGGCAAGACATGCTTGACTTGCAAAATCGGCGTGCACAAATTCGTCGCCACAGCTCTTTGAATATTGCTAGCCCCCGTTGCACACAACGGTCGAGGATCCACATCCGCCGCATTGCAGAAAAATATCTCAATTGGCGCTCTCGGCCTCTCCGCTTCATCCCTCCAAGCCTTCGACTGCTTCACGACGCCCTGCTCCAAGTACACAAGAAAGCCAGGTGGCAGTCATGCAAAAGGTAAGGTGCATAGCTTGGCAATGACGCAGCATGAAACTCAATGGCAGGGCGAGGTGTGATACTATGCAGGCTTGAACATACTTCGTAGCTGCGCCGGCACAGATGCATCGGCTGATTATGAGTGTGCTACGCGCTCATAAGAGCACGGCTGGGGAGCTCTAGTGGTACACTCAGCTTCAACTGACTTTCAGAAGAACTGCAAGATCCAGACACTCAGTTGCAGCGGCGGGGTCCATCAAGTCGGCTGTAACAGTCTGCACTCGAACGGCTGCTCCGAGTGCGTCAGCCTTGTGCAACAACTTGCCCTGTGCATCTTGAAGAGCCGCAGGATCCCGAGCTACTAAAGTAATCAACGCTGCCCCCCTTTTCACTGCCTCCATTGCTATAGCATAGCCGATTCCTCTTGAGCCACCAGTTATCAGGACATGGCGTCCTTCTAAGGCATAAGGGGCCCCAGTGCCTCCAGGCTGCTTGGGAACGCTGGCAGCCCGTGAAAGGAGCAGCTGCGCGGCATAGAGAAGTAAAATTCCAACTAGGATAATGAAATATATCGTGATTATGCCCAGTATTCCAATGGCATAGGCAAAGAGAGGGATGAACAGGACTGCCGCCCCCAGACACACCAATCCTTCCAAATTTGCCCACCTGAAGGCTCCTAAAAGAGTTTTATTCACCATTGCCAGCAATTAATGCAAAACACGCTCCAGAATAGAAGAAAATGGACTCAGACACGGACTCAAAGGCTCGCCACCGGTCCGCTGAACAGACCCACAGAGGGAAGAGGACTGCAATGCGCAACCGGGCAAGCGCTAACAGAAAACAGTAGATCATGCAGGATCCAGAGAGAAACTTGATGCTTCTTCGTATTTTTGTCAACCCCTGGCACCCTTTCCTATTGGATTTTCGAATGTGCAGCAGAGGGACAGTATGGGCGAGGTGGGTGGAACCTCCGTAGAGGAGAGCATATTGAACCGACTATATATGCATGCATGCATTACCTATTGATCATTTATGGTTCATTGATTAGGCAAAGGCTAAGCGGTGCGTTGTGACACGCGTCAAGCTTCTCTCAGCTCCCACCCCCCATGTCGTCTGCAGTGCATGCGTTAAATAAGAATCAGATCACGTATGAGCAGTCATTGCCCTTTTTCTACAAGTCAACACACTACTATCAACTAAAGTTTGAATGAAGTAGTATTTAATGTCATTGCTCCATTGAATGCTATTGTTCTGGCTTCGTATTCGTGGAAGACCTAGCATTGGTGGGTGGCAGAATTTTGTCCGCACGCCAAGCACAGTTTACAGAATTGTCAGTATGCCAACTGATGTTTAATTATAAGCGTCTTATAAATGATATACATAGCTTGCTTGCTCTCTTCGTAACTACTACGAACCACTAGCACCGCAGCAGTAGAAGACTCCATACATGCATGTGACGGGCTAAGCTAAATTCAGCTGATTTCCGGACCAGCTATGAAAGCTAAGAATAAGTGAGATTCGACCACGTGATTTATCTGCCTCTTAATCTTATTTATTGCGCAGCACCTTTAGCTCTATACAAAAAAGAAAACGCACCGTTGTGTGTGTGTGTGCGAGGAGTACCATGTGCAACTAGCTGTGAATGCTCGAGAGTCTTACGGGGTGCAGCTAACGGCACCCTGGCTGTACCTCGCCCTTCATTTCACAAGCTTTTGGGGCCCTCACAGGGAACGGAGAGAGCTCTTTTGGAAGACACTCGAAAACTTCCTACTTAGCGCGTGTTCAGTTTGGGATTGAGTGCCTCCTTATGGTAACCTTAGGTGGATTATGTCGGTCAGAAGCATTGCATGGTTCGATGCAGTTGTTACCAGACACCCTTTGGCTGTAAATAACGTGGGAGGTCAG